ACCGCGGAGGCCCGTGGACGTGTTCCGGTGGACGCAGCCCGTGAAGCTGAATAGGAAGGATATCCGACGCGACGACACTGTGACGAATGCGCCCCCAGAGGCCGTTGGGCCGATGCTGGGACCTGACGGAAAGCCCGTCATTGGCGCTGATGGGAAGATGGTGATGGTGGACGCGGAGGGGCGGCCGATACACGCGAATGGGATGGCTGGATCGAGCAAGGACAAGGGGAAGGCGGCAGCGAAGAAACGCTTCCAGAAGAAGACGAGGCAGGTGTTCTTCGTGCCGGAGGAGGTTCGCCAACTGCGGAGAGAGGAGCGATATCCCTGGGTCATGGAGGACTCGTCACCGGCGCAAAACGAGGTCTGGATGGGCCAAATGGAGGAGGCGTCCAAGTCGGACACGCACGCGTTCTTCATGCCCGCGGCGAACGACGTCTTCAAGTTCGTTCCAGCTCATCGGTGGTACAAATTCCAGAAAAAGCTAAAGCACGACTTCCCCACGGACACGGCGAATGTTGAATCATTGGTATTCACTATGCTATGTAGCATATGTTCGTCACTAATACATTCCATCCTGTGCAGTACACCCAAAGTCAGAAGCGAGATCCTCAGGCGTGGTTGGCGAGTCGGAAGGGCAAAGCAGGACCCTCTGCTGCAACGGCTGCGATGTTCAAGGCGGACGCAGAGGGACGCACGGTGTCGATAGGATCGTCTCTTGTTCATAACGCAGGGCAGAGTTTGGGACCTGGTGGCCGGAAGTTAAAGACCGTGGATAGTGGGATGGATCATCTATTTGGGGACGATGAGGAAGGAGGGGAGGATACCGCTCGCAGACGGAAACGCGAATTGGGCGAGGATGGGGGCATGGATGAACAAGTATACGAGGAGGATTTCGCGGATGACGACGAGCATATGCAAGTCGACGAGAATGATGAGGAGGCGAAGGAACTTGAGGTACGAACTCGATCTCTTTGTTCTTGTAAATCTATCTCTGACGTTTTCCCCACAGGAACGTCTCAAGAAAGAATACCAGTCCGCCAACAAAACGCGGGAGACCGGAGTGGACGAATCTGACGAAGAGGAAGATCAACCCACCACGAGCAAGCAAGCCAAAGCGATGCAAAATTTAATTCGTAGTCGCGAAGGAAACGACGCATACGAGTCGGAGGAAGAAAAGAATCCATATGCCTCCTCTGTCAGTGTTGCTGATCTGACCTACTCGTGTTTGAATAACCGTTCGTTTAGGAGGAGGAAGAGGAAGAGGAACCACCTGCAGTCATCCCGACGGCGACTCAAGCAATCCAAGAGGAGCAGCAGAAAGTCGAATCGCGGTCTCAGACACCCAAGCCGGGCCCGACACCGGCTGCCGCTCGACCACCCGCCTTAGCAGTGGGTCCCGGATCTAGAGCAGGATCGCCAACGCTTTCGCCGGGCCATGGTGGTCATTCTGTGGTAGCCAAGCGCGCTACAAGTCCCAAGATTCCAAAGCCCAAGCCGTCGACCGCGAGTCGCGGGAACAGCCCTCTCGGAGGCCAATCCCCGCTTCTCGGCTCCACGAGTCCCGTTGCTCTCGAACCCGCCAATGGCGACGCTTCCAATGGGAGGTCTAGTGCGAAGCGGAAGGCCGATGATGCACCGACGTCACCCACAAGTGTTAATTCCGCTGGCTCGCACCTTCCAAAGCAGAAGAAACGCAAACCGCCTACGCCGAGTGCGGTTTCATCTGCAGAGCTAGAAGCCATGCTACTGGAGTGGCTGAAAAATACGACTAACGCCTCGACAAGAGACTGCATTCATCATTTCACGCCTTACCTGGTGGACGTAGAGAAGAAACAAGAGTTCTCGGCCATGGTCCGCAAACATGCGACGTTGAGGGCCGGATATCTTACCCTTCGTACTTCGCCGCCATCTCCTCCGCCAGCTTGAATTTTTGAGTCGTGCTGGGCCCTACAGAAGTTGACACTCATCTTAATCATATCATGTCGTGGAATGGTATTTTTATCCTTGTGTTGTAAAATTAGAATCGAAGAGAAGGGCATAATTGGCCGTCGATAATATATTAGGCAGGGATGTGCCACGACCGGCAGAAAACAGAAGGATTAGGCTGCCCAAGCCGAATTTCGATGAAACTCTGCCGATAGGGAATTCGGAGGATGGGGAAGGCCCGTGTTTGTCGCCACCGAAATGGAGATGTGTACAGCTATTCTTAGCAAGTCGACACACCTGTTTTCGTCTCGCGACGAGCTGTGTCCTCCTGTCTCGTGCGGCATCTGCGCTCATCCGCATGGCTGGTCGCTAGCCGGTGAGATTGCTGGTTTGACTAGAAGCCTCCTAGCTGCACTCAACGTCTAGCGCCGGGCCGCGAAACAAAATTGCAAGAGGCGACGGACCCGTTGAGTTGAATCCGTCGCCTCAGAGCTTTGCCACAAGGCGGGTGCAAGGATCTTCAGTCGTAGGAGGCAAAAGACAAGTTTTGAGGGCAGGTAGGACTGTTTCAGGCATACAATACAAAGGTGGCGGTAGACGCCCAAGGAAGCAGCAACAATGAAGCCGTGTTTGTGACGTTTGTTTGTGAAGCGAGGGGAGCATGTGTATGTAATCGACGATCACAGGTACCCCCGAGAGAGATGGCAGCGGGGCAGATACAAAATGCGAGCCATCCAGGCCCGGTCCTCTGCGTTCAGTCTCCCTAGCGTTCGCTCAGCTCAAAAATTCGCCCTTTCTTTCTCTCTCTCCTTAATACTCCCAGCTGCCCAACCGCCCTGCCCCGACTGTGCCCCTCAAAATGTTCTTTCCCCCCATCGCCTTCCTCTGTGCCCTCCCTCTCGTCCACTCAGTCGCAGTCCATCTGCCCCATGACTCCCATGAAGCCTCAGGCTCTCTCCCCAGCTCCTGGTTCCACCAACGCGATCACCCAGTACACGCCCTCTTTAGACGCGCGCCCGGCGATGGCAATGATTATCCCGCTGTAGGCACCCCGCGTGAGTGGCATTTTCTAATATCTATCTCTTTTTTTCTTATCCGTCTTATTTTCTCCAGAATGGTCTGCTGGGTTCCCCCCAGCCTCAGGCGCCCCCGATCCGTCCCTTCTCCCCGCGGAGTGGGTCAACGCCCTCAACGCAGCTGTCGCGGCAGGCAGGATCCCCGACATTCCAAGGTCCTCCAACACGCCGCAGACCAACCCCGTCTATCCTCAGGGCGTCAATCCCAACAGCCCAGAGGTGTGCTCCGCTACCTACAAGTGCCGCATCCAGAGGACGCCTGGGATGCCCCCGACGGTGTCTTCGCCTCCTCCTTCGACGACGGTCCTCTGCCTGTATGTTCCCCGACGTTTTCCCGCATGTCCCCTTCCGCTCACCTCGGGTCCGTTGCAGCCTACCCCGGCCCTCGTCGAGTTCCTTGGTCAACACAACCAGAAGACCACCCACTTCATGATCGGTGTCAACATCCTCTCTTACCCCTCCCAGTTCCTCGTCGCCTTCAACGCCGATAACGACATTGCCGTCCACACATGGTCCCATCCGTACATGACCACTTTGAGCAATCTCGATATTTTGGGCCAGGTTCGTCTTATCTCGCCCGCTGATAGGCTCCGACGCTAAATTAACCGTGCATTTGCTTTTGTAGCTTGGCTGGACCATGCAGTTGATCCACAACTCGACGGGAGGGCGCGTCCCCAAGTTCTGGCGTCCCCCCTATGGCGACTCTGACCGTCGTGTCAGTGCGATCGCCAAGGAGGTGTTTGGACTGACCACTGTCATCTGGAATCAAGAGTGAGTTTACTTGCCGGTGTTTTCTTCTGCCCGCTGAACACCGCTCACGCACACATGTACTGTATTAGCACCATCGACTGGAACGCGCCTGACGCTGCCCATATCCAGGCGTCCATGACCGGATTCTTGGCCAGTACGTCCCCTCCCTGATCCCCTGCGTTCTTCCCAAGATGATAACCACCCATCTCGCCCCGCAGGCCCTAAGAGCCCCGGTCTCATGATCCTCGAGCACGAAAGCAAGGACATCACCGTCGCAGGCTTCATCCAGTCCTACCCCATGATCGCCAGCAACGGGTGGAACTTTGCCTCGCTCGCCCGTGTCATTGGGGACGGTCGCGCGTACCAGAACGCCCAGAGCTCCTCGTCCAACGACGTCCAGGACTCGGACATCCTGGCGGGCAACGGCTCTGGGTCCTCTGGATCCTCGGCGCCTACGACTCGTGCGTCGTCGACCTCCGCGGCGCCTTCCACCACCTCCAGCGCGACCACTACGACGGCGTCCACGAGCCAAACCGCGCAGAACCAGGCGCCCAGCGCCACCACGTCCCAGAGTGCGGCGCTCGCCTTCCGCCACGACTTCTCCAGCGGCACCCTCTCCGCTCTCTTCTCTCTCGCCGTCGTCGCTTTCTCGAGTGCTTTCCTGCTGTAACGACTGTTCATGTGTTCTATAGAAGAAGGCCGCACAGACTTTCCATGGGACAATCTTTTGCCATCTTTCATCCATCCATCCATCGTACATACAACCATTCGTAAAGTACAAGTACACACCACCTACACGGACTTTTACTACATGGGACTCTTTTTTCGCCATCACCACTATAGGACCTTCTTACATACATAATACTCTTCTCTTCTCTTCCTTCCTTACGACGAGCATAGTACTAACCACGGATCCTCTTCTTCCCTTCCTGTTTCATACGCCCTCTCCTCCCCCCTCCCCCCTTCCTCCCTCCGTCATCACGATCCGCGACGCCCATGTAACGCTAATATCATCAGTTAATAGTTTTAGTAGTGTTGGCGGCCTTTATGGGCTCGCTTTTGGACATTCGAAGTCAAAAAGTCAAACAATCCTTTGTGTAGGTACTTGTCCTGTGTCATATCTAGCTCTAGGCAGTCCAAATCCACTCGTTTGTATAGTTGTTCCATATCCCGGTCGGAGGACTTGTCTCCACACTCGATGCTCAGGTTCGCGGCTAGCCTGCAAGAACACAAGGCTACACAAGGCGACAAGATAAATACACGAGCCGCACAGGACTCGCACTGGCAAGAGCGGCGAATAGCTCGACGGACTCGACGGCCCCGTCGCTCGAGGCATATTTCCTTCGAGCTACGTGCTCCACGGGGGTACCGGTCCAAAAATAAAAGTTGCAGGAAGGCATCATCATCATTGTCATGGCCAGCAGTGGCGTTCGTATTCGTTAAATATCGTGAGAGGGTAAGTAACAGCGGTTACAACGACGGGGATGGATATATAGCTTGTTCAGCGGTGGTAAGTGGGATCTCCAGAGGGCAACCCGACAAAGCGTCGATTATGAATGAATAAATAGATAACGGAATTAGATGTCGATGATGACAATCGATGAAAGCCCAAAACAAGTCGAAGGGAGGTATGTACAGAAGATGAAGATGAAGAGGGATGTCCGTGAACGAGGAACCTGGCAGGGCAGGTTGTGTGGGTCGTGAATCGTGATAGGGTTCGTTATTCATGACGACATGATGCTCGGCCACTTGAGCTTGAGGCCCTCAAGCCAGCGCATGTAGAGCAGCTCGGCAATGGGTGATTTCCGCGTAGGTGAAGGGTCGGCTGGTGTTGGCGTCGGTAAGACAGCTGAACCATTAGGACTCGAGGTTGAGGGCAAGCCAGAGATCTCCTCTTGTTCCTCGGTCACGACCAGACCCTTGGCCGTCATCTCGCTCTTGCGGATGATACGTTTGTGGGGGAAGAAGCTTCGTGAAGTCTGAATGTGCTGCTTTATTGACGGATTGCTGGAAGAAATTCAGCTCGGACATGATGCCAAAAATACATGAAACTCACTCGTTAATGCCCTGAAGGATGTCGAGGATGATGTTATACGCCAGCTCAGGATTCGCATCCTTTAGCTCGGTGAACCCTCGCTGCAGCATGCTCAGAGATTCGATCTCACGGGCATCCATATCATCTCGGATTTGCTAATGATAACCGTTAGCTCAGACTCTCATCTAGGTTCAAATGAATAAAACCCACGTTCTCCAAGATAGGAAGAATAACCTCATCGACAACGGACCGGCCTGCCTTGCCTATCTCGCTGGAAGCACGCCTATGTGTTGTGGGTGAAGTGGGCGATGAGGAAGCACTGCCCTCCTTCCTGATGCTTCCCACAAATTCAGAAGAAAGTCTCAGTGAGCCGACTGGGTCGACTTTCTTCACAGGCCGTATTGTATCGATGCCCGTGCCAATATCAGCTTCACGAAGAACTGTACCAGCACCATCTACAGATGTACGAGCAGCGTACGACGCCCGACGTGACGAGCGGACCGAACCCGAGTAAGCTGGTGGCGCGCCTAAGCGGTAAAAGGATAACAGTGAGACAAAAATAGATACCATCGGAGATGATTGACTTACCTGATGGCGTCTCTTCACTGGGTACCTCGGGAATGCGAGGAGGTTTAATGATAACCGTCGAGTGTGCCGCATCACGGTTCATCCCCAGTCCGTTGGTGACGATAGGATCACTCCCTTTCGTGGCAGCGGAGGTGTCAACGGATCCCTGCTCGTCAGTGTCGTCAAGCGTTTCGTCATCTTCCGCCACCATACCCGGAGGCATCGAGAGGTCGTGGATGGTCCCTCTGAAGGAGCCGAGAGCAGACATCGTCCTTACGGTGTCGAAGTTCCAGTCGCTTTTCATCGTGTTGTTGCTGTCCCATGTGCCGTTGCTACGTATGGACGCATGATTTACCGGACCCCTGGGTGGCGAGCGCGCTCGATAGTCTTGATATCGTTCAATGAGCTCCGTCAGATAGGACGTCTTCTTTGCTGTGCGAATGAATTTGTGTTGCAACAGTTCATTGGCAGTTGGGCGCTTTCAGGGCCGGTGAATGAAGGAAAGGTAGCGTAGATGAAGGAAAACGTACAAGCTTGGGGTCTTTCGTCAGACATTGGGCAACGAAGTCTTTGAACGTAGCAGAGAAGGGACCTTCGAGCAGAGGTGGTTTGGCTTTGGGGATTAAGAACAATACCCGCATGGGGTGGTACTCGGCCAGTGGGGGCTCCCCTTTTGCCATCTCGATGGCAGTAATACCCAAACTCCACATATCCGCTTTAGCGTCGTAACCTGCTTGCCGAATAACTTCAGGTGCCATCCAAAACGGTGTCCCAACGAAGGTGTGTCGAAGGGTGTTTGTGAGTTGTGCGGCGACACCGAAGTCAGCGAGCTTGACCTTCCCTGATGAGGACAATAGTATGTTGGCTGCTTTGATATCCCGGTGGATAGTGCCTTCGGTATGGAGATAGTCGAGTCCTAGTAATAGCTCGCGGCAGATCACCGCGATGTGGGCCTCCGAGAAAACACCAGGTTTCAGAAGGTCCAGGCATGAACCCCCAGCCAGGTATTCCATGATGATCCATAGCTTGTAGTTCACGACGAAAGAGCCATAGTACCGTGTAACGTACTCCGAGTCGCACTGAGCAAGGCTTGCAATCTCCTGCTGTATCTCGGAGATATCGTCGTCGGAATCTTCGAGATCTACGCATTTTTCAGAACGAGCTGCAGAGCCAACGATGAAAGGGACACACCAATCTGTTTGACCGCAACAATCTGCTTCGTATCATTGTGAATGGCCTTGTAGACCGTTCCGAAGCTACCGGTGCCTAACTTCTCGAGAAGAGTGTACTGGCTGGCGGGATTGCTGCTTGGGATGGGGTAGGGCTCTCGGGGACGGTTTTTCTGCTCTACTTGAGGGGAGGAGGGAGGGGAACGAGCAGCGGCTTTATGCTGCGAGAGAGCGATGTTAGACTGGGAAGCTCTCCTCATTTTGAGGGCAGGAAACATGTAGAAGAGAAGCAGAAAGCAGTGGACCGTGAATCATGTCATGTCTCCTCCTCTGACCTCATGCATCGAGCGACCCAAGATAGACAGTCTCGCACACGTGGGGTCAGTCACGACGTATCTCGTTAACAGCTTCACAGCATCAACGGAAAGATGGAATGGGCAAAGAGAAAGGGAGTTCCGAAAAAAGACAGGCCACTCACCATAATTATCGTCGTAAAAGTCGTCACGAATTCGTAAAAAAAATTGGAGAATCGTTCAGCAGGTTCAAAGGTCCGGACTGGATGGGTATCGGTGAGCTCTTGACAGACAGAATTAAGGGTTGACAGAGGTCGTCTGTGCAGTCGATATAAGTGGAAAGGTCCAACCGGAGAAGAGAAAAGTGATCGAGGCCTATGAGGTGATGGTTGCTCTCCTAAGCGCGAGCCGGCTGGAAATGGCAGGTCCACAACGGGCACCCGTCCTGGCTGCAGTAGGGCTCCTTGCAATTTTCGTGGACGACGACAAGGAGCCTTGGAAGGGGGCTGTTTGGAGGCGCTGTGGACCCTCTCAGACAGTCTCAGTGCCTTTTAAAGCCCACTTTCTCCTCCATCAGCACGTATAATATTATGTAAGCACTCAGGCCGCACGCAGTCTAATTCGGACTCGCAAGTGGGTGTTGGACATGTGCATGGTGTGTATATTGCATGTGGAAGGGAAGAGGGAGAACAGAAGTACATCATAGGCATGGCCAAACGAACCCCCGACGCTGCGCGACGCTCAACCATAAATTAGGCCTTGACGGCGTATTTCCTGATTGGGAAGTTGGCGTCCTTTTTGCGCTGCTTTAGCGTCTTCAGCGACGCTTCGTTCTGTTGAAACAATTCCGTGTTATCAAGATGCCCAGACGAACGAGCCGCATGATACTCACCTTCGTCAGCCGCCGCCTGATAGCCCTTGTCTTCTTCGGTCGCAGGTCGAGGGGAATGTATTTCTTGTTCTTGTAGTACTCGCGGAGATTTTGGCGAGCCTTCTGGTTCATAACGGTCAAAACCCGAGCGATCGACTTGCGGACGGCAGAGCTAGAAACAGGAAAGTCAGATGAACCATTCCGTATACCATTTGACGCAGAAACTATTCACATCTTCGTCAGCTTCGATGCTGAACCGCCAGCAATCTTCTGCACTCGCAGAGTGAGGAGCTCGTTTTTCAGCTCTACAAGTTGCTTGGACAAGTCATTCTTGGACCTGGAATTGATGGTGAACGGTCATTCCTTCTCATTAAAATTCGGGGGACACACTTGGATTGGAGTTCGTAGGCCTTGACTTTAGGCATTTTGGTGGTGTCTGGGGATGGGCAAACAAATCAGAACTCCATGTCCAAATCCCCTCCTTCCGTCACAGAGCGATATCCTCCCGCCTCCTCCTAGTTCCAACGTGTCCGAAAGCGCTCTCTGAAACAGATCGGGGTCGTATAGCGAAGGAATATAGGTTACTCACCTTGAGGGGCGTCGTGCGTTCGCGATCACTCACTGGACTGGTGAAGTCAGATCTGTGTCCTGAACCTTATTTCATGAACTGTAAAGTCGATCCCACGCTGCCCAAGCCGGCCGTCTAATCTTATCTTTGCTATTACCTCCGCTTGAAATGACGTGTGGATCACGACGTCTGTGCGTCTCAACTACCACAATGTCCTCGTCTCGCTGCAGTCTCTTTAGACCGTGTATCGACTTGCACAATGGCCAAGTCAAGCAGATTGTCGGCGGCACCTTGTCAGATTCCGATCCAGACACTCTTAGGACTAACTTCGTCGCGAGGTACCCCACTCTTGTTTCTGAGCGAGCATAACCGACAATGAACCAACAGACAGACCGCTGGTGAATTCGCTCAAATATACAAAAAACATAATCTGCAAGGCGGTCATGTTATTAGGCTTGGGCCAAGGAATGACGAGGCTGCACGAGAGGCTCTTGCTGTTTGGCCAGGTTTGACCAACTTTCCCCATCGCAAGCGGCATACCGGTGACAGGAACGAAGCCCAGATGCCCTACAGATAGGAGGAGGGATCAATGACTCGAACGCGAAGTATTGGATCGGTGCTGGTGCTAGCAAGGTTTGTGTGCGAGTTTCATGCAAGCCTGTTCAGCTAACTGTTGTCTGCAGGTCATCGTGACTTCATACCTTTTCCCCAATGGCAAATTCTCGTTGGATCGTCTCAAGGCTGTCAATGCTGCGGTTGGAAAGGAAAGGCTGGTCGTCGATGTTAGGTATGCTCTGGGATATTGTGATGGCTGAAACGGTTTCATTCTTGCAATTCCAGCTGCCGTCGAAGAGGCGACCGGTGGCAAGTCGCCATGAATAAGTGGCAAGACATTACAGACATGGAGGTATCGAAAGGTGAGAAAGGCGTTACCGGGTGCTCACTCATATTCAGTGCTATCTCCCAGAGTCTTTGGATATGTTGTCGGAATATTGCAGGTCAGCTTGAGCGACCTGGACACGAACTTCGATTCACTCCAGGTGTCGGGTGCAGCGAGTTCCTCATCCACGCGGCCGACGTGGAAGGTTTGTGTCAGGGCATCGATGAAGACCTTGTGCGCAGTAGGTCCACGTCTCGATGCGATCCGTACGCTTCTCATAATGGCCTAGAGCTCGGTGAATGGGTAACTATCCCGACGACGTATGCTGGTGGGGCAAAGGGTCAGTGATTTCATTCCTTTCGTTACCCTAACGAAGGGTTGACATTGTTGTAGACATTTCTGACCTTGATTTGGTTGATCGACTATCTGGTGGCCGAGTTGACCTAACCTATGGAAGGTGTGTCCTGATCCTCCTGCATCGTCGACGATTGACCGTGTCTGCCCTTACAGTGCGTTGGATATGTTTGGTGGCCAGCAGGTGAAATTCGATGATCTGGTTAAGGAAAATGCCACACGACAGGCCAAAAACGCTGTACTGTCGCCATGATATTTCCTGTTGCCTTTAGTATTTTACATTGCAAGGGGTATTGCGCGATCCTAACATGTGTGATGTGGGGGTACCCAAACATTTAGTATTCCAACGAGTTCTCCATGATCTTCGTCAGATACTCCCTTCCGTCAGCACCGACAACATCTCCAATACCCGGTGCCAAGTCAAGAACACGCCTCTGTGGCAGCGTTCCTTCGACGAGCTTTCCGACGTCACCAGCCGAATAGCTGAAACAGCTTTTAAGTTATAATCAGACATTGTTGTGTCATGTTACTCACCCAACAGCCTTCAAACCGCGAGGAACTCCCAGTCCGTCCAAGAAGCGAGCGATAGACTCGTATAGATGAGCGCCCAACTCTCTGTCGGGGATTCTTGTTATGGACGGATCAGAGATGGTCGTTCCGTTAAAGATCGCAAGGGCTTCACGATGGCGCTCAGGAGATGATGGGGCGGTGAACTGGAAGACTAGAGCAACAATTCAGTTTACCGGGGCTGAGAGCAGGTATCGAGGACTGGCCAGCAGGGCCTGTGAGCGCAACACTGCAACGAGAATTAGGTCATGTTTCGAAAGCAGATGTGAGAATGAGTTTAGATACCTAACACCGTGCGGGATGATGGGAAGGTCTGTGACGTATCCCGGATGCTTGTATTTCGGACCTTTCTTGTTCAGTCCTGAGATCTAGAGATGTTTCGTTAGCACCCATATCAACACCTAGAGCCTTTAACATACTGGATAGCTCATTCCATGGCATAAATGGACACCGGCGTTGCCAAATCCGATACCAGCGAATGAAGAAGCCAGGCTGCGATGCTTGCGTAAGGTAGATTAACGCGCACAACGGTGTTGGCGACCTACAGCATTTGGCGGCGAGCCTCTCCGTCATCGAGGTTCTTCGCAATGCGTGGCAGATTCTCGACAGTGGTTCGAAGAGCCCAAAGAGAGAAAATATCGGCTACAGGATTGCTTCCTTGGTACGCGGGTCGCAGGATGGGGTTGGCAGGTCGAGGGATACGTTCAGTATATCTAGTCATTCTGTCAGGATTATCCTCAAAATAAAAACAGGAGACTATTCACGGTATTGCGGTATAACTCTCCATACTATGGAAGAGGACATCGAGACCGGCACTAATTTGAACAGCCTTTGGACAGGATTCGGTGTTGTGGGTATCCTGAAACAAGCTTAAACTAGAGAACAGCATCGAGACAAAAGAGACACGTACCACTATGCCCAAGACCGGCTTCAAAGCACGGTTCGCAATACCAGTCTTGAAGGACCGAGAAGTGATGTCGAGAATCGCCGTTCCTGTAGTCTCAGAGCCAGTTCCGGCAGTCGTAGGAATAGCAATTAAAGGGCGTAGAGCCTGCGTAATTGGCAGACCCTTTCCGATGGGAGCGTTGATGAAGTCCATGAGATCCGCATCCTTATATACTGTGAATCTGAAGGCGAAGGATCAGAACACGTTGAGGTGAACAGCAGTATCGCGTACGTACAGATTTGCAGCCTTCGCTGTGTCGATAACGCTTCCTCCTCCGACACTTGATTAAAGTTCATAAATAAAGGATGGCATCCCACTGGAAGGGGAGACCATACGCAAGGAAATGACTGAAGTCGTGATGGCGGGCCCAAGTTATTGCACTGCGCCAACTCTCTTCAGTAGGCTCTGCGACTACCTGATCGTACACCTCGAAAGGGAGATCAGTTTCTGCTTGTAACGCAGCGAGAGTCTAGATGATCAAAGGGTTCAAATGAGGGGTGATTGGATTGGACATGAGAACACTGACCGTTTTCATAGGTTTAAGTTGTGCAACGTTCGGGTCGGTGAAGACCCCAACCTGAGAAGCAACGAGGTAAGCATCACTACAAACCCGTTCAGCACTATTGTATCACCTTGCGGGCCTTCATATTCTTGAGATCCATGCCGACCTCGGCAGTGACTCCATCCCCGAAGCGCAAGTTGGATGCAGCAACCTATGGTGCAAGAACGTCAGTAAGCGCCCTTAATTAAAGAACGATGTAACGTACTTCAAAAGCGTACTCCTTTTCTACTGTCGGAACCGGTGTTGCGAAGTTCCTCAGGTGGTTAATGGTTTGAAGTTGACCACCTGCCGGCAGGGATGGACGGCAGCCATGACAGGGACACGCGGAATGTTGTGACGCATTAATGAGACGCAAAATAGAGTTCCTGGATGCTGCAGCCATTGTGAACGCGAAAGAGAGAGGGCAAGTGGGAACGCAACCCTAGTATGGGTGTTCATGCTCCGGACAGGGTCGCCGAATGCGGGGTATGATTGCCATATCGGGATAAACAGACTCGGCATGTCAACGCCAATTTCTTAGGCGCCACTGCAGCCCGGCCAATACCAGCGCGCTGATGCCTTGCAAGACCAACAAGCCCTCTCTGCACTCTCGGTATGCGCACCTGGCAGGCCAAGGGTGCGCGTGTGTTGTGTGTGCGCCTGTCAGTGAACTGAGACGCATCAGCGCAAGAAATAAAAAAGCGGTTTTACGTACTTGCCGGATGTAGATATCAAACCCAAACAAGGGCTTCGATCTGTGCGCAGCGGCTTGTCGTCGACCCCCCGCTCGCTGTCTCGAGTCGAGTCTCCCCGACCTCCCAGCACCTCCCTGGCACATTCTTTAGTCAGAGTACGCTCATTACCTCAGCTTCCCATGAAGCTTTCTCTCTCTTTTGCTCTGGCCGCCTTGGTCGCCGTGTCATCAGCGCACAAGGTCTCCTTCAAGAAATACAAGCAACCACACAACCCCCTCCAACGTCGCTCACCCCAATACTCACCCTCAGATCTACAAATCAGCGTCGACTCCGAGGTTTCCGACAAGAACTCGTTCGATCTCAAGTGCGCCGGCTGTCCTCTCTACTTTCGTTCGCGGACTGACGAATGTAAAGCTCTGTCCATGATCTAATTTACATTGCCAACGTATGTCCCTCCATAGCCCATTCTAAAGTCGTCCTTTGACTTTCCCTTCCCAATTAGATTACTGTTGGCGGCATTGGTTCGTATAAAGGCTCGGGTTTCTTCACTTTACACCTGTCTTGATATGGCCTTCACCCAGATTATCCCGTTCAACTCGACACTGGCTCCTCTGATTTATTCATCAAGGGCGACACCCACCCTCTCCCCAATGTCGCGTCTACAGTCAGTCCGCCCCATATGCTTGCTCTGCGGTGTATTGATCCTGCTGAAACAGTCCCTTACCTTGAACCTTACCGTGAGTATTCCAAATGCTATGTTGGCCAGAACGCGACTGGAACTATGATGCATCAGTATGCGATTGGTTGGGCGTACGGAAACATCGCCCATGCGCCAGTGGAATTTGTTGGGTGTGTACTCATCTGAGATAACGCCTCTTCTTACTCAACTGCATTTATCTAGCATTGCCGTCCCTTCACAAGCTCTAATCGATGCAACCTCGGTCAGGAACCCCGCTCTCACCTTCGGGGCACAAGGGATAGCAGGATTGGGCTTCACCAGAATGTCGCACATCGATATGACGCTCAACGACACTCAATCCTCAGCCGGCCGCACCCTCCTATTCAACCTGTTCGAGGCCAATCCCTCCGAACCCAACTTCATTGCATTCGCATTACAGCGAGGAGCCGATCCAGATGACGAGGTTGACGGTACCTTCTCCATTGGTATGACCAATTGTAAATCTCTTCTCCTTTCACACAATCCCAACGATGTCCACAGGCGAGATCGAGCCTCAATACTCCGCTGTCATGGGTAACGCCAAGATATCTACATGGCCTATCAATTCGCCTTACAGGTGGAATGTGCTCCTGGATGCTCTCATCGTCAACGACACAATCACCGTACCCACAACACAGGTTGTAGGAGCGCCAAGCAACAAGGCGGTCGTTCTGATGGACAGTGGGTCCTCCTATTCGTAGGCGAAATATGATGACTATACGTATTCTTCATTGACCCACCGACCCACAGATATGCGCCGAAGTCCATTGTGGATGCTATCTATAGTGGTGTTGACGGTGCTACATATGATCCCGCCGCTGGATATTGGAAAGTCCCTTGCTTCGCTGAAGTCAACATGGCACTGCAAATAGGGTGGGTTGCCTTTATCTTCTAGCGTCTTCAATTTTCTGAAGTTATTGTTCTCCATCAGTGGGCAAGTCTTCCCTGTCCACCCTTTGGATGTCAACCCCACTTTGGCTGCCGACCCAACAACGTGCATTGGATCATTTATCCCTCAGGCGCTATCCATTGGAAATGACTTGTGAGTGTTCCTTTTTCCTTGATGGAAGCAGTAGTGATTCTTCTCCCAGCGATTGGCTCATTGGAGACAACTTCTTGCGGTCTGTATATTCCCTCTATGACTTCGGCGATTTTGAGGACGATGGAAGTATGGGTAATCCATACATGAAGCTCCTGTCAATCATCGATGCCGACGAAGCGTCTGTCGCCTTCCACGAACTTCGCGGCGGTACACCCAGGACGAACATCACTTTCACAGGCCTTGACGGCATCCACGTTGCTCCCTCCTTCTCCATCTCCACCGACATCTCTGAATCCCTCGAATTGATTGGCAAGTTCGTCCCAGCTATGTTGGCCATCGTGGCCCTCAACGCCCTCATCTTGATTGTGTGCTGCATTGTCTGGCTTGTGTCGTTCTTGCGCAAACGCCGAAACCGTGCATTTGCCCGCACGCCTCGCGCTCGCATGAGTCCTATGCCCATGAACGCCAGACACAGCTACATCGCAGGCTCTGAGCCCGAGCGTTCACCCATTACACCCCATGTCTACGAGCCTGTCTCCATGGCTCTGACCGAAGACACTTTCGTGCCTCCGTCACCTGCCTTCCTCCGATTCGACAAGGATGGAAGCAAGCTTTCTCCGGGCGATAGGCCGAAATCCGTCGCGTAGTGTTTTGTCTGGTGGATGTGTAAATGACTTATGGCTTTTTATGGACTGCCTGCTATTGTTTTGCTGAGCACAGTAGCTAGATAGTGCGCACATGTTTACTAATGTAAGTAGGGGCTAAGGACAAGTTCGACCTTATGTTGCTATTCAACTTCTAATATTCATTGCTATCGTGGAAGTTCTGAAGGAATTCAATTACCAACGCGAGGGATGTAAACGAGGGTAGTAACAATGCCTTGGGAGTAACCTGAAAGGAGAAATGGATGATACTACGCGGGGTTTTGGAGAGACCTCCGCTTTCGCGGCTTCGGAGGCGAGGGGCTTGATTCTTGATTCTTGGACCAGTTCTGAGCTTGCTTGTAGAGAGCCCACCATTTCTGCGCCTCTTCGGGTTTAGCATACCTTCCATTCTCTTCCATGACGTGGTCAATTGTCTCCGTAAGCACACTCGCGAATTTTGCCCCGCAAAAGCTCCTCGACTTGATCACTTTGTTTGTTTCCTGCTTGACCTCTCCTCTGGCGTGCATGACGGTGTCGAACCCGAGGTGGTCGACGATACGCAACGCCTGACGCATGTGCGCACGGTTCTTTGTTGCTTGTGCAGTTCCAAGCATCCAGGATATGACATCGGCCGTTGGGTTGAAACTTCTCCCTGGACCTCGCTTGTCCAATCTGGGCTTTGCAGCCACGGAACCGTCCATGAAGTCATGGGAGTGGTAGCCGGTCATCAAGTCGAAAGTGCGCATGGCTGAATTCCAGTCACCACCGTATCGGCACGCCTGCATAACGAGATTGTACGAAGATAGCGCTGGTCGTATTTTTGGGCCGTTAGCGCCGGAGATCTCCTGACGTAGCATCCATTCGAGCATTTGCACTGCATGGTAGCCTATGCCCGGCTCTCGGAGTGCAATGTCGGCCTTGAGCACCTCCTCCATATGTCCTCGATCTATTATCGACGCACCGCCAATATTTTCCGATCTTCTTCGAACTTGCTGGTAGAACTGGGATGCAAGTGAATACTGCTTGCTCTGGTTGCACAGGCGCAGGATAGCAGCCAGCGATTCTGGCTGGAGGGTGAGGAGGCCAGGTTGAGACGTCATCTTGTTGGCGTCTAGCCCATAATATTCTGACACGACTTTGAAGGCGAGATGGTAATCCATTTCATTGCCGCCCGAAAGGGCATTCAACGCGGCGACAACGGTATGCGAATCGGGGACGAGGGCTGGATTTTTCTTGGATGCTTTGACCATTTGAGCCCACAGAAGCCGTGCGTCAGCGGCAGCCTTTACGGCTCCTTCGGGTGTATCATTCTTCGCTGCAGCAATGGCCTGGAACATGGCAGTATAGATATACTGTGTCGGCGCCATGGGACCTTCCAAGTCGAGAGCGTAATAAACGTCGAAAATCTCTTGGTACTGCCCTGCATTCCCGAGAAGTCGAATGTAACCAGCAAGTGGGTCTGCACTGAGTTCTTGGTTGTTTGGGTCGTGCCTTTTGATAGAAGCAACATGCCGCTGGAACCCTTCATACAGCGATCGAGCGTGAACAAGTTGTTTGGTGTGTGTGGACCAGCTTTCGATTCTCGAGAGCCCATTGAAAAAAGTTTGGAAAGTTCTCAATGTGGGACTGAAGCCTCTTCTCTTCATCTACATGAATTGAAACTGAGCAGCGAAGGGAGAAATGGAAAGAGGACGGCTCACATCGACGAACAACTGGTAAGCCGTTGAATGGCGTTTCTCCTTCAAACACCCCCAGATCAAGGTGTTCCACACTTGGGTGTTCTGAGCGTCCAATGGCGCATTCTTAAGCATGTAGATTGCGTCTGGAAGCTTTCCGGCGTCGCATAGCTTCTTGACCCTAGCAGATAGTACATGTGGTTCGAGCAGGCGAACTTCGGACTTGAGTGCTGTTTCCTTCGAAGGGTCATAATGTCGCGAACGAAAGGCGGTAGTCGAGGGTGATGTTGCGTAGGCTTTTTGTTTGCCAGCAGACTTCGAAGAGGCACCACTTGCAATTGACTTGGGTTGGAGCTGTTGTCTGCGCAAGAATCTGGGCAGCTGGGGTGCCTCTCCTTCAACGCGTGAGGAATGACGGGTGGAAGCAAAACGGCGGTCCGCTGGTGACGGTTGAGAAGTGCTGGACTGCGGAAGGTGGTGGGTTTCCAACCAGGATGACAGTGTATTGAGAGATAGTGCTGAAGAAGCAACGCGAGGAGCCGAGCTGTGAGTCGCATTACGGAGCATGGTCGAGCACAGGTGACGGTAGACTAAGGGCGCTCGCGGAAAAATCGGCGCGTCTGGTCACCAGACCAAATGCCTCCGATGAGATTAGATTGCAGAAATAGTATTTCTTTTGCTTTTCTTCTTGCCCTCTGACTCTGAGGCCCGATTCACTGACCCCATCCGGACACCGAGCAATTCTTCTATCCTTTACATGCCTCGAGGTATTTTTTTTTACGCATTTCAACCAAGTTTGAACAGAGGGTTTAGCAAGTTTTCAGCTGGTCCCAAAACCTGTCAGCAGCCAAGTCGAGGAAAGTTGCAAGACTGGTTAACGAGTCGAAGGTCACCCTACACAAATCCTACATGCTTATAGGTCCTCGTATGACACATCTGCACGGTTGTCACTATACCCCGTGTCCCAAATCCTCGATTAACGTAGAAAGATCCACCTCGCGTCAAATTCGGACAATTCCAACCTACCTCCACGTTTTCCCCAAGCGATGCTTTCCCGAACCATATTAAGAAGCCATGCTTGTCCGTCTGCTCGAGCTTCGACGGTTGTGTGAGGCTTCTCAGTCGACTCTGCCCGCACTGCGATGCACTCGGATCTCCCGCTCGCCCTCTTCGTCCTGCTTTGCTCTCTCAGCATCGTCGCCTCTATCCCAACATGGGAAGGCATGAACGGCAGGTCTTCCATCGGATCCCTTATTCCAGGTGCTTCGAACATCCGAGCCCTGGGACCGGCGATCTCCCAAACCATGCCTCAACACCTCACAGTCCATGTTCCAGGTAGGTATTCGCTCCTGCCGGTGGAATATCAGGCAATATGCTAATTACCACCCACAGGCCAATTGGGAAACCTCACAATTTCCCCTGAGAACGTTGGACCGCCACTGTTCTTCCAAACCCCACCACTGTTCTACATCAACAGGAACAAACTCTGGTTACTCGTGAACGAGACCACCGTGTTCCCCGTCAACATCCGTAATATGACTGGAACCCATGATCTGCCAATGCAGTTAGTTCTAGGAAAGAAGACAGAAGGGATCACGTACGGAAGCTGGCGATGGCAAACGACGATGCTGTATTACGATGTACCAGGAGGGAGATCTAATGATGGCATTTATTATCTCTGCCGCACGGAGAGTGGGTTGCAAAACATATTCATGACCACCGTTCCGTACGTCCTATTTCGTCCCATACCAAAAGGCGGCTCAAAGCTTACCATCCCATTCACAGGAGCCCGACACCCCCTGGATGTGGCATCACGACTCTGCATAGTTTCATCCGGGCCGGCATGAAAGATCGCCGTCGTACACTATGATATGCCATTTGACATAAAACAACAAATAACATTGTATTTCCAGTCGACTATGACACCTTTTTCTGGTGAAGCGTAAGGTTCATCCTCCGTGCAATCATGCCAAGACTGAAGAGACTGAAGAAAGCAGTCCCAACGGCGACAGGCTTTTTCAAATGAGCTGCCCAAGAGACTTTGTATGACACCTGCGAAGGGCGTTAGCCTGATTGAAATTTCACTGGACAGGAAGGAAGAACGCACGAAAATGCTCTCGGCTTGTTTCACCGTCAAGTCCTTATAGTGGAAGGTCAACTTGGGCCTGCCAGTTGTGTCAAGGTAAGTTGTATGCGTTCCTATCAAGGCGTCAGCAGCTCCTGGGAATGGCGCCACGAATTGAACATCACTGGGTCATGTCAACATGTCAGGCTACAGTACAATGCAAGATGGGGAGAGAAACATACGTAGCTCCTTCGGGGAGGATCACCGTAAGTTCTTCTTGGTTGATTACTGCACCAAGAATCGGCGTCATGATAGGAACTTCGACGATGTATCTGCCAGTGGACCTGTCGTAGCTAGCTGAGTCTTGCAGAGGGGCATCCCATCCAAGAGTGAAGGTGTAGTTCCAGCCACCCAGAAGAGGATAGCGGGGCCTCAAGTCCAACACGCTGAACTGGGTGCCTTGCTTGTCCTTAGGGACCGAGGGAGCCACTCGCAGTCTGGAGGTAGACACATTGCCAATCAGGTCGTAGTAGTACGCGTTGCGGATGCCGGAAGGAAGATGCAAAGTCATAGCTGGTAGGACGTGGGGTGCAACGCGCTTGTAATATGCTTGCGTCTGGTGGTCAAGACGAGAGAAATGGCCTTTCAACCTAAGAAAACGACATTAAGTTATGAGCGCCTTCAAACTACACACCCGACTTACTGAGGACCAGCATTGTGAAGGGTTATTTTGTCCTCCGTGTTGAGATTGGCGCCCCAGTGGCTAATCTCAACAGAACGTTTGAGATCAAGGAGTTCGATGACGGGTTGGTCATGGAAGTAGTGGATAACGACGGGCTGCTGATATTTTGGGATAAACGAAGACGACGTGCTGGGCGGGATGTTATCGTATGGCCCGTATACAACAGTCGCGCCTGTCTTGGTGACGGCGCTTTCCTTCATGAACGGCTCGATGTCCTGTGGTGTGGTGTACGAGATGACACGGGGTGTGCGAGACCTGGGGTGTGTGCGTCGTTCCACAGGAACGCGTAGAACAACAAAAATGGAACTTACTTAATCTTGGTACGTTGAACAGATGTCGCGTAAGGACTGAGAACGAAAAGGTCGGTATGGTATTTGAGAGCCTGCTCCTCGTTCTGGCCGACACTCGCAGGGTACGGGTACGTCGCGTGGGTTTGAATAGATTCCAGCACGAGATTCAGCGTCTTGTTCAGAGAAAGGGTTTTTGGTAATACGACTTCGATGAGGTGGTGGTCCCTGGCAGGAGCAGCGTTGAATAAGTTGTTTTAGAGAGTCAAGTCAAAATGGCGCGTACTTAGATCCATCGAAAGGCAGCTCTTTCACTTCTAGCCGCTCCTGTTGGCCCTTGACTTTCGCCTCTAGCCAGCTCGACTTCTCCTTTTCCTCGCGACCAAAAGCGATGGTATACGTCTTGAGGCCATCTTCGAGGGCCCTAATCGCAAATGTTGTCGTGACGTGGACCAGCGAGCCGCCAAGCTCAATTGTGCGGACGATAGCAGTGTTTTCAAAGGATTGACTAGAGGCGAAGACGGATGTTATGGATAGCAAGAGGAGGAAGGGGACACTGCGCCAACACTTTGGCGTCATGGTTGGTGGCAAAGACTGCGGTTAATGTCAACGTGTCCCAATGTAGGAATGTCCGCTATTTTTAGTAATAACTACGCGAAGTCTTCAAACTTCGAAGGTCTCCAATATTCCAGGAGAGTTCATAATCCGGCAGTAGACTACAAACAATAGATTATAGATTATTTGAACAACGTGTCTATTACCATCCCCATGTCGGTGAAGGATTACGGATGGGCTTGTCTTCCCTTTGCAAGGCAGCAGAGACAATTCTATTAAGCTTCTTTTTCCTCGCAGCGGCTTTTTGCTCCTCTATCGTCTTTCCTTCCTTTAACACGACAGTGAGTTTGGAGTTGGGATGTGTACGTGTGCCATAATGGCCACGCCCTCGAGGTTCTATCCTCGTGGGGGGTCGCTTGCCCTTGGTCGCCCATGCTTCCGCTATGGAACAATGAGATAAAAAGTTCAATAATGCAGTATGGTAAACATACCAACAACCAGCTTTCCTTCCTGTAGACGCTTGTATCGACCAGCATGGTCGCGAGCCGTCGCGAGCATGTTCATAATTCTCATACTGGCACGCTTTTCGCTGAATTGCATTTGCAGAATTGCATAATCTATAGGCTTTCCTGCGATTTGACGCCCCAACATGTTAAGCTTACGGTGCGAGATTTTGAAGTTGGCCGTCGAGTATTTATGCTAGCAAACTAGTCAGTGCCCTACACAGGAGAGAAAACGGCGATAAGCACAGAGTTAGGCCGCTGCTTGGGAGGCAATTTGCTCTTTACAACATCCTTCGCCTTTTTCGCCCGCGGAAGAGCTGGAGGTTTGACGGTAACAACATCCTCGAAGACATTGGAGGTGCCTAGCTTCTTCGCCTGCTCCTTAGCAGCCTGGACCTCCTCCGGTGATTGTGTCTCCTTGATTCCCGATGCCAGCTTTTCTTTCACCCAGTCCAAAGGCCGAAGGAAGCTTGCACTGTGGCAAAGACGCGTTATTTCGAAGGGAATGTTCGGGGAAAACCACGTACTTGCGGCGGCAAACGGGTCCGAGTGAAGAGACAAATACCGACTGCCTCAGAAGCCTTGGGCCTGCTATCTTCAGCGTCGAGAAATGGGCATGTAAACAACATACGCACTACTTCGATACACTTGCATTGGAAAATGACAAGGTGGGTCGCGGTAGGTCGCGGTGCGGGCTGAATTGAGGCTTAGGTCACGAGTCACGAGTCACAGGATGGGCACACGGTTTAGACACGCAATGGCTTGAACCACGACATACTACTTTCCTCCCCACATATCGCTCTTCGCTCACCACAGCGGCACTGTCTGGACAGGGAGACTTCCAGAACATTTGCAACTCATCGGTATCGCTGGTGTGAAGTTGTTTCTTTCAAAATGGCGCTCTTTGGCATGATCTTCTACGTCTCCCTCCTCATGATAAATGCTATTGCAATCCTGAATGAAGAGCGGTTTCTCGCTCAAAGTACGTAAATTGTGACCTGGGATTTATTCCTGTCTGATATTTTGTGTTCCTCAAGTCGGGTGGCTGTCGACATCGCGTCAGATTAGAGACGTGAATACTGGATATCAACAACCTTATGACCAGAACGGTTATGGAGGTGCTCAAGGGGGAGATATTGGGATGAAAGCGAGATTGATCGACCTCATCAGTGCTGTGCGCACACTTATGCGAAGTATGTGTCATCTTTCTTCTAGGTTTCCATCGTCTCACCGCTGCAATAGTACCTCTCATAGTGATAAATACCTTGGTCATTCTATATGAACTCGTGTGGGGATAGACCGCAGTATATGCGCCCTTTTTTTTTTTATCAATCCTGACCAAGGCAGCGAGATGACTATGAACAGGAACAGCCGACGACTCATTCGCTAACTCCAGCAAGACTGCGGCTGCGATATAATGTATAAACTACGAAGGAAACTGCTTCCCGCATATAGATGGCGTGGATAGCCTTTCAGGTCCTTCACTCATTGAGCCGCTTGTATTCATCCTCTATCTGGCGAACAAAATCTCCAACGGCGTGGCCATTCTGATTTACTGGACTCAGGACTGTGATCCTGCACAGTTGTAATAGCATAACTGACCTCGCAGTCTTTCCAGGTTCCGTCATGTACGCAAACCGGTTTGCTACTGATCAGAACCGTGCAGCTTTTTCTGTCGCGACTTTTGAGCACATGGACGCATAAATTGATCTTCACGTACGTGACACCTAGTTTTGCACCCAGAGCAACGCTCTCCTTTAGTAAAGCGACACCCTCTGTCCCCTTGCCACTCCCGTCAAGGCCAGCACACTTTCCAGCACCGCTTGCTTCCCAGTCTACGCCGGCCGTTTGGGCACATTTTAGTGCCAGATCGGGTTCACCTATCTTCTGCCTTCCGTGATAGTTTTGGCATTTGACGAACTCCCACCACGTTGAGGGGGAAGCATATTTGTGAACGCACAATTGTTGAACATTTCCTGCGCATTCCTCGGGACCATGCATACAGCGAACGCCGAAGTCGGATTCGGATTCATCGAACCTGAAATTTTTGATGATGAACAGTGAACCACCCGAGAGTGACGGCATACACACTTTGCAACGTAGACGAGCGAGAGATCCAGCTTGCTCCCAACTTTGTGTAGCACTTCGTCGAACGTGCTCTCACATAACAAGGCATCAGGGCAGCGACTCATGACTCCAAGCTGGACTGGCACTTTGATTTCTGGCTCGCTGAGGTGAATTTGACCCTGATACAAATAGGACGACAAGCTGAGTGCAAAAGCTGCAGGACAAGCAGTAGCTAATGCGAAGAGCGACTTCATGGCGGCTCTGACGACGATGGAAGCTTAAGGAAAGATGATGTTCGATGAATAAGCGAGCCACCATGCACCATGCAAGATGCATCAAAGCCGCTCTATTGCGTCATAGCTTCACACCAACTTGCCTCAACCACAATTCCGTATTCCTCTCGCCGGTTCCGTTGATGTACGGGTTTGCACTGGGAACATGCAAATTATATTGATTCACACCAGCACAAGATACTGCTGTCTACACCACCGATATCTGTAAGTTGAGCTGCGGCACCAGGTGGAAATGAAAACCACTCTCGTGAGCTTCTTGTCCGATGGCATTCCATCAAGATTTTTGATGGTCGTCGCGACTGAGCTATGTAGGTCATCATAGCTGACCATCATCGATGGGCAACATCCCACATTTTACGAGCCTCGTCGTTACCCGTTGGCGGAACGAAGAACTGACACCTTGCACGGAAGGCTGGAGAACCAAAGATGAACGGGGTCACTGTATTGCATCTGGCTAACAGGGCGTACCTTCCATGGAACGCCTTTGCACAATGGCATCCACCGATAGCTCCTTGCGAACTTGGGTGCGCTGTTCAGGTTAGCCAATAGTTTTTTATTCCTGCCTGACCAGCGACACGGACCTTTACTTCGTCTTCGAATATCCCCCCTTGCGTTTTCCTTGTACTGACCGGATCCTGGTCCCCGTCAAGCAAAGCTGCTTGCTTCTCCTTCAACGACTGGTCCACAACGCCGACGCAGTACTCGATGAGTTGTGTTCGACGTTTCCAGTTGCCTATGAGTTGAAGGAAGAGCTTTATATCATAAACTTCAACATCAGAGTGCGACTTCTTACCGACCAATTCTCGCCATATCTGAACACAGGCCTGGTCTTGTAGTGTCTCGTTTGCATTGCTGCCGTGGAGTCTGTCTTGGTCACGCATAGAGGCGTTGGCACGGTTTAACCTCATGACAATGGCATCATCCAGGCGACGATATTCTCTTAGAATATCTGGACAAGGCTGTAAGCTTCGCGGAAGACGAAACGGAGGTCCGTATTTACCCTTGAACATTGTGAGGTCATGGCAAGTCGAAGGGGTTACTTGAATGGTCTTACTTGTTGTGGGGAAATACACCGCCTGGCTCCCCAGCTGTAGTTCCCTAGAAGGCATCGCCCCGCACTGGACGACGAGAGGGTAGTTGAAGGTAAGACACCATTGATGTTCGGCCTTCGGATGACACGGATCATCGGCCCGTGTATTTTACCACAATCGCGGCTACTACCACTGTGGCTCTCCATGATCCTCCGAGTCTTGCGGCTCAGCTACCAAGGCTAAACGCTCGCAAGGTGCTCTCGAAGCTGATGCAAATTGTCCTCGCGGAATGTCCGAAGTTTTGCCAAGGACGTCCTCATGGTTCAAGCCAATAACCTCACTGTTCATATTGTAGAGTTCCATCCTACTTCAGTCACTTATACTCCTTTGTGCTCATGTAATCCATTACATAGTGGTGATTCCTACAGTGTGTCTTGGGACGATGACGAGAAGACCCGTTTCCAAGAAGGCTTGACTTGTGTTTGCCTTGATGTGTATCTATCCTGTTACAACATCTGACTCATTCCCAAAAGGTAGACCAGGAGGACGATCTGGACACCCAGCTAGCATTTTCTTCCTTCAATACCCCGCGCAAGACCGTGGGTGCTTGAAAACGTTGTTGAGCCCTTTAGCACATCCTACGGTGCGTGCGTATACGTCTAGGTGCATCTGATATATAACTGAAATCAGGTTTCTACTAGTTCGAATGTTCCTAGGCATTAACGATTGCGGCAGGACCGATGAGGGTGAACTTGCCAATATTGTGGAGAAAGTTGTCGATGCTGCACACACCCTTTACATAAGATCCAATGCCAGGTCTTTTCATTGACGTGCCACCCATCGACCGCTCACCCAGCGGTAAGTCTGTTTGTGTAGTCGCCTGTCCAAGGTCCTCATAGCCGCGTAGCGATAGCTCTCGAATGCGAAGACACTACTGTCCAAGCTCGAGTCGAAACGTGGAACATCTCTCTTCATACAGGGGTTACCGTGTTCATGCGAGAGACGCCACAGGCAAATCTGATGCTTTTCTCGGCACACACTGCACTCGCAGATATACTGGATCGTCCAGAGGAGTATGATTTTACTGATTTTACAGAAGATGACACGACGGATGAGGGCGGGGCAATCTGGGCCGACGAGCTGCATGTTACAAACGCCGTCCACGAAGTAATGGCTGACCGCATGTTGGACATGTAGCTACTCTTTAGCTTTATTTATGTAATGGTAAGCAGAGTTGTGGTTCATTGAACAAATGCCCTTCCAGGGTTGATCGCGAAACCCGAAAGATAGAGTAGTTGTCGATACGACGAACTGTTTACGTAGACGTAGCCTCAGCGCTCAGCAGCCAAGCTGAGCTTGAGCTCTATACGCGGATTTACATCGCCCTCCTGACCGACGGAGCACACAATAATGTTTCTTTCGTCGGAAATGGTTTTCAGAATGGGTCCAGCGACAGATATAAATAAGTCACCAATCAGCCTGCTTCTGCCGTTTGCCACAAGCTAACGTTATCTGTCAGCGCGGGTCAATGGAACATGCTGCCAGTCTGTCAGATGGGAAACCGAAGAGGAATCGTCAAGGTCGATGACCGAGAATACATTATGCAATTGACAAAATGGGCGATAATATACAACATACTTCGAACATACAGGTTTGGTAACAGCAGCACAGGGCGGCGCATGTGACACGAAGGAACATTCAGAACGCGAAAGTGAAGAGGAACTTTGAGCATAGGATGCCCGCCATTAAGAGCGGCGACTTCGACTAGGACACCTCAATGGGATTATCTGGGCTCGTCGACGTCCCCTCATCCTCCGGGGCATTGGCGTCGTGAATTTCAGAATCAAAAAGCGCCGCGTAGGGATTCTTCGTCCGCTTCTTAGTTTCGACTTCAGGGTGTTTAAAGCCCTGGTGTTTGTTCCGCTTAGAAGGATCCGAGAACATAAGGCCACACACAGGGCAACCATGTTTTTGTTCATGGGTGCTAAACAGAAGGACCTTTAGATTGGGCTCGATAAGCAGGCAATTGACTCACTGCACACTCTGTCGATGGATTTTGAAGGCAGACTTCTGGAATAAACGTTCACGTTAATCCTGTATGATACATGGCAAAATACAGGGATCACCAACTTGACTGAAAGCAGCGTTGCAGGGTTCCCCAGTGACTGAATCACGAAAAACGCAGACGTAAGGGCTATTGCATAGAGTACAAAGAATGAATGAAAGGTAACGCATATATTTTGTTTGGAGTGGCCTTACCGTAGCTCCAGGTGGACGGTGTGGACATGCCGCTTGACGGTCTGCTTTGCTGCCAGATAACTGCACATTCCAGGCGCCTTGGTGTCGGGGTTCAAGCAACGGTAGATCGCTGTACCTTTCCTATCGTAACGGCCAGTCTGGACGACATTTAGGTCCCATAAGTCGCCCAGATCAATGTATCGGATTATCTTGAGATCCAACTCAGGATCATATGTCTCTCGAGTTGTAGCGCGTCTGCGAGCTCGTGTTGCCTGAGTCACGGCAACTCGGTCAGCGGAACGAGTCTGCTGGGGAGGATCTCCCACAACAGGCATATCCTGATAGTGCGAATGGATCTCCAGGTCTTCGCCGTAGGTGTGAGGATCAAAAGCCGATTCAAAGCCTAACGAATACGGAGCGTCGCGCCTGACAAAACGGAGGGTTTGCTTGAAAGATGAATAGTAGAGAAAGTGGCTTACCGGCCCCTCTTGGACGCTTTTGCTTTTGTCCTCTGAGGGAGACGACTTCGAGGTTGGTTTTCTTCATGGTCCACAATACTCAGAGCGCCAATGGCGGCTGAGAAATCCACCTCGACCTCTTGGGAGGCGATAGGAACAACGGCATTCGAACTTCTATTGACTGGCGTATAAGCAGGTAATGTAGATTGCTGCCTTTTGGAAAGGTTAGATCGATGGTGCTGTGCTGTGCTGCGGAACTCACCGTTGTGCAAGACCGACGTTGAAAAGGACGTCTTTGAGGGAGGGTAAACTGAGGCTAGTCGTACTCAAGTTATTGGTGGCTGGGATTGAGTTGTGTGGTATGTGAGAGGAGACTGAAAAGGATGGCTGCATTGGCCCTGCGCACCTATAGTACAACACAGTATCAGTTCAAATGCTGTACGCAGGAGATACGAACCTGGCTAACTTACGAGGAGACAAGTGCGCGAACCCCATTCAACGCATTCAAGGGGAGAAACGATTTTTCTACGAGGGCCATGCTTAAATGGCGGCCGTGGGGGTGGTGTCGGAGAGATATAATTCGGCTTCCAATGTGTGTAGGTTGATATAGGGCGGCGGAATTTAAACACAGCAAGAGATTCGCCCCAAAGCTACCAAAGCATCGGTACCTCACCTACGTCAGATGATTGGTATGGCGGAATACAAAGGACCTACAACAAAAAAGAGTGGGTGAAAAAGCCGTTAGCCCCGGTTTAGAAAATCATCGTGAAGGGCGGAATAATTTCTAATACCAGTGAACTGGCTCCGGACGAAGCGCTTGTATTTGAGGGCTGGATATGGCCCACCCTTAATTCTTATTGATCATATCAAGATTCCCGAGCGAAAGTTACTTACGGATATGATCGAGAAAGGACCCACAGCCGCCCAAACGACAGGGCAATCATGCGCTTGATCCAGATCGCACTCGGGGTGACAGGCTCACGCCGCACACATGGCGCTTATTGTGAAGCAAGTGTCGTTCAAATCCCTATATAGATACAGAAAGGATCGTCCATACTCAGGATACAGTGGCATTTGGGCTGGAAAATATAAGTCCAGAAGAGAAAGGTAGGAGGTCCTACGGGAGGGATTCAGCCAGTGTCAGTTGTCACATGAATATAAGAAACTGACTTACCCTAACTAGACTTCAGAATGTCATAGGTTGGAATGGTTGCTCCGAGGTAGCTGAATTGTCATGACTCCAATCATCCTCTTCCACCGTTTTTGATCGTCCAGGAGGCGCACGGTGAGATTCGCCGAGGAACAAGGCACCGTTTGGCAAAGAGTGGGTTTGGAGAAGAATGCGGGGGGCACTACGCAATGGTTTCATAGGCCGAGAAGAGCTCGTCTGGTTCAGCGTTTGGTCATTCTCAGAGTTGTTCTCTTCTCGTAAATCCATCGGTACCGTGCTGTCTTCTCTTTCCTCGGATTCCGTAAGTGAGTGAGACCTAGCGCGCTTCCTCGATGGCAGTTGGTCATTCAGCACGCCTGAAGGGGTATTTGCGAAGACGTCGTGCAAAGTATCATTCATCGAGCGGAATATCGACCCTGTTGATTGTGCTTTGGTAAAGGATGCAGAACTGGGAGCCGTGAGGTAGCCTTGGTTGACGTCTAGACGCGTCAAACGCGTTAATTTTGGTAGCCATGGTCTGATTAAGAAGACACACTCCGTCTGACGCGTGAACCAATGTTCCTCAACCGTTGGGCGAGATCTTCTGGCGTCCTGGGGAGCATGAGCGTCAGGCAGGACAAGGCAGAGGAATCACTAACCCCGTCGAGAGTGCCGATGCATCAGAAGCCAGTAGGTTCTCGCGTGCCTCGTCCGTTTGCGGACGCTTGGTTGGCTGCGCCATTGTAGTCTGCTGACTGAGGAAATCGATAAGCGCGAAGGTATCTTTTTGTGGGCGCCTCGCCATGAACCTGAGTCTCACGGTTGTGCATGACATGTGGCACCCAATCAGGCATGTTCAAGGAGACTAGGGCCCACCGTGACAGACGGCTGCATTTAACATGGCATTCTCCAAGGCCGCATGAATTTCTATCACCCCGTTGAGCAAGGAAAGCGACACCCAGTGTTGGTCGTGTAATCGTTATCGGTCTTGTTTTGTTTATGGGCTTCTGTGGGAGTTTGAGTGCTCGGGCCGAGCCGTCTGCGGACTTGTATGAGGCGTGGACGGTCGTTGGGAGCCGTTGGTTCTGGCCACCACACAGCGGGTTGTATGCCGCAAATTCGACACCGTGCGCCTCACGAAACCTCTTATTTACTGTCTTAACAGTATTCGTGAATGGCCCTTCCATTCTTCTATTTTTCTCTTCTCTCTTCCTCGGTTCTCGCCCAAAACATTGCCACGACCACACCACTCCCACCTCTCCAATGGATCAACCTGACCAATCTTCTCCAAGGCACCTCAAGGCCGCCTCCACTCAAGGATGCAGCCATTGGCTATGACGAAAGGAGGTCCGTGCATCTTATTATATCGTTCTTCGTAATCTTACACTTAACTAGCCGGTCTCTCATCATCTTTGGAGGAGTTTCAGAGAGTGGGTTTCCTCAATCGCAAACCTTCCTGTGCGTCTCAGCTCTACATACACCTGTGACGAACGGCTTATTCGGGAAATCTTTCAGGCTGGATCTCGACACCCTGACCTGGTCAACACCAACACCTCCATCGACTCTTCAACGCACTCCTCCGGCCAGGAGTGCCGCCGTATCTGGCAGCGATTTTGCTGCGAGCAAGTTAGCATGACTATGTCGTTCTTATGATTGCTTGACTGTGGACTAACGTATGCACTTTAGCCGCCATGGATTTGTGATCATTGGTGGGAAAGGATCTGAGGGTCAACCGCTCTCTGATATTTGGGTAAGCGTCAACCCCTGCAACGAATCCGGATATCCTAAGGCCCCTGGTATAGGAATATGACTTTAACAACCAGTTTTGGTCCGCAGTCGAACTTTCAACCAGTGGTCCATCCGCTCGCTGGGGTGCGTCTGGCGGAATAGACATTCGTGTACCACCAGTTCAAGATCCCGTCGTTCCTGGCCCCAATAATACGATCTATTTCGCCGGAGGTTTCGATGGCACCAACGCCGATCCCCTGTCCGACGTGTGGAGATTACATCTATCCGGAACACTGTCTTCCAATTTGCCTGACAGCGTAGGAGCCAGTTGGGACCGCGTCAGAATCGGCACTCTACCAGGCCGCATTAGTCAAGCAGGTACCGTAGTAGGTCAGCAAGTAATTTCTGCGGGAGGTTGCGATTCATCAAGCCCTTTGAGCTCCGCAAATATTAGCTGTGCATTGCAGGATTCTTTTATTGTCGATGTTCAACGCCAAACAGCAATTCCGCCTGGCTCATGTCCTCCTCCTCGAGTCGGCCCAGTTATGGTCCCAAACCTGAATAGCTTCTCTTCCTCCTTCGCCTCCCAAGCTTTCCTTCTTTTGGGTATATTTAATACCTCACTATGGCAAGATTCAGATGGTCTTACGCAAGGAGAAGTGGTACGTTCCTCCAATCCCGTACAACAGGCTGTCTTGATGACAGTGATATAGGCCGTTTTAGACACCAATACTGCAACATGGACCAGAGTGTTGCCATCTGGCGACCCAAACTCTTCTGGGAGGACTCATTTTCCGACGCCACGACAAGGCGCAGCGGCAGCTTCATTCTCCGAAGCATTGGTTGGAAATTCTCGTTCCTCGTCCTCCGATACAATTGTGCGTTGATGCAAATTTCTTCTTAAATCAATCAATTGACAATATGATTTGTTTTCTATAGATATTTGGAGGTCAAGATGCCAATGGAAATTACCTTTCCGACGTCTGGCTTCTGCGGGCATATCGTGGAGTTCTCTCGTCTTCGAGTCCGATTTGGAGTGGTTTCGGTAACGGTCAACTGCAGACAGGGATCAGTGCCGATGGCTCTGGCGTTCGTGTCAACTATTTGACTGAATGCGCGACGGCCATCACCCAGCCACGCCCGACTACAGCTAATCCAACGACTCCCCCCGCAAGCACGAGCACTGGATCTGATCCATTGGCAACACCACAAACACCAGTCAATTTCCATGTCTCCTTCCTGCACAAACTTCTACTCCCCCTCTCTGTCGTTGTTCTAATGCCAGTCATGTTATTCTTTCGCTGGACGTTTGCTACCTCCGACGACAAGTGGAAACCTCGAATATTTCTTGTGTCCATCTTCACTGTCTTCGGCTTATTAGCCTACGGTCTGGGCATTGCGGGTCTAGTGTTTGCTTTCAGTACGGTGTCCTCCAGCCAATCTGACCGAAGCCCACATCTGAAGACGCGTCACGGCGTATCTGGTGTCATCTTTTTTGCTTGCCTCTACCTGCTTGTTCCTCTGTCCTACCTGTTCTTGGCACTTCTTGGCCGGCGTTCGAGCATATACGATACTCGGAGCCTGAGAAGCAGTATACCTTTGGATCCTACCGAAAAAGTCGAACCAGCTCTACCTCCAGCGAGAAGTGCAACTCCAAGCATATACAATACCCCTACACCGTCTTCCCCCCGTCTCAGAACGCAATCTTGGGATGCATCCAACCTGATACGGCCCAGCATTGAAGGAGGAATGTCGAGCGATACCACTCCACCGGCCACTCCGCACCGAGCATTCGAGGTTCTGAATAGGCCCAACAGATCGAGGAGGCTTAGTGCCCCTTGGCCAGCGACCGCCAACTCGGCGGCGACGTCTAACTCGCTTCCATCACGAAATTTAGGAGAGATAGACTGGTTGTTGCGGCGGCGAAGCCTCAATAGGATGGTGGGTTTCACCCTTTTCTTTATTACTCATGTCACTTTATTGATGTCCGCGAACAGGGTGAACTCGACTATGCCATTACACAGGTGCACAATGCACAGGTCGCGTCCAGGACTGATACCCCTGCTCAATCCAATTCCGAGCCCAGACAAATGATCCAGTATCCCAAGCCTCCAGAAATCTTCTTCCATCTCCTCATCCAAGTATCTGTCCTGGCTCTATCCATTATATCCCTCACAGCAATTTGGTCGCGAGCTCCTCGCTACCTCTTCGCATTGCTTCTTGTCTGGACCATCGGATTCTATGCCTTTATGTTGGCATTGTCTTGGTCCGGTCGGCCAGCCGATTCGATTCTAACGGCGGCACTTTGGCGACTGCGGGGAAAGGACTTACCTCCTGGATCACCATTCACATCCAATTCTGAAATGTCGAAATTGGCCCCAGGTCAAAATCCATATACCCATCACCGTCCTCCTTTCCGCCCATCCACTCAAGTGGATGAGCTTCCGCATGCCCTCGCTAGTCCTACTGAGGCAGATGACGACGACGACGACGATATCGATGACGAAACGCGTCAGCGACTCATTGAAGAGGAGATGGAGAGACGGGATGTGTCGGTGATTACTGTACCTCGGCGTAAACTACAGATAGCTAATCCTTCATGAACGATCCACTTTCCTTGCTATATATAAATTCGGACACTTACCTCGTCTTGCTTTCCTTGTTTCCTATGACATGTCTGTACTTTTATCTCATCCCAACGCATCATTTGTTCGCTTCGCCTTCTGTAGAACGTCCACACGGAATATCTGCTAGATCCTACTTAATGCGTAATTACTTGACAGTGGCACAAAAGTGTCCACGAAGATGATAAAATACTCTAGCTTCACCTCGGTCACAGAACAAGCTCAGGGATTTTCTCCTTCGACAGCCACACCTCTTCGCCAGCGATCAACGCTGCCGAACTTGGCTGGATCCACCATGGGGGGAGGCGACGGAATGGGCATAGGGACCTGTGGCTGCATCATTGCCATTGGGTTGATCATTGTAGGCGCAAAATAATTGGGACCCATCATCGAAGCACTCATCATCATATTGCTCTGCATTTGCGCCTGCATAAGCATCTGTTGTTGTTGTTGCTGCTGCTGCTGAGCGAACATCTGGTACTGCGTCCTGCGCTGTTGCTCGGGATGGAAAGCGAGAGGCATGTCGTCGTCGTTGCCGGTATTTGAAAGTCCTGACGGGACGCGGGACGCGCGGAGACCGAGTGGCTGATCGTCATCACTGTCGGGTGTGTTTTCGAGGTTATTGAGTGTCAATTTACTAAAAGTGGGGGGAATGGGAGACAAGCTTGCTTTGCTCCGAACAACTTGCGACAACGGCCTGTCATCGGAATCGGAATCTTCCAGATGCCTGGGGGGAGAAAGACTGGCACGGACAACGGCCTTGTAAATGGTGGCTGAAAGAGGCACGTCTTCCTCACTATCGTGGTCATCCCGTGGAAGCGCTGCCTTTCGGCCATGGTTTGAGTTTCGCGGACCCACCCCCGTCGTTCGGCGAGGTGCTCCACCTTCTTCGTCGGAAGAGTCGTGCCATGCAGGAGCATCTGGAGCCCTCTGGTGTGTTGGCGTCTCGTCGTCACTCCCCGAACTTACATCTGAGTCTGAAAGCTTTGGAGGCGTACGTCGTGTGGCGCGTTGAATATCGGGTAGGATAGGCGGTGCAACCGCAACATTAAGGTCTTCCTTTGGAGGCGTCTCCACTTGTTCAAGAGAATTCTCCTTTCCTTTTCCCTTTTTCTTCCGTTTATTCCTCTTCTCCGCCCTCTTTCGCTCGGCCTCAGCCTCTGCTTTTCTTTGCTCTTCTTTCTCGATCGCTTCAATTGCTTGCATTTCCTTCAATTTCGCCATTTCCCTTTCCCAGAGGGTATCAACTCCGAAGACCGAAGGGTTCGTTGGCAAACGTTGGGGGTTTGGTGAAAGTTGAGGTGCCTTGCCTTTGTTCTCGTCATCGAAGTTGAGCAGAGGTTTGGCATTCAGTGAACCGCGTCTACCGAGACTCTTCCGCTTCTCTAGACCTTGCTCTGCATTTTGAGATCCGTAGGAACTCATCCTTTGCGCTGGAGGTCGAATCTGCAAGGATACAGGATCAATAAGCGTACTCGAGCGTTGTTGACTTCGGGCCATCATCGAGGGTCTTTGGTCTCCTGTAAAGACTCTAAAGCCATTGTTAACTTGGATATAGAACATAACAAAGCAATGTCCATTACCGTTGCTTGCTACGCATTTGAGCCTTACGATTTTCAAGGTCGTCAATGAGGCTCTTTCCGTAGAGCTTGCCGGCCGGTCTGGAAGGATTCCCAACAACTTCACCAACGGCCGGCGTAGCAGGAACCTCGTCTGCACCTGATGGATCCAATTGAGCTTGTTCACCGTCCTGGGTGGCTCTAGGTATGTCAGTTGCGGATGAAAGGCCGCCAACGACCAACGTATTACGAAAAAGTTTTTGAGAAGGAGTTAGGTCTAGAAGAGGGTTAGGTGTAAACGAATTGGATGCAACAGGAACATTTTCTCCTCCAGAATCGAATACAGAGATAGAAGTTGACAATCTCCTCGACGAGCGAGCGCCGGGTGGTAAAGGAGGACCATCTGTCGTTAATTCAAACCCTTCTCTGGCCCTGCGTGTAGGCTCAGGTGCGACATTAGTAGAGACAGGTTGAAGAGGACTGGGCATGACAAGGACCTTCGGTCTAAGCAACTCCAGAGTCGACAGACGACGCTCTCTGGCATACGGGTTTCCAGTCATGACCGATGCACCATCACTCTCGAGCACCATTCTCGACCCCAACGAAGCATTGGAATAGGATCTTGCACGAGGAGCTGACTTTGGATCAAAGCGAGAGGTATGAGCAGGACGTTTGATAGCAAAAGGGTTGTCTTCTGCTGGTTCAAGGTTATCCATTGTGCCAATCGACGTGATACGCTGTCGGGGTCCAGTTTCGTCCATTCCGTCCGGGAGGAATCTCGAAGTCATGCTTGGAGTTGAATATGTCCGGCCGTGAGCGACTGATCTAGCATCTAGAGCATGCTCGGGCCTTGGAGAAGGAGATCGCACTGAACCAGACGGGAACGGCACCATCGCGGCTTGAGAGGGGGCTAAAGACGCCTGTGAGGTCATCCGTCGATGCGCAAAAGGTATATCCGTAGCTTCTATCCCTACCAAGTCTAACGGCGAGCCAAAAGACCGTCGGCGGTCCTCTTGCAATCTTTCAGTGTCAAAGTCCATTTGACCACCAACGCTCATCGATTTGGTCGTCACAATGCCGCATCGAGGAATTGGCGCCGTTGAATCGTGACTTGTTGAGGCATATCGAGTCCGCGTCGAGCTCACGGCTGGCTGTTTCCCTCTCGCCTTAGCCGACTTGGACCCCTTGTCCTTTGGCATGAAAGCGTCGAGTCCCCAAGATGCAAGGTCTACCTCCAAATCTTCCTGTGATTCATCGTCCTCTTCATAGTGTCCCGTGTCTGAGTAGATGTCTCCTCCAAAAGGATTTCGCAGGGCATCTATCGAACCTCTAGAACCCCGGGAACGCCTGACATCGACAGTAGATTCCCCGCCTCCTATACTGCCACCATCGCTTGTTAGATATTCACTTTTGCGAGTAGCTAACTCTGGGCGAGCTGCTGGATTCCGGCGGAGGTGGGCAAATATTGCGCTGTCTTGTGCAGATCGGTAAGGTGCATCTGGGTTGTCTGGATCATTGTCGTACTCTGCAGAAGAGGTGAGTTAAGTGACTGTTTCCGTCCTTGTGGAACAACATACCCAACAGAGCAGCTGCTAATTGAAGGCGCGAGAATGGGGCAGGAGGAGCCATCGTTGACTAGATGGGGCTTGTGCTGGTAGACCCCCAGCTGCTCCAGGTTGAACGTTGAAGGCGGCAGAATTAAAAAGCGAAAAACTTTGAATGAAGAATTGCGTCGATTCAGTTCAGTGGTAGCTGGTGAATGGTAAGAGTACGGGGTCTTGCCAGCTGTTGGTCAGTCTCGGGTTATTAACGTTAAGGGCCTGGGCTCATTCTGATTATATGCCTCTTATATAAGCACGACTAAAAATAGGCCAAGAATCTACACTTGTAACACTACAGTTCATCATGTTGAACAACAGGATTCCCCTCTTCATCAATCTCTTCCATTGTCAGCTCAATCTGAACGCACCCAGATGTAAGTGTATAAGATATCGTGGTTGAAGGGATCACTCGCCTTGTCCTTCATATGATCTGGCAGAATGATTCCAGGACCTGTGGGCTCCTCGGGCTTAGGTGTCTCGTCTCGCTCATCTTCGGAAAGGTCCTTGACAGCAGGAGGCGCCGGCTTGACTGTCTCATCAGTGGTGGCAGCCTCTGAGACACCCAATGACCGCCTTAGAACTCTGTCGACTCGCGTGAAGAACCTAGAGAACTTGTCGATGGAACATCTCGTGAACGCATGGAGCGCTTACTTGTTGTTGTCTGGAACCTCAAATCCTGAGCGAACCAACGCACCATCTATCAAGATGGAAGTGACCTCCTGCAATTCTTCTTCGCTCTCAAGGTCCCTCTCATTTTCGTCTGTGGGAAGGTCTTTCACTCGACGTAGAAGGCCTTCGATGAGGGGTGACCGAGGGTTTATTTCAAGCAATTTGGCTTTCATGGCATAGTCATGCAAAATACCGCCGCGATTGCCCTTTGCATTTGAAGCAGCCATCATCTTCGCCACATTAGCGGTATATCCGCCTGTCTCGGCGACAATCGCACACGGACTCTTCACGAGACGGTTGGAAAGGACGACTACCATATCTGCGTGTGAGCCTCCACCGACACAGAGAAAGGCACGGTACATACCATCGCGAACGGCATCTCCTGCTTCCTTCTTGAGATACTCGATCAATGGCTTGAAATTTTCCTCCAGTGTCTTCTGCTGTTCTTTCTCTTCTTCAGGGTCTATATCTACGAAGCATCTTCAGCGGCAGTCCAGAAACACGAGGCGCCAGCAGCTCGTACCTTCATCACCAAACTTCAGGCCGGCTTTGGCGGCATCTTGGAACGGCATGCCCCTGGGAAATAAGTTCAGGAGGAGATAGACAATGGCCCATGTGCAAGACGTACTTCCACTGGCGAAGATGTCCCACGAGAATCTCATCAAGGGGTTCGGTGAGAAGTAGAACCTCATAACCACGAGCGTGAAGCTTCTCGATGAAAACGCTTTGTGCTAAGTCTTCAGGTTTCTTGCCAATCTCTGCGAGATAGAAAATCTAGAAGACGAGTTAGCCTCTCGGCGTCCGGGACGTACGGGGAAAGTACACTTGCTTGCTTCTGCCCTTTCTTCTTGTTCTCAACATACTGTGGGGAGAATTTAGAGTTTATTTCCTAACCTAAGCAAAAGGACTTGCCTGATCAAACGATGTCTCATTGCGTTGGTTGCTCGTAAAGCGAGCAAGACCAGCGAGCTTTTCGCGATTCTTTTCGTCCTCGACAGCTCCCAGTTTGAGAATAGAACCGTAGGTCTCGTGCATCTTGTCGAATTGCGCCTTATCATCCCCTTCGCTAATCTTCGTGAAGAGTTGAATCATTCGCTTGATGATCAACTGTCTCAGTTGCCTCATGAATCGGTTGGACTGAAGGGTTTCTCGAGAAACATTGAGCGGAAGGTCCTCAGCTACAGTCACTTGTCAGTGTTGGCTATACATGATAATCTGAAACGGATATACCATCAACGACAACTTTAACCCAACTTGCCCACTGCGGCAAGGCCTGGTCGCCAAGGTCAGAGGTAATGAAGACTCGTTTAACCATCAACTTGACATCCTTCGACTTGTATTCCAGAGGCTTTTGCCAATACTCCTCAGGCCTGTCATCGACGATAGTGTGAGCGGCGCATTCGAGGATGCACAGAGACAACTCACAACTTGGAAGGGAAGAAGAGAAGCGCCTTGAAGGCCGAACCAGAACCAGCATCTCCCGAGAAATGGTGCCACGCCAAAGGCCTTTGGAAATCCTTGAAGAAAGTTGTGTAGAACAGATCGTACTCCTCTAGTTGTCGTCGTCAACGAGGATATTCAAAACGCGTGCTGAACACCACCCTACCTTTTGTTACATTTTTGGGATCCCTGGGCTATGGTCAGCACCATAAAGCTCTCGAAATGGATTACGAACCTGGCCCAAAGAGGCGGTTGTTTGTTCAAGTGACTCCATTGCTCTTTTGTGACGTTCACCATCTTAGGAGGTGGAGGCTCCTTCGCCTCCTCTTCTATAGTAACATCCTCAACGATGGCTTCGTCCTCGTCTGCATCAGCTTTCGGTGTTTCGGCGACTTCGGCAGTTTCTGAGGACGTTGCTTCGGTCTCCGAAGGGGTAACCTCTTCGATCTCTTCGGGGACCTCTTCAGTCCACCTTTCAAACAAGTAGATAGGGAAGGAAGAGGAGAAAGCGGAATGCTTGTGACTACGACGGAGAAGATGAGTTCTGGCAGGGAGATGGAAGTAGAAATCCCTTACACAAGGGCCGAGAGTGTGGCATCCTCTAGATACTCAGACGCGTCTGGCTTCAGATGTAGAGTAATTTCTGTTCCTCTGCCAAGAGTATTCCCTCTTGGATCCGGGTAGACCTCGAAGGTACTATCGTCGGCTGAAGAGGTGAAGACGTGTTGTTGAGGGTTGGGATTCTTGGCGGTCGCTGGGGGAAGCGACGCGACTTCGACGCGATCAGCAACCAAGAAGCTGCTGTAAAACCCGAGACCAAATGCGCCAATGAGATTTCCAGTTGCAGTCGCGTCTGTGCTGCCTTCAGCTCGAGCAAGGAAGTCCGACGTTCCTGACTTGGCCAGGGTCCCCTGTAGAAAACACAAATCTAACCACTGAAGGCGTGCAAAGCAGCATTACAACGAACCAAGTTGGTGGCAAGTTCCTCAGGCGTCATGCCGATTCCGGTATCTAAGCGGTCGTGTCAGCAAGTGGAAGTTAGACGCGACGAGCGAGCTACACACCGGCGACAACCAAGCATCCGCCCTTTCCATCCTCATTCTTCATTGACTTGATAGTGATGTTCAGCGGGTCTGAACCATCCCAAACGGACTTGTCCGTAAGGGCCGTGAGTCGCAGTTTCTCCAACGCGTCGTTGGCATTCGAAATAAGTTCTCGAAGGAAGATTTCCCTTGAAGATATTCGTCGGCCCAGGAGCACCCACAGAGACAGTGAAAGACTCACTGGTGCGAGTAAAGACTATACGAGACATCGTGTCAATTTTAAAACCGGCGTCTAAGCATGGGCTATATTTCTCACCTGTTGATGACGATCTTGCGTAGACGCGAGACATCACTCTAACGCCTCGTCAGTGTCTCCACCACGAACTCAACACAGAAATATCACGTACTTGATAATTGTGCTTCACCTTCAGAGTGTCGACGGGTCCTGCATCCTCCGCAAGAACCTGAGATGCAAGGACAGTCAGAGAGAGGAGGATGGGTCTGAAGAGACGCATAGCGGCCTGTGGTTAAAAGTCAAGCAATCCCCCTAGCAGAGAGTCTCCACTTCCACGAGTCCGATGGCAGATGCTGTACGTAGAGGTAAGGTTGTGTTAGAAGATGACCTACTCAATAAGCGTCCAATAAATGCGGCCTTCGCAGGTCTGTGGTGACGTGTCAGCTTCGTGGCCGTCTCCCAGGGCACGGTCCTCGGAAGCCTCGTGATCGCAACGATTGATGTGAACATCCAACAGTTCCCTCTCCTATATAGATAGAATCCTGACATTTATTCTGCAGGGGGTGCACAAATCCCTTCGTAATGCTTTATAATTTCCCGCCTGTGACAGGGCTCAACTTCGGTGGGGTTTCAACGTTGCCAACCTGGTTGTGGAAATTCACAAGTTGGCAGGAGAAAGTATGCAGAACGTAACGAAGGCATACGAAAATTCTCATGGCCGCCTCGTCGCATGCGCAGTACATACAGTTATTATGTTTGAGAGATATGGCAACTATAAGAACTACAACGAAGACGTACAAGTCAACCGCTGACATGAACGGATAGCTTGGGTGCAGTGAGTTGGGACAAGTAATCCTAATGGCAGCTCCGTTAGTAAGAAAAAGGCCGGATTATTGACTAGCACATACCCGAAGCCACCGTTCCCTTTGTTCTGGGACATGATCAAACATGATGTAGCGTCTGTCATACTATCAAGGAATCAGAACGAGTTTGAAGCTTGACATTCAGAGGCGAACGACAGCTCACCTTGAGAACTTTCTCCATATCTCCGATGTCCACGTTTTTGGCCAGGACCTTCATATCGACTTTCTCCTCTTCACCTTCGCCAATGTCATCGTCCTCTATCTTCAAGCCACCGTCGAGCTTTTCAGTGCCAATCTTGCCGAGGCGACCCCAAAACTCGACGAAGGAGTTCTCGCTCAGCATCTGGTCAAAAGCGACGCGTGCTGCACTAGTTCTTTCTCGCTGCCATTTGTCGAATTCGTCTTCAAGCCTGTCAATGTTGTAATCCAGTCTGGTGACAGGCGACGAGGAGAGCAGGGCCTCGAGAGGAAGGGAGTTGAAGTTAGTCGCCAAGGACGGTGCATGTGTTTCGAAGAGAGCGTGTAGACTGTGTATCTGCTTTCCTCGCAGCCGGTCTATGTGCTCGTGGAATAGATGCACTTGGCGATTGAGAGGAAGAGGTGAATTAGTGAAACGGGGATCTGTTTTGAGCTGGGGTTGGGCCTTCTCCCAGGTCATCTACAGACAGAAATAGAAAGTGAGCGACGGCCCGTGTGTAAGGAAGCCTCTTACCTGGGGCTCACGGATGGCATCTGTGAGCAATGTCCTATATACAGTTAGAGAAAAGATAACGGTTGTGAGCGCCAAAGTAAGTGCCTCCGAATGACTGCCCCAGATGCGCACATGAATGATCGTTCGCCTTCCTCCTTGTTAACATCCATTCTCGACCTTTCAATGGAAGCATCTACACGTTGACGTTCTGCCCTGATCTTTTCTTCGCGTTCTTTCACGGCCTTATTCCTTCGTTCCTGGCGGTCTTCTGCGCCCTCGGTGGGATGTCGAGTCCCCGCACTCTCCTTACCGGAGTCCGGCGTTTGAGACACTTCAGAGGCCTTGCCTTTGACGAAGGTGTTGAACAGCTCTTCTCGGAGTGAAGATGAGCCCACTGCATCGTAACGGGGGTCCTTATAAACACCCTTTTTTGCCTGTTGAAAAGGATTAGACAGAGATCAATTCAAGTCTTGACTTATGTACCTCTTTCCATGAGATACCTTCGGTAACAACCACATTCTCTTTCAACAAGGAAAAGAAGTCTGCTTCTGCCCTTTGAGCGGCAAGCCTCTTTTCTATTACTTTTGCGTGGGAGGCATTCAACAGACAGATAAAAATAGCAGACCTACGTTCGCCCAAGTCCTTTAAGAATTCTCTGAACCTCTTCTCTCGCTCTCGATCATCTCGACCCCAACCATAGAAACGACGGTCCTTCTTCCATGCTCTCTTGAAATCGGTCCAGCTTGCCCTTGTGCTTTTTACTTCCTCTTTCAAGAGGCGCTCGAACTCTTCTTTAGGATCCGCCTCTTTCTCTTTCTTGACGGAGGACTGGCGGAGTTCTCGGGCCCGTTCCTTGCAGTATTCATCAAAAGCTTCCCGACGTGCTGTGACAGACGGGAGAAGCACGTAACGAGGATCTGAAATAAACTTTGGGAGAGACGTGTCCCAAGGGTGAAGTGGGTTGATATCTTTTTCTCTGAGCAGTGTCTGGTTTTAGAAGACACAAGACGAGCACAATGAGCACACGCGTTGGAAATTTTGAGGGTCTCACGAACCTTGAATAACGCCTTACCCTCCTCGATCGAAAGGTCAACCCTCTCTGGAATAACAATATCAGCCGCAGCGCGGGCGCGTTGAGCCTCTTGCTCCGCCTCTCGGCCATTCTCCATCTCGGCGCGCTTTCGCTCTTCTTGGGCCTCTGCCGCGAGCTGTGCAGCAGCTTCACGTTGCCAGTCCTCCTCTTCCTCGTCGCTGTCACTCTCTTCGTCGTCCTCCTCAGCTTCATCTTCAACTTTGGCCTTCTTGTTGACCACAATTTCGTCCAACGGAACGGACTCGTCAGCTTTCCTCTTAGCCTTGTCTTTCGTCTTTTTACCCTCAGAGGACGTATTTTCTTCGTTACCACCACGCTCTTGAGCTTGGAGCGCCTCCAAGACTGGCTTCAGCTCTTCTGGTACCACCCACACACTCTCTTTCCTGACTTTGTGAGAATAAAAAATGTTCCCCTCGGTCGTAGTCACCTTCAGCCAATCAGTTCCAGGAATTGGCGTTTTAAGGAGAGGTTTCTCCTTTTTGATTTGATCAGATTGGGGGACGGGGATAGGTGGGGCGGGCCGAGTATAGGTTGATTCGCGAGTGAAGGCATTGTAGTAATAGGGCACGCCGGTTGGACCTGCGGGTGGATAAGCTGAAGGCAATATGACAGGAGCACGGGGTAAACGACGGACCGATATGTTCTGACCAGCCTTGTGGGAGAGCGGGGATGGGTGGGGGAGAGAAAGGAAGAGCTGACATGGTGGGATGCGAGATAGAAGCTGCTCCTCGGCTTTTTGGGATTGGTACGTCAGGTTTCGCGGTCACGTGCACGTGCACAATATCAATTTCTATTTTTAGCCCAGATCTGCTCTCTGCTCTCTGCTCTTCCCAGCTGTCGCCGCCGGATGCGGATACAGAACCAGCCTCAGGTCATCCCTGCCCTGTATGCTCCAATTGCATCTCAGCTGCCTTAGCCTATAAATTCCAGCCATGTTCTTTCTTCCGTCTTATCGCGCTCCCCTCATCTGGAGTTGAACGCTATCAGTCATGCCTTCCGACAACGTCGAAGCGAGCACCCCAAACGCCATGGACACGCATCAGCAGATGACCAAGCGCATCCTCTGGAAGCTAGACTGTCATATCCTCCCGCCGCTGGCTATCGTCTGTGATCCCCTACTTCTTCGTTGGACTCCGGCTAATCCATATGCACCATAGCTCTGGCTGGCCAACTTTATTGATCGGAGCAACATTGGCAATGCCAGGTGCGGCAGAGTGCGCCACACTTCAAATGATCCGCGGCTAAGAGCATTCCAGGATCGCGGGTCTTGAGACAGACACTCACTTGGTCGGCAATCAGTTCAACACAATATTGGCAGGCATGTGTGCTTGAGGAATCCTTCCTGTGTCGTTCTGACCAGCTCATCTAGTGTTCTATGTCACGTATGTCCCGTCGGACACTCGCATGCGTTGATATCGACGCTCATACCTTTCGCCAGCTATCTCGCCATCGAAATCCCTTCCAACATGGTTCTGAAGAAGATGAAGCCCAACGTACGCCCGGACTTCTACTTCATCGAGGTTTTCACGAACTAATCCCAATAATGTAGCGTTGGATTCCACTTTTAGTGTGCTTATGGGGTATTGTGACGACGCTTACCGCCCTGGTACGGATCGCCCGCATCTCTGGAAATTAACGCCGCCTCACCACCTAGCAGGTCAACAACTTCGAAGGCCTGCTGGCTATCAGGATATTCCTAGGCCTATGCGAGGGTGGTCTCCTGCCGGGCATGGTGGGTGGAACATACTTTCAAATATGGCTTCAAACTGACGGGGATCATTGCTCATTCCAGATCCTTTACCTTAGTAACATCTACAAACGCCACGAGCTGCAATTGAGGTGCTCCATCACTACCGATGTGAAGTGCATCCGCTAACTGTAAGACCATTTTTAGAGTCGGTGTATTCTACGCTTCTGGTAAGGACTTCGTCGCAAGATTCGGATCTTGAGTGGCTAATTGTGGGGCGAAGCCTCTCTCTCCGGTGCCTTTGGCGGTATGCACATCTCCCCATTCCTACCCACGAAAGAGAAATGCCTACACGGATGATAGGTCTGCTCGCAACGGCGATTACAAAAATGGACGGAGTCGGCGGTCTGGCCGGCTGGCGATGGATCTTTGTACGGATCTGATCTAGGAACACTTCCTTGGCATCCTATCTTATCAAGTTTGTTCTATTTTTAGATCCTTGAGGGAATCGCGACGGTCGTCGTAGCCGCTATGGCAGCGTTGGTATTACCGGAAGGACTGTCAACGGCATACTTTTTGACTGAAGAGGAAAGGGTGTTCGCAGGTAGATTGTCTTTTGTTCATTCTGATGCTTTTTTTGCTGACATCCTACTAAAAGTCCAACGTTTCCTATCGGACGATGTAACTCTGTCGCCTTCCAGTCCCGAGAATCCTTCTCCTGCCGGAACAATCGAGGAAAAAAAGGGCGAAGACGTTGTTCAAGTAGAAGTCGCAGACGCGAAAACATCTGTAAAGACTATTCGTAAAGAAGTGGAGGAGAAATTCGAATGGAACGAAGTCGTTCGAGGTCAGCGCACATCTACTCATCAGGGCTCCTCGCGCTTATCATCTATTGCTAGGTCTCGTCGACATTCAGACGTGGCTTACTGGTATCGCTTATTTTGGCTTGATTGTTAGCCTATACTCCTACTCGCTTTTCCTGTACGTGCTTCTCCCGCTCGAGACCCACCTGGCACTTACCCGAATGTCCCTCCACCAAGTCCGACAATTGTTACTGGCCTCGGTTATTCAGGGCCTGAAGCACAGCTTCACACAGGTAGGTTAAATGCTGCACCACAGCCCCACGTATTGTCTGTATGAATCGCATTCTTACTGATAACTGACATTTAGTGCCGCCATATGTTCCTGCTGCAGTTCTCACCGGTGCGTAAAGTCCTTCAGGTCGATGGCAATCACTTGTTTATTTTCTTTGTCGCAGTCGTCGTGGCTTTCCTCAGTGATCGGCTGAAATGGCGTGGACCGTTTATCTTAATCTGCTTGCCGTTTGCTATCATAGGTGACCTCATCTCCGGCTCCTTATCGGAGCGTATTTTTGACAGTCTCCCGAATCTCAGGCTACATCCTCGCCATCACGGCGGAGACTAATGGCACGCGATATGTTGCTGTCTTTTTTATGGCCGCCGGAGTGTCAGTGCCGTTCTCTGTTCCATCTTAATAACGTCTGGGATCTCACTCCCGTTCTATTTTAGATTTCCTTCTGGACCTAGTATCTTGTGGGTGCTCCTTCTTTGCTGAAGCAGCACACACGTTGACCAGTGTGCTGTTAGGTCGATCTTGCCTAATAACAGCAGTGGCCATTACAAGAGAGCCACGACTACCGCGCTCCAATTGGCCATCGCCAACTGCGGGTGAGTGCATCATTGTTCCTGGAGAAGGTCGTTCACCGAACGTGAAATCACAGGGGCTTCGTTGCTACCTTTTCCTACACGCCAGGTTCGCTCTCGGTGTTATTTAGTCATTCATAATGTTCTCATCTCGTATTCTCCCAGACCAAAGACCGAAATACATTCGCGGTCACACCATATCGCTGGGTTTCGTATCGCTGGCGTGGGTTCTCATTGCCTGCAATGTGTAAGTGCTCCTCTTCCTAAGCGTGTCGGTGCCGACGAGTGAATCCGATTTTAGATCCTACTGTTTGTGGGAGAATAAAGCACGGAGAGAAGGTCGCCGCCAGGATAATCTGACCAAGTATCAGGCACTGGTCGACGCAGGCAAAACTCGTGCCCCAATTGGTGACAGGCATCCCAACTTCCGCTTCACGCTTTGAACGACCGTAATGAAATTTACGATTCCCCTTCTCTATGCTGTACAGTAAAGAATACATAAGTCATGACTATCGTTACAAGTGAGGAGGCATCAGAAAGCCCGGTGAAGATGATATATATGCAAGGGTATGACAAAAAGATAGCATTAGTACACTCCCAAGATCGCTAGGCATAGAACCTAAGATAGGACAGTTAGATTATACGCTGCATTCTGAAGCCTTGTCGGAGTCGGGACAGACGTACTTCTTGTTGATCTGGAAAAGGAACAGGTCAAAATTGACCTGAACTTTCCCATCTAACAGGGACAGAGAGGAGCGCTTCTCATACTTTGCTTGAAGAAGGTCCTCCATCCGAACTTCTTGTGAAGCTATACGGGCAGGGACACCCAACAAGGTCGACTCCAACAGCAGCTTGAAGACGCCTGCCTGATTCGAGGACATGGTGATTTGCAACTTGTCGAACTGGCGAGGAGAATATTGATCGACAGAGAGAAGGATCTCCCTGTCATAAAGAGCCTTGGCAGAATATATATAGGAGCCGAATCTCGGTGCTTCTCCCGTTCTTTGGAGGTCACGAAGGTGGAAAAATTGCTTCGTGAAAGGAAGAACGAAGCGTTTTTTGCTGGAAAAAAAAAATCAGTCATACTGATCAACGTGCAGGACAAACTACAGACCCTTTGCCTCTTTGCATTGTGTTCATGGCAGTCTCAACAACGACCCGATAGCTATCTAGTTGTTCTTCGAAGTACTTCTTGCGTTCAGCGAGTTCTTGTAAAGCTTCGTTCATACTTGTCATCTCTTGTTGCCGTTGAAGCCGTTTGCGATGTTTGCTCCGAACATCGCCAGCAATTGCGTTAAGAATGCCCTGAAAGCCGTCTTCACGGGTGACCTTCCCTTGTTTCTCTAGTTCGAGAAGATGAGAGATTGCGAGTGCTTTGACGGCAGCAAATTTCAATCTGCCTTCGTGTCAGATGTCTAGGCCGTCCATGAGACTGCATCACTCACGATCGAATGTCCTCAAGACGGTATGCCGAATCATTCGCAAATGTAGATGGTTGTCGGCGTGGGATTTGGCGCATCTCATTTTCGATCTCGGCATCTAGGATTTCCTCCCAAAGGATTTCGTCATTTTCCGTCACTGGTCGCATAAGAGACTCCAGCAGATCTTGAGCTGGCTGCACACGCAAAATCGCGAGAACCCCACGTTTGGCTTGAACCCATAGGGTCTTCTCCTCAGCGTGAGGGTCTGCGATGTATGAGAGATTCAAAGAATTAGAGAACGGTGTGGATAGACTTCTTACCCTGCACGTAGGCAAATCGGTTAGTCAGCTCCAAGAAGATTGGCGTATCTCGGGCATCCTTCAGTTCTTCATTATCCAAATGCGGTACGCCTTCCAGATCATGTAAAATAACTTTGAGAGTATCGTCACGTTCGGGACCCTATGTTTACAATGAGACGTGAATGGATAAAGAGTGTGAAATGTCCAAACCAAAGATGTCTGGTGTTGGAGAAGTAAGGAGTGGATGCTGTAGATTTCGTTGGGCGATATATATATCGGCTTTGGTTGAACAGTGGCATCCATGAATTCATGGGCGTGGAAATGAACCTCAGCATCGGGAACACTTGCAACTGGCGAAATAATTAGTTCAGAGTATTTTGACGCATTGTGGGTGCCAAACCTTGATTGTACCAGTGCGACATTTGCTGAATCGCCTTGTGGACAAAGTCGTTGATCGGGACATAACTTGGGTCATTATCACCAAATTCAACGCCACTGACAATTTGCGCAAGAACTCGGGAAATCTGAGCAAGATTCTTCTTCGCCGTTGCGATATTCATAGTTTTTGGCACGATGTCATAAGCTTCTGGGGCTCTACAAAGAGGAATAAGAGAAAACATCAGGGAAAAAGAGGATTTAAAATGTACAGAAGGACTGGGTTGATGTAACGGTGGAATACCAACCGTCCAATGCACGTCCCATACAACTCTTCTGAAACTCCAGGAAATTTTTCCTACGGCCGTCGTCAGTCAAATTAGATTTCTGCAACGAGAATGTACTCACACGTAGGATGACTAGCATCTCTCTTGCAAGATATCTCATACTATACGACATCTTCTTCGTCGACTGCTCGATCGCATTCATGAACGCTTCAGTCCACCACTGGATGACTTGGAGATCTACTAGAAATTTCTGAAAGAGTAAAGGAAAACAAGGACGAACCCGCACGTACGTCGGATATAGATCGCCCTCGTATCAGGGTCTGTGACAGCTTCACGGAAGGGTACATCCTTCGGGGTAGGAAGCGGTTTTCCAGATCTCATCTCTTCGATGTCAATGCGAGCGCGGTGGATCTAGAGAAATGTGAGAGTTGCTGAGGCTCCAGAAGCAAGAGACGTACCGCAGACGGATCGGCTTCAAGATCGAGATCGTCTGTGTTTATCAGTTCGCGGATAATTGCCTGGAAAGCATCCCGAACGTAGGTGACTTGTCGTGATCGGACGTAGTTCACTGCGATGTTGATATAGAGAGGGTGGCCAGACGCGATTGCACTCAATGATGAAGCGGTTAAGACTTCGTCCCGAATAGCGAGCTACCCAAAGTCATTACTGCACGTTAAAGACGGGAAGAATAAACTCACCTGGAATAGCTTGAGCAACAAGAAATCTTCTCTGCGGTCCTGGCCATAACCAAAGAGCGTCAACACAACGCGCTCCATAAACCGACGGTTAGCTTCAGATGTATCGTCTTTGGAAAGGTGGCAGAGGAGGCCGGTTAAATATTCAGGACGAGTTTGGAGAAGATAAAATAGCTGTTGATACAATTCCAACTTTCGGCGACCGTCTTGATCAAGTGTGTGAGGTCCTGAGAAGGGGTCGCCATGGGCGGCGAGCAATGACACTCGCGCAGCACGCAAGGCAGCGCTGTCTCCTCGTCGTTTACTCGCCTTCAAAATGTCCTCAAAGCTCTTGAGGTTGTGAACGACAAGGCCAATCCTCTTGTCGAGGTCGTTGATATGGCTTTCGAGGGCCTGATTATCGTGGATTTGCTCGACGACCCGTTTTCGCAGCCGTTCCACTTTTATCTCTTCCTGGAAGTCGGCTTCTGAGTCATCTAACAGGTGCACGAAGTTCTTGATGGTCCCAACCGTCACATTTTTGCCCATGGTAAGCTGTCGATACTGCTCTCGCGTCTCTTTGGCGCGGAAGAGGGATTGGATCTTCACCACTTTGCTTAGGTTAGCGCGGAAGTATTCCATCTTCTTGCGGAAAGCACGACGTTGCGTCGCACCACGCAGCATAGCTTGCAACAATGTTGCAACTGGATGGCTTCGGCGCAGATGATCTCTCCAAGCAAAGAACTCATTGCGCACGAGTGCACCGCGGGCCGTGCTCTGCAACCCCACGACGTCAGGAGTGGCAACCTCTAGCTTCTTGTCCAGTTCACGATGTCGGTTCCTGGTGATTGATGCTCTTGCCAAGGCTTGGAGACGCCCGACAGCTTTGATGGTTTTCACATCCAGTAAGGCTTTGTTAACGGCATGGTGCTTCTGACGGAGTAGATTGGCCTTTGCACGTGCTTGGAATCCAACAATGACGCTCGTCGCTTTTCGCAAGCCTCGAATAAGCGCTAACAGCCGTTTCCGGGCCAAATACGTGCGGACGGCCGCCTGGATGCCGACAACAATGTCCGTCACGTTCTCGAGTTTTGCTAACTGCGAACGGAGCCTTCTCCTCATGATTAAGCCCCTGCAATGCGCTTGAAGAGTAATGACAGTTGGTTCTATACGGCCCAACATGCGAAGAAGTTTCGCCATCCTCCGTCGGGCAAGAACTCCGCGAGCGTGCGCTTGTAAGGCGACGACAGATAGGCCAATTTTCGGAATAATGAAGGATTTGACGAGCTCCTTTTGATCACGGCGCACGATGTGCCCCCGCGCAGTTGCCTGAAGGCGTTTTGTGGGAAAACTTATCTTGCAGAGAGCTGCCTTCAATCGACTGTAACGACGTCGTTGTAGTACGCCGCGAATTTGTGCTTGGACTTTGATTACAGAGGATGTGGCTATTTTCAGCGCACGTAGACGGTCTCTCCATTGCCTTCGGAGAAAGACACCTCGAGCTCTTGCTTGCAAGGCGATTACCCAAGGAATCATCGATGCTTGCTGCCGTCGCCGAGTAGCCAGCCGTCGTCGAACTAGGACCCCTTTCAGACGAGCCTGTAGCTTGACAACTTGACGTTCGGCAAGGTGCATTCGCGCTTTCAGTGCGGCCAAGTCTCTTCGCGCTAGAAATCCGCGAAGACTTGTTTGGAGCGCGATGATCGAGTCGACACGCTCCAGCAGCATGCGATCGCGCCCTACCAGAATATAAGTGATATATGGAGGGGACTACATGTTACAACTCACGTTCATCCTCAGTTTCAATTTCAGCCTCAGGTTCGTTGATTTCTTTCGCCAGCTCTCGACCCACGTTGCCAAAGTTCGGCATAGTCACACCGGCCTCCTTCAGCCCCTTCTGAGTCTGTTGCAACTGATCATCAGAGAAATGTAGCTGCCCTAGCAGATTGCCGATGCGTTGGGCTAGACCACGACGAGCAAGAAGATGGCTAGAAGAGAATGAGTCATCTATGAAGTAAAACAGCAAGGCTTCATACCTAAGGGCATGGATGCAGTATATCACTTTCGGGAGATTTTTCTTCTCGTACAGGTCAGTAAGTTCGAAGATGAAGCCCTAAGATTAAATTCTTCGTTCACCCGTGGACAAGGTGCAATCAGTTAACCGGGACATACCTCCGGGAGGCCGACCTCTCGTACAAACTTGAAGAAGTGGTTGATGTTCTCGGAATGGCGGAAATCGCGTTTGGAGCCACCCTGAACATCACAGTGAAATCACGACACGGAAACCTCTGGATATCGACTTACTTCATATATCTTCTTGACAACCGCCTCTCCCTGAAAAACGCGAACCAGTTTCGCCAAGACTACCCCGTTTTGAAGGCCATCCTCCAATTCTATAACACCTATTTCCAATTCTTCCCCTAGACAGCCTTCTATCCACTGTTGAGCCTCGCCAACGTGACAAAGGTATTCGTAAGCTTGAAGAAGATGCCGTTGTTTATCGGCCCACGAGCCCCCTAGAAGGCGCGAAGACGGAGTTGGAATTGGAAGGATATTGGGAGCTTTCAGTGGAATACGACCCGGAAGGCCTGCCACGCCATCTCCGGTAAGAACCCCTGATGGTGTCAACCTGGGCTCTCGCATGAGAGCTTCAGTTCTGCGAGCACGTAGCGTACTCCTGTCAGTGCGTCGAGCGGGAGGATCCGACGTTGTCTTTGGTGCAATCTGGTCCGCGACCCAGCTATCGTCTGCATCGCCGCTGGCAATACGGGGGAGATGACTACCCAGTTTCCGTCTCCCACCCGCTGATAAACCCTCGCCGTAGGTACCTGACTTCTTGTTCGCCATATAAGAACTTCTATAAGGCGCTGGATACATGATCGATGCTGGAGAAGTCGGGCTCGGGGTAACTTGAATGGATGGGGACGAACCATCGTCTGCTCTCAAAAGCGAACCACTTCGAGAAGGTGGTTGAGGGAAGGAGGGGACGTGGAAACTGGTCTGCTCTGGACGAGAACTCGACTGATTATCGGAAGAGGACGTTGATGATGCCTTCTGCATAGTGGATCTAGACGGAGAAGACGCTGCAACTGGAGACTCCGTTCTTGGACTTTTCAACGGTGGCCATCGCGATGCTGAGTCTAACGTGTGAGCTCGATGAATCCTGGTATGTGAAACACTGGATGAATCAAGTTTGATTGGGGGATTCAGCGTAGTTTCTGCGATGCCGGTTCGCCACGAGGCTTTGGATGGGGAGTCTGGGACAGGGATATGGATCCAATTCGGGGTTGCAGACAGGGGTGAATCGGCTTCGACGGATATACCCGTAGCATTGGGAGACAAAGGCGATGCGATGATGAGAGCGGGCATAGTCTGTCTCTTGAGGTACTTCGGGGTCGAATATGATTCTCTGCCGGACAAGGTCGGTGTAAGCGGGCGATCGTGAGGGGCATGCCCATCGGAAGTGGCAGAGGTACCACTGCTGTTAGGTGATATCGTCGTTCGGGGCCTTGGAGAATCTTTTGTTGGACTTGAACTTGAGGATGTGTAATTCAGATGCTCTTCCAAAGCTTCACGAGACCGTTCTTCCCACTTTCCTCGAACGGCATCGAGACTATTTGTTACGCGATGCGAAGGTGTCCATCGTCTTTGGGTTATGGACGCGGCAGACGAGCCAGTGGTATTGGTGAGAAGACTGACACTCGATTGCGAATTACTTCTCGAGAGAGAATTGCCGCCTCGGGACGATGTTCGTTCCAGTAAGCGCGTCTGATACGCAAAGGGCGCTGAAGAACTGGGACGAGTCGAGGCGTTGGACGTTAAGGAATTTAGAGGGTCCATGTCGCATTTATGTCATGCCTGTGTCGTGAGTAAGAGGGGGACAGAGCTGGTGCAGTCGTCAAAGAAGCTGGACTCTGGAGCCTGCGGTAGTACTAAGGCCCAGGACGCCAGTTTAATTCGCCGGATCGAACATCGTCACGTGACAGTGGTCAGAGCAGCTTAAAGTTAGGGTCAGCCTTTGAATGTCGCACAGTGACTGCGATCTGACAACCAGAGATGACTTGTGCATATATTGAGGAGATAATATAATAACATGCATATCATATACACGAGATTACACGAAGGCTCTCTGTTCAGGGAAGTCGGTGACGTCACCGAATCATACTAGAGCTTCGAAGATGTATCGTGACTAGACCTCTTCGACCACTCCTTAGCGGCAATTTTGCGCAAGTCGGCCTTGAGAATCTTTCCCGATGGAGTGCGCTCTGCAAGTGGGCCATATGATTCAAACGTCAATCATTACATTGCATTAGAAGGCATACCAAATGGCTCGTTCTGGACCACAATCATGACTGGAACCGCAAATTTAGGTAGACTATTGGTGTATTAGAAGCTGTTCATCAAATTTGGACGAAGGCCGCACCTCTTCCGAGCCAACGAAATGAGCTCTCTGTCTGTTACCCGCGAGTGGAAGGGTGGTTTGACGGATACGACGGCTGCCACTAGTTCACCTAAACGTTTATCGGGAACGCCGACTGCGGCAGCCTCCAGCACACGCTCATCTGCATAGAGAGCATTTTCGACAGTGACAGAATCCTACATGCTTTCCATCAAATCGCGAAGTGGTGAATACCCATCGCTGAGCTTACAATATTTTCTCCTCCACGAATGATGATGTCCTTGACTGAGGCATGGTTAGCATTTCATTTGTGTCACGAAACAAGGACGTACTTCGGTCACGAATGTAGAGAAAGCCTTCCTTATCCAAAAAGCCGAGATCACCAGATTTAAACCAGCCATCTTGGGTGAGTACCTGAACAGCAGGTCAGAAGACAGTGCCGAGCATGAAAGAGTGGCTACAGTACCTTGTCAGTAGCCGCTTGATCTCGCCAATAACCTTTCATAACATTTGGGCCTCTGATCCACACTTCCCCTACGGTACCAGCAGGAACGCTAGTATCGTCATTCATGATCATTAAATCATTGACGGGCATCGCGAGCCCGCTAAGGACAATCAAAACGATGGTCTCCTGCAGTTGAGGAAGGGACGAACCAGCTTGTGGGGCGTGCAACGTAGTCCTCTCCAGCTAGAAAGAGGCAATCAGAAATTGCCTCGGCGCAAAGACTCCAAACCTCTACCCACCAAAGCCAACAGCTACACTGCTCGTTTCTGTTAGGCCATAGCCTTGGCTCCTAATGTCACATTAAGTAGTCTCGTCTTCGGACGATAAGAACCACGACGAACATCGTAGCGGTTGGGAATGCTCTGCGAGCACGCGGTGTAAGAGTATCGGGGGCTGGGGCGCCTCCAAACATAAGTGCATCTAGAGGCAGCCCAGCGGCCGAGCTGTCCGCGAGGTCTGAAACCATTGACGGAACTCTAGAAAGACCACTGTATTAGCGAGACGATGGAGAATAACGACGGCTGCTCACCCTCCGGCAATGACAACATTTTCCTTCCTCATCAATCTTCAGAGTTGATGAGCCGAAAATGGATAGACAATGACTGGAATTAGAGATACCTTGCACCTAGAACAATCATGAGGGATAGGGTGATAAGAATACGAATGGGGTCCAACCTTCTTCTGGTATCCACTTCCGCATCATGACGATCTTAAGACCGCCCATGGTGGCCAACATCTGACGTTGCAATAAGAATGCAGAATAAGTGGATCAAAAAACTTCGCACATACCGTCAGACTCGTAAGGCCAGTGACGTGGAAAAGGGGGACTGAGAGAAGGACGGCTTTTTGAGGACCAACTGGAGGGGTCGGGATGCCTTCTCCACGTCTGAGAACAGCCCTCCGCGTTCCGACAATAACCTGATGAACCGTAAGCCAAGGCACGAGACGATTGGTATTAGCTTACATTTAATATGTTTGTTAGAAATTGTCTTTGTGTGCTTAAAACTCCCTTGGGCATCCCAGTGGTTCCTGGAGTACAAATCAACCACGACCTTTTGGCCATCTGCTATTCGTTGTTCAAACTCACCAGAGGTGAATAAGATGGTCGCGTCATCTTCAGGAGTAATCTTAGGATCCATGGTCAGGATTTTCAGAGGGTCGCCCTTGTAATTATTGAAGGCTGCGTGCCAAGTCGTCATCCCTTCCCATTTTCCCTTCCCTTCCTGAGATTCGAGAACCAGGATGCCTGTGCTTCCGGCTTCTGCAACAAGCTTCCTTGAGATAGGCTCCAACAAATTTGCGCGTTCGGGATCGACGATGATCAGTTTGCACTCTGTGCGGGCGATGCAATAACGTAAAGTCTCCAAAGGCGACCACCTGGTGGGGAGTTAATCAAGAAGAGACCCACAAAGTCTCGACAGATGGCTTACGCGTTTGCAAGAGCTGAAATGGCCCCCAGAAGGTCTGTACAGAAACGCGCTGAGCTACGGAGCGGGTGAAGAGGTGCTGTACTAACGGCAAGCCCAGAAAGCCACTATGTATTCCGGATAGTTCCTGGCGCAAATGACAACGCGGTCACCTGGCTGGGAATTAGAAGGCAATGAAAATGAACGAGTGTTGAACTAACCTTTGCGAACACCATACACGTCGTGATATATGGCAGCAGCCTTGAGTGAACGCTGAAATGCTTCAGCAAATGTGAGACGCTGGTTCTCGAAGACAGCGTAGACAGCGTCCTTGTGCTCATTGGCAGCCCATAACCAAAAGACGCGTAAAGAGGGCCATAGGTTCTTGTACACGCGCTGTACAAGGCTGCCGACGAGGACAGTCTGTGTCTCATGCATGGTTCCAGGTGCGCAGAGGATGGCATCGACTGCGGGCACAAGCACCAAAGTCAATGATACAAGTCTTCTAGTTGCGAAGAGAAAGTCGACCAACCCTCTGCCAGCGTGCGCTTAGGAGACCAGGCGTCGGACATGACGGGGTATGGGAAAGGAAACAGGAAGGCGACAAGAGAACATCTGTAATGAGGATTTATAAAACGGACGCGCTACTGCAGCTGGGGAGCGCGGGGTACGGGTACGTCCAAGGCCGGAATCTCGATTTACACAGAATACCGGAGGTCACCGGACTCCGCGGCCGAGCCGCTTGGCAAGATCGGCATGAGCTAAGCGACCCCCTAAAGGGCCATTGATAAGATACCCAGACTAATGTATATCTGAAATTTCTGTGAATAGATTGGTCCCTTTGTCACCTTCTGATGCATCAGCGCGACCGCCAGTCCCGCATACACCTTGCTTCCCCAGAGAAACCTTCGCCTAGGTCAAGCTCAACCATCACCCGCTCCTCCTCCCCATCCTCGATAGGCTCCTACTCTGACCTCGCCCTCGTCGACCCTCGAGATGCAAAGTATGTTATTTGGCTCCGAATCGAGAAACCATGGAGCCTAATTCAGCAGGCATTTGCAACAGCAGCCAAAGTCCGTCGTCCTCGGCGTATGTGCGATGGATATCAAGGCTCGCAGCAAGGCCATGAGAGAAATACTCACAAGGCTTGTTGAACGCGCCCGTGGTGCGATTGATGTCAAGGTTTTTGGTGATAAAGTGATACTGGACGAAGGTACGTGTTCCACCATTTTATTCTCCTTCCGGATTATTGAAGACACGCAACACGAAGACGTTGAAAATTGGCCCCGTTGCGACGTCCTTATCTCCTTCTTTTCCACCGACTTCCCCCTCGACAAGGCCATATCTTATGTGAGACTGCGGAAGCCTTTCTGTATCAATGATCTCCCGCCTCAGGCGTTACTTTGGGATCGTCGGCTCGTCGGCGCCATTCTTGACCATCTTGGAGTTCCGACACCTAGACGTCTCGAGGTTTCAAGGGATGGGGGGCCTAAGGTCGAACCCGAACTCGTCCGAGTCATGAAGGAAAAGTTGAACATCACTTTGGGAGGTTTCTACGTCACCCCTGAAGTGGTGCTTCGCGAAGGTGGCAATGCTATCATCGTTGACGGTGTCACTATGGAAAAACCTTTTGTTGAGAAACCTGTCAGCGGTGAAGATCACAACGTATACATCTACTTTCGTGGTGGTGGGGGTCGCCGGTTGTTCAGAAAGGTTTGCAGATTGCTTTTATTTTCTAACCAGAGTGCTGAGACCAATCCAGGTCGGAAATAAATCGAGCGAACTCGATCCTACCCTAAACCACCCACGGACAGACGGATCGTACATTTACGAGCAGTTCATCGACGTTGACAATTCGGAGGATATCAAAGTCTACACTGTTGGACGGGAGTACACGCACGCAGAGACCCGCAAGTCGCCTGTCGTTGATGGTGTCGTCCGACGTAATACAGAAGGAAAAGAAATTCGGTGATGAGCCTTATCTTGCGATGTCATTCATTCTCATTCCATTTCCCAGATTCATTACCAGACTGACAGAAGAAGAAAAATCCTGGGCCGACAAGATCTGCGAAGGCTTTGGGCAGCGCGTCTGTGGATTCGACATGCTTCGTTGTGAGAACGGGCGGAAGAGCCAAGTGATCGATGTAAACGGATGGAGTTTTGTGAAAGGGAATGAAACATATTATGGTAAAGTTGCGTCCATTCAGTGGCAAACTGTCTTCCACTGAGCGGCTTGCAGATAAGGCAGCGGACATCCTGGCTGCATTGTGCATGCGGGTCTCGTCATCAATTGCAAGGCCACTGCCAGCGACACAGACTGAAGCCCAAGAGTCACCTACTTGGCGGCTCAAGGCGAATGTCACCGTGTTTCGTCATGCTGATCGTACACCTAAGGTCAATGGCCACCAACCTGTCCTATCTCTTTTTCTGACATTATTGACATACAGCAAAAGTTGAAATTTAACTTCCCCATCGGCGAACCATGGACTCAGCCTTTCGTCACTTTGCTAAACGGTGAAACAGAGGAAATCATATTACGCGAAAAAGAGCAATTGACTTGGATTGCAACCGCTATCGAGGAAGCACGGAGCCTTGGAGCAGATGGAGAGGAACTGAATAAACTAACGCAACTTAGCAATGCTCTTTTCAGCAAAATTGACCTTCCTGGCACCAAGGCTCAGCTCAAGCCAGTATACTCTAAACGACAGCTCGGCCAAACGCGAAAGCTTACCAAATTGACATTAGTATTTAAATGGGGCGGAGAGGTGTGAAATTGCTCCGTGGATGACAACGTACTAATATTTTTTTCAAGTTCACTCACTCAGCTCGCTACCAATCCAGAGATCTTGGCGAAAATATGAAGAAGGACATCTCTATCATGAGTAAGTACTCCTCTCAGCCTCCAAGCATTGCATCCTGACATTAGTTTCTCAGATAAAGAGGTTTTACATAACGTCAAGGTGCGCAACCGAGAAAGTATACCAAAATAACCACCTGACGCTTCTGTAACTTTCTAGATCTTTACTTCGTCTGAGAGGCGTGTCATTGCTTCTGCCGAAATCTTCGCAGCCGCACTGCTCGATCCTCAGCATCCAAGCTATTCGGCACCGTCCTCGAGCTCTACTCGGAATGGGGATAACAAAAATAATGGCTTCATCAATAAGAACCTGCCACAGCAGCACCATCAGCAACCTGACCCGACGCCCCTCAAGCTGATCGTTCGAAAGGACCTTCTAGATGACTCGAATGCAGCGAAGGATCTCATGGACGACGTCAAGAAACGATTAAAGATCCTACTGCGGCCTGGTGAATCAGAAAAGCGTCCAGAACTAACGTGGCCAAAGAGCATGAAAAAAGAGCCAGTAGAGGTGGTCAAGGTCAGCGAATCATATCGCAACAAAATCGTTCACTGTTCATTGTTCCCTGTTCACCGACCATTTTTTAGGAAGTCATAGAACTAATGAGTTCGTTTAGAGATATCATGCGCCGCAACTTTGAGACATTGGATGTCGATAAAATACAAGATCGATGGTTAGTTTTTCTCAGTGTGGCAGTTCATCTTTCTCACACCTTTTCAAGGTGTTGTGAGGATGAACCATGGCTCTTTCGTGAACGATGGGAGAAACTTTTCGAGGACTTTTGTGACGTAGAGCAAAAGAAATTCGACCCCTCACGGGTATGTAGGTCTATGGAGCTTTGAGAAGAGCTGGTTATATTTATCCCGACGCTATTGAACTAGGTTTCGGAACTATACGACACAATCAAGTACTGCGCCTTACACCATAGAACTTTCCTCTTTGCTATCTTTGATGAGCATGGCCGCACCGATCCTCAGCAATCTCACGATCGCAAAATCCACGAACTCTACGGTCGTGCTAAGGCTCTTTTTGATTTGGTCGCCCCTCAAGAATATGGCATTGATCCTGATGAGAAGTAAGTTTTTTTTTAGTACACGATCCGAACCTATCCTCACGCAAAGCAGGGAGGAAATCGGCGTCCTTACGTCGCTTCCGCTCCTCCGTAACGTTGTGTCGGACCTCGAGGCCGCTCGAAATAACGGAGAGAGTTCGTTGACTCTTTACTTCACCAAGGAAAGTCACATACACACCTTGGTCAATCTTGTCCTACTATCTGGACTGCCGATTGCAAATCGGCGCATCCCTGAGTTGGATTACGCTGTATGTGCCCTGTCGGCTATCTTTCGGTTTCATCTCACGGTTTTTGGCTTTAGTCTCATATTACATTTGAACTGTATGAACGGAACCATGGGCGAGGAAACTCAGACAAGGAATATTCCATCAAGCTTTCATTGAGTGAAGGCGCCCACTCATCCAATGTCCTGGACTCCACGTTAGACGCCCGACATTCACTGAACGTGCAACCTCGCAGGTACAAGCAACTGCCCTCCATTTGCTTGAGCAAGGCATTTACTAATTGCCAAATATCAGGAAATTGACTCAACATCTACCCTACAGCACTGTTATAGAGAAACTTTCAAAGCACTTTGATAGATTGACTGATGTCAGTGGAGTGCATCTCGCATCCGCTAGTGCTAACAATGTATCTAGGAGGACGATAATGGTCTTGAAGGACCATTTGAGACGATCGAAACACCTTTGACGATATCACCCGTTGGGAATGTCGAGGAGACATAATGTCTGTTTGATCACCCAGACACAAGGTTGGGGATCAAATAAATCTGGAAGGATTATCCAGAAATTATGAAGAATTTTCTTCAAATAACTTCTTTGTAGTTCAGTGGCAAATAACGCAAATAACAAAGGTTTTATTCAAATAAATTACAGGTAAAGGGTCCAAAGTAAGCATAAATTCAAGATATCTGTCTCAATAGAGCATGGTCCTTTATGCAAATTTTATTTAGAACTTCCTTTGGATAACATTAAGATAAAGGTGGAATTGTTATGTGAACTCCGACCCTGTGAGAGCTAATACCGTGTTCACAGAAGCTTGCATGCCCTTTCCAATGGGTATATCAACGCGTAGTTGCACTCAATGTATATTACTTATGTCAATTATCATATTAGCAATGTAGTCCGAGTCTTTGGATGGGAATCATTTTTGCGCGTCCCATTGCTGTAAACCGAACTTTGATCTCTGTTGGGCGAGCTGGTCGGGAGTCATTTTCTTAAACACGATCTCTGAGCCAACATTGCCCATGGGCGAAGGATGATCTTGATCAAACAGCGCAGATTCAGACTGTGATAAAGAAGCAGACTGTGTTGCAAGTGCTGCAAAGGATTGAGTTGACTCCCGGTACCTGGAGGCACTTATTAGAGTGCATGGGAATAGAGGAAAAGTCATGCAATTACAGTCTACAGCAAAGCATGCGTCAAAGAAGCTTCAAAGAGGTCTGTGGGTATGGACATACCGGAAAGCTTCTTTATTGTAACAATCAGACTCCTGGAATTTATCAAGAGCGTGTTTCTTGAACGCGACTTTAATCCAATGGAGAACATCAAAGGCATGATGCTCCTTCGGTCTTTGATACAAATAATCAGATGCAACTTTCACGTCTCATGATATTAAGTATACCTCCATGGCCTGAACCGTGGGCTCAGATTGAAAGAACCGGAGGTCGAGATTAACGGATGGAACACGTCAGTTACAAATGATACAACTGGTGGGCTTTCTGGATAATTGACAGGGAATGTCAACCGGAATTTCAAGATGGAATCTGCGTAGTATCCTGTGACAGATGAGTTTAATGCTGCAAGCAGCTAGGGATGGACGTACCCTGATGAACAAAGAACACTGCATCCCAGACGAGCAGATTGCTCGAGGAGGGTACGACGTAGATGCCTAGAGGACAGTGGCCCGCGTGCCTGAGAGAGGCGTATTCAAGCGATACGGCAGTTCGAGCAAGGACGCTAGATGATTCCGGTGGTTGGGTATTCTCGGACTGAGCAGCAGCCGCAGATGTTGACCGTATTGGCCGTGCCTTGTTATTGTAAGTTGCATTCCCTAAGTCTGACAGACTCGGCATAGCAGAGAAACTCCCGAGCATCACAAATAGTTATGGTGGTTTGAGGGAAGGGCAAGAAAAGCAGCTGTAGTCAAGCCGTGTGAGTGGTTCGTCGCGAAGGATGAAGGCAAGATAGGGGCGTCACAAACAACTCAGCTGATCCGATTCGACTCGCAGACTGCATTTCATTAGATGGTGTTTGCAATGCTAAGTACCAAGATACATACTGCATAGTAGGATACAATCTCCAAGATACACTACGTGACAAGTACAACATCAAAAGTGTATCTACAAATCGTACACTGCATCCCAATCAAGTGCTCTGGTACTGGTAAGAACAAATTATACAATGAAGAGTCTTCAAACGTTACGAGACCTCAGAACTAAGAAACGTTGCGCATTCGTAGACAAGTTGAGAATGCTCTGGGTCATCGTGAATATCCACCACGGTACCGTGGTCCTGTGTCATTTTGTCGATGTCGATCCCGATCCCCGTAGTGACTTGAGGGCCTATCCTCACGACGGTGGTATTCGCGATGGCTCTTTGACGAGTCGTTTCGCCGGCTGCGGTCACGCCTATCGCTGTGACTTGAACGCGACTCTCCTGGGTGGATTTCCCCCAGACGCGCCAGAAGACTGGGAGGACCGTTATCGTGCGATGGATATTGACGACCTTGATTGAGGGATTTTCCAAAAGTTATCTTCTTGGGCGCTCCAGAAGGTTGGGATTTTGAACGAGACGGCCGTTGAGATCGCTTTCCGAACCAATCTTCTTGATCATCTTCGACCTGTCGCGCTTGCCTCTCCAATGCCGCCCGAGACTTCATCCGGCCATCCCTTCCGACACGTTCAGGAGCACCTTTGCCCCAACCCGACATGTTGTCCACTTGATCCCAATCCCGAACATGAGACCGCGAGGTCGAAGCCATCGGTTTCTTGTCAGGATCATAGAACGGGCCGCCCATGATGTTATACAAGCTAAATGCCGAGTGTTCCCTCATAGTCTGATTGACCGTGTTTTCTTCGCAATCCTGTATGCACCGAGCGAAGTGTATCAGTAGTGTTTCATCAAGGCGGAATAACGCCGACCAACATCTCCCCAGTGTCCACAATCTCCGCAATTATAGCACCATTCATCATCTGCCACATACCCTTCTCCCCCTTGGCCGAGTTTCATATCCTTTTTGGCTTGACGATGGGTCAAAATGTGGGCTTGTTCCTCAACACTAAAATACTCGTAAAGTCGCCACCAGGTCGGACATTCCTGTGAAACGGTAAGAGTGAGTTGCGAAGGTAACCCTGGACAACAACTTGCATTTGTCTTGTGGCTTGATTCTGAACATCGATCACATTCACTTTCCCTAGTTGACATAAGCGCCCGTGCTGATCGTCGATTGGGGCAGTTCTTGAGATAGAAATCAGTAGATTGCGTTGCGGGTAGGTGAAAACCGTACCGCATTGATGTGTCCCTTCATTCCGCAAGTAAAACAAACCTTGCTGATCGAGCAAGATCGTGTCGAATGTTCGTCACGAGCACCGCAAGTTAAGCACTGAGAACAGCGCCTCAGTTACGCACGGAGAACGTGTAGATAAATGATTTGCTCACAATTTGAACCGGGCATGCCGACGTCTTGTGTTCTCCCTCTGCTCCACAATTTTTGCAAACTGTTCGATCAAGAGTTTTAGCCTCGCTCGGAGGGTCATTGTAGTATCGAATTGTCGTCTAGATATTTCCGTGCATCAGTTGGCGCTGTTGGCCCGGAGATGGGAATGCGAACTTGTCTATCGTCGTATTCAAGATATTTGATGAAGTCATCTTCGTCCGAGTCCGGTAGGGCTTGAGTGATAATGTCAACTGGTGTGTCGCCGAGGATAACAACGTGCGAAGGCAGAAGCAGCTTTCCACTGGGCTGTTCATCAAGTTCGAGAGGTTGATCGAAGGCGAGTGTTTCGGGGGGATTCGAGGGCAAGTGGGAGCGGTTCAAATCGATAAAGAATAAGTCTTGAGACTGGGCGGTATTCCCTCCTCGGTCAGAAGCTGCTGTTTTGACGTTTTGTTGCTGTTCGTGGTCGGAATCCTGCCCCCTTTCATTTCGTTTCCGTTTCGTGCGTCGGTCTGGATCAGTAGCCCTATCTGGGGAGTTGATGCGCGATTTCGAAGCAGCATCCTGCGGGTCTGCAGAGGTACAAGATTTCCGGCATCGTTTTCGCCGAATCTTGCGGGATTCTTGATTCGAAGGAGCTGTCGGGGTAATGACGAGTTCAACGTCGGAGTCATATTTGTCTTGAGAGGGAGAGTCGGTCGTAAGGTCGATGATTTCAGCAGAGCGCGACATGATGATGGGTGGTTTAGAGAAGACCTTTGGAGAAGATGAACACCACAGGGATTTCTTCAAAATTACGTAACTGAGACTGTTAACAGTCCGGCCCGGTGCTGATAGCAACTAGCGGATACTGCACATAGACGCTGTTGAAGGTACTATACAATGCAATTAACTGAATAAGGTATGGGACAAGTTTCTATGGTCAACTCATTTCCCCTCTACTTTGGTTTGAATCAATGACTGTAATCGTACCTTCAGGACCAGAAATCATGCTCAGGTTACCCAAGGCATCGAGGCTGAGAGATACTTACTTTCTATAGAAAGTCTCGGAGTCGGATGGTACAGTTTCATCCCTGCGGGCACCTCGTTGTTTTCTGCCTTGCTTTTCGAGCTCGCGGCGGAAATCACGGTCTTCCTTTAGCCACTGCAGTGCTACGTTATAAAGAGTGGTAGATGGCTGGAACTGCTGGGTGAGAGGGCTATCGGGAGTAAGTGGCCACGGTGTGGGAGGAGTGGTGAAGGCACCGAAGCACATGTGAGCGATGTGGGTTGGGAAATCGTTCAGGCCATCGAAGATGTGGGTCGCGTCTGCCAGAGTCGATCTACAAGTGTTCGATGTTGAACGCGGAAGACTTACAAAGTATAGTGGCACCGCGTTCTTCACTGTCTGCCTTGAGAAATTTGAGTAAATCGTCGCGCACCAATACATCCAAGTCAACAGTGACCTGGATTATGATTGGTGAAGAGCAGGGGATTCAATGCAGTTCAACAGACCTCATCCAACAGAAGGACATCCCAGTCTACCATCAGGCCAAAGCAAAGCTGAACTCTCCGTCGCTCGCCATCAGATATGTTGTGCATGTGCCAGTCCAGGTCAATGTCCAGAAGATCTAGCAGGCGATCTCTCCTCTCTTTGTGTCGATAGCCACCAACAGAGTCCAAGAAAGCAGAAACGACAATATCTCCGCGTACCACTGGGTTCATCGCCCTGAAGGAGCGGCGGGTGAATAGGGATATGACAGTCGTCTAGTGCAGAACTTAAGGACGGACCATTCTGTCCCCAAGAAGGTGACTCCGGGCGGCGAGTCTCGAAATACATCTCGGCCGCTGATGCGGACATCGGCACCTACTGCAGTAACGAGCTTCTTCCCAGCAAGAAGTTGGAGTAGGGTTGATTTTCCAGCTGGGCGTCAGACAGATTAGAGCGCAGGCTGCAGATGGCAAGATGGTGTCAAACCTCCGTTGGCACCTATGAGAATAGTCCTTGAGCCTGGCGGGAGGGCGATATCGACATCGACAAGGGACGGAGGGGAGAAGAGGTTGTGACAATAGGTGAGGTTCGCAACGGCGATGGAAGACATTTTTCAGGGCATGGCGGCGCGTGCACATGGAGATTGGGGAGAACAGCTGGGCGATGCCGTGATTTCCCACGCGCACCCTCGCAACACAGCCTGTCCCTAGAGTCTCTTCTTCGCCCCCTTCCTTCCCGACACGACGCTAGTGCTCCAGTGCTCCACTTCCCCGTCGTCCTGTCCGTGTCCAACTCAACGCCACACTCATTTCCAACTCAGCCATGGTAGCCGACGCCCTTTTGCCCCGTCAAACAGACAACTGCATGGACTGTGCAGACCCCCCACCCTGTGCTTGTGCTGCGAACGAACAGTGTGTCCGAATCAACAGGTGCGTCCAACTACCAAGGCACGTCGAAGCTGACCTCATGGTTACAATCGCAGAGTCTGCAATTCCTGCTTCCGCAACGAATGCATCCCTCTGTCAGGCAGCTCAAGTAGTTCCAGTGGGGGTGTCAGCAAGGGCGCTCTTGCTGGCGGCGTCGTCGGTGCTATCGTCTTCTTCGCCTTCGCCATCGCTCTATTCCTTCGATATAGAAGGCGGTCGATCGTCCGTAAAACCCTTGCGAATGCCCGCGACGTCAAGGGAGACATTCCTGCTGCTGCAGAGACTGTCCTCAACCGGCCAGACCCTACAGAGAAACCCCCATCGGAACTCAGTACCATCAGGGTCTATTCTTCAGCGTCCAACATCACCATCGATCTCGACCCTCATTCGCAGGCTTCGTCCTCTCATGCGCCATCGGGCTTCAATCCATCTCGGGATGGGCCCCATTTAAACCCCTTCGACGACACAAATTCCATCCAGACAGCGGGAACAGAGGGAACTAATGTTATACCCATCGCTCTTGTCCCTCCTGATTCCCACCATGCATCCTTGACCCGCATTGACTCCCATACCCTTCCTGCACCCACACCAACCTTCCCAGTTCGACCAGCTCGTTCGCCTGATCTCAATCTCAATCTCGATCACGTTAATGTTTCCCACGACAACCTGCGCGCTGCAAATGGGTATTCGCAATCCACCCGCTCTGGAGTATCTGGCGTGTCTTCTAGGAACTCATACATGTCGAGCGCCAGTTATTCCAGTGACTTCTTGAACGAGGCGCCAATGATAATGACGCCGACCAGGGGAGCAGTCCGCCAAGTTGTCGGTGTTGTCAAGGCGGAAGTTATCAACGCGAGTGCCGGTTCACTCAATCCGTCATCTGCCTCTGATAATGGGAAACCACCTGCATACGTACGGCCGATTGGCAAGTCTCCGCTGGCTTCGACGTCGTTTGGGCCCGACGATATAGTGAAAGAAACGGACGAAAGCCGCGGAACGAACGATCCTTTCTCGGACGAACACAGTTCTACGCACGCTAGTTATGCGGCTTCGCCCTCACCTTCAGATACAACCTTCAAGCAAGATCAGCTAAATCGTGAATCGGCTGCGAGCAACTGGGTAGCTGAGAACCCGCCTGTACCCTGGTCGCGATTCAATGATCAGAGTCGCCCTTCCAGCATGAGTACACAAGCAGGTTCTGTCGTTGACATTGCTAGTGCAACACGTGTCAATGTTGGTCTGAGTGGGCCGAAGACCTCAGGGAGTGCAAACTCCTACAGGACGACGATGGGTCGATTAGTCACGCCACCCGGTACTGTCGGGACTCTTCAAGAACAGCAGCAACGCGCTCTTGCTCACGCCCAAGCCCAAGCCCAAGCCCAGGGCCTTGATAGAAGAAGAGTTTCGGGCTCCTCTGTGCTATCGGCAACGTCTACGCGTGCCGATTCCATTTTGGAGTCGTTCCCATTCGTGCCTCCTTCACCCATCTCCGACCGACCGATAAGGACCCCTCCGGTGTCACCACTGGGCCAACAATCGTTCACCAATTCTTCAACATCGCCATTGCATCAACACACTTTCGTTGTTGCTCCTCCATCTCCGCTCACCCACCAATCGTTCAGCGCTGAGCCCAACAAGACGACCTTTAGCTCTCAAGACGACGACGGAGTTCTTCCTGCACCTCCCAATAGGCGTGTCTTGGGGCTATCAACTGGTTCCCAGTTGTCTACAGCATCGTCAGGGCTGGGTTCCTTCCCATTCCAAATCGAGTCTGAACCTACGACTGATCACGGTGCCCCACCAACATCATTCCGTGCAAATGGAAAGCAACGCGCCAGTCTCGATACCCTGGCACTGACAAGTGATCTGTCCTCCTATCCTCTTGGATTTGATCGAGAGAGTGTCCCACCGCCCAGAAAGTGAAAGGTTCTTTGATTTTCATTCTACTTCTTCCATCTGGGTTTCTTGTTCTGTGCCTGTGAACCTGTTCAAAACCGTGGCTATAGAGCGTGTGCGACTAATTTGTACGATTTATGCTTCATTATGGATTCTTTCGACCTACCGTTCTTCTCAGGCTACCCCAGTCTCATCGCAGGTCCTCGATTTTCATTATTTACCCTGCTCAATTTATTGTTATTCGCCATTATCTTCTTCTGTATTTGCTCTCGTATACGTGATGTCCTATGGTCCTTCGACCAGCAATATATCTGCGTCGTCCCATGACATTATACCATTCAGTATCACTGTCTGCCGGAGTTTTGCCGCATTGCAGCTTATGTAAACATTCCCCAAGGTGACTTAAATTAGTACTTTTGAACCCGCTTTGAACAAGACTCTTTGCCTTTCTCCCCATTTTCCGCGCGTTGGCGGGTTCACGAATTCTCTGCAAACTAAGTGGCTTCTCTCGCGCGTGGAGATGTCAGATGCTGAAGTGCAACAGCTGGTTGAGATGGTACGCAATCCGAGGATCCTCTTGTGAACCGAGAGATGTAACAAGCCCACAGGGTGCGACACCTGCCCAGGCGCGTGCTGCGTTGAAGCAGTACAAAGATGTCATGCAAGCGGCCGAACGATTCTTCGAAGGGAAATTTGATCACATAAAGGGCGACGATACAGAAATGGAGACGAGCTCTCGAAAGTCGATCCGAAGGCCTCCAGTTAGTCTAACTCTGTCAAGCCATTGCGGATGACTGAGTTTTCATACCACAGACACCTGAAGACGATGAGGATGAGGATATGGGCCCAGAAGATGGGGAACAAGATGATGATGACGATGGTGTTTATCGGTGCTTATATCTTTCGGAAACGGGGTCTCACCTACTACATTTTCAGACGCAGGAGATTATGTAGATTACGACTCGGACTTCGAGATGAGTGGCACCAACGCCAGTACGGCTGCGCATGTCAACGTCGATCCATATACTGGTATTATATTTCTTGATCTCTGCACCTGGAACCCTAACGGAAATGTTTTGCTCAGGCATCTTCTTTTCCAAAGATCGAAAGGAAGAGGTCATAGAGGTTGAAGAATATCCGGAAACAATCGTCACTGAAACAAACGACACAGTTTCTCTGATGACACAAGGCCAATGGATGAAAGGGTGCCCAGAAGGCGGAGAGCAAAGCTTTTTGTTCAGTCTCTACTCTCAGTTGAGCACACCTAACACTCCCTGCCCCCAAGAGTGTGGGGCATCAATCCCTCGCTCGAAAGGCAACTTCTTTGCCCTACATGTACGATATCAATTTTTTCCAAGTACAGTGGGGGTTGATCATTTTCTTAGCCAGACTTTTCAACCTACATTTCTCGACTCCGGAACTCCGTTGTCAAGATCTGTCCTCGTTGTCATTCCAAAGTCTGCCTTGCCTGCGGTGAACCTGTGTCTGCAGATCAGGAGAAATACGCGTCTACAAGAGAGGATCCCCTCTTTCATTGCTCGAATCTTCAAGGAGTGATTTTAGGCGTCGGGTTGACAATGCTCGAGCAATCATTCAATGAACAGAGCCCTGAGCAAGCTGATACAAATGATGTATCGACACGAAATAGTAAGCGGCGGAAAACCGGCATAGACCATGAAGTTGACGATGAAAATGTCTACTACCCGCATGCAGGAAAGAAGGCAAAGGGTGGCATAGGCTATGACGGTGACGCTACAGAGGATGTGAGTGTGCTTCAAGGATTCTTGGCATACATCCGCGCCCAACATTACCCATCTCATAGAACTCTGGGCAAGTGAAAGCACTCGCTGCCCAACGTGCGAAGGACGAAAGGCTCGGAAAGCTTTTAAGTGCGATACGTGTGTATCTTCCCAATCTCAACAGAGAAGGCGGAGGTCGAACCAGTGACTACCTTGTGCACCCAACTACTTTGGCGCACCTTCGACGACGCTTCAATCATATCTGTAGTATCCTCCTGAGGAACGATTCGCTGGCAGATATGTCAGAGCGCTCGATCATCTATTTTGAGCTGCTAGAATGGCTTGAGGTATCGCTTTTGACCTCACCTCTTGAAGACGTTGACAACCGTCCTTCGCAGACAATATCTAACCATGAAGCCTTGGCGAGCATGATGGCGATGCCTATCATGGTAGTTGCTTTAGTAAAAGCAGTTAGCGCTAAGAATCCTCAAGTTCGGGAACGAACCATTGTATATGAAGGAAGTTCGGGACCTCGGGAATTACTGGAAGGCATTGCTATCCAAGCCCAAGCTGCTTTGAAAGGACTAGAGGGTCACAAGGTACCTGAGGTCGTTCCAGATGAACTCACAGAGGAGCAGAAGCGCATGACTGTTGACATGAGGGAGAAGGTAGAGGAACATACTGCGACATCGGTATCTGACGAAAATCAGAAGCTTATTCGTTTCTGCCGACGCATACTTGCAACTGTCAAAGCTATCGACCGTTCCTTGCGCGACACGAAAGGGGACGCTTTCGTTGACCGTCTACATGCGTCCCTTCCGAAAATAGCATCCTCATCTACAACTGAATACCGTGTCGGAGCAGGGGCGTCAGACGAATCAGTCCAGAAAGTGTACCTCGATTGGGCCACAAACGTTCGCTTCGAATACTGCGATCTTACGATTCTTCCAGCAGCAGGAGTTGACGAAACAGACCCTACACCACATTACAAATTTTTCTACGACAACGAGGCTCGAATGCTAGCGAACTCCGACATTCCCAAACGATCACTTGCCATTGCAAAGGAGGTACGCGTATTTATGTTGGACGCGAGACTGATATTTACGCAGTCGTAGCTTGCAATCTTGACCACCAATTTGCCTGTGTCCTGGGGGTCGTCAATTTTCCTAAGAGTTGACGAAACGCGGGTGGACGTGATCAAGGCATTGATCACTGGCCCTGAAGGAACTCCGTAAGTTAGAGACTCTTGCTTTGCATTCTTTCAAGTTGTTGAGCACATATTCCTTCCAGCTACCACAATGGGTGGTAAGATCATGCCCTTTCGCAAAGATTAAAGATTGCATTTGACATATACAATGCAGCTTCTTATTCGACATTTTCCTCGGTCCAAGCTATAATCAATCACCACCGAGTGTAAAATACATGACGGTCAGTCCCTTTACTACTAAATTCAAGTCGATGCTTATTCCCGGCAGACCAACGGGGGCAAATTCCGTTTCAACCCCAATCTGTACGCGGTATGTAGGTATTGGTTCCCCTGATCTCAGAATTTTATGAGATTTTCAGGATGGCAAAGTCTGTCTGTCTCTGCTGGGGACTTGGCAAGGTCCTGGATGGGTTTCAGGAAAGTCGACACTGCTTCAAGTGGGTTTATTTGTTTGTATCGACATACCTTCTGACTGATGTCGCCCCAGGTTCTCATATCCATTCAATCCATGATTCTTTGTGATGAGCCTTACCTCAACGAACCTGCATGGTCTGGTTGCAGCGGGACCTCTCAATCCAAAGCTTGTGCGTACTCGTCTTCGTACGCTACCATCTATTACTTAACACTGCTGCTGACCGCGCAGACTCTGCAAACGTGCGCCGCATGGTCGTCAAGACGGCGGTAAGTACTGTACATTCTACCTGATTGCAATTGTCGGGGACTTACGAGGAGAGTAGATGCTTGGAAACCTGAAAGCACCCCCTGAGCCATTCGCTGACATTATCTCAACACACTTCCGCTTGAAGGCACGCTCTATTTCCGCGCAGCTTGACGAATGGCTCCAGCTTGATGATGGAAAATCAACATTATCGGATGGCGGCGTCTACTCTGGTGGGGGTGTCAAAGCCGAAGGTTCAGGAAGCTCTAATGGGTTGGTCAAAGATGTTGAAGAATTGAAGGCGATGCTAAAGGAGTTGGGGGACACTGCATAGTGGTTACACATATATCCTTCTCTCCATTACCGGGCATGTATATTATATTTTCGGAGGGCTGTCAAATTTACAAATCTAATAATTCTCTTCGATTCTTCGGCTTGCGGGAGTGGTCGCTGGCAGCTGAAGAATGCCGTGGGGTTGGCTGTTTGTGAAGAAGCGTTCGGAACGGACAAGAGACAAGAAGAGACATGTGATTGGTCCGCTCGACGTTGCTCTCACTTCTTTCACCGAATAGCCGACCATAAATGAGTCCAGCTGCCCTTGCACGAATCGGTTTCGTTTCTCCTTCCGTTTCTTTCAACCCTCAAACGTCTGTATCATGAGCGACTCAGCTATTCATGCCATTGCTGGCGCCGCAGGGGGGATTGTCGCAATGACTGCAACATAGTTTGTTTCATACCACTAAATACTTCGATGTGATCTCACCTGTTTCCAGTCCCTTGATCTTCATCTCCACTCGGGCGGCTGTAGAGACCAAGAACGAGCAGAAGGTCAGTCGTTGCGCTCTGGCTGTCATTAGGACCAAGTTCGAATCAAGTCCACCTCTAGTCCACCTATCAGGCCGCCCTCGACATCATTAAGCGCGAAGGGATATTGGGCCTGTACAGTGGCTTGAACTCAAGTCTACTCGGGATTGCGATCACCAACGGGTGCGCCTAGCCTTCCCACTGCTTTGCGCAATCCAATGAACGTTGTTCAGCGTTTACTATTACTTTTACGAGCGTTCTCGGGAGGCTATCCTTCGCTCCAGGTCAGGAAGTAAGGCTCTCAGCACCGTCGAATCGATGCTCACGGGGATGGTCGCGGGTAAAGCGTTTTCCACTCTTCCTGGTGCATGTCAGAACCTAATATCGTTCCCTAGGCTCTGCAACAACCTTGATCAGCAACCCAATATGGGTGGTGCAAACATCTCAAGCCGTTAGAACAATGGGGTCAGACAGACAGCCACCCGTCTCAGGAAAACTCGGTTTTCTCGAGACTGTGCAGAGCATCCTTGCTAAAGACGGCATCGGGTGCGCCATTCCAGCTTTTGTGCGTTGCATTTCATTTAACTAACTCTGTGATTTACAGGGCGTTCTGGCGTGGAATAGGACCGGCCTTGGTTCTCGTCATCAATCCTATCATTCAATACACTGCCTTTGAGCAGTTGAAGAATTTTTTGATCCAGAGACGTACTGCCAAATTACGCGCTGCTGGAGCAGCAGCCACCGCGGTTGCTGTGCTGTCTGATCTGGATTTCTTCTTCCTTGGAGCTTTTTCCAAGCTCAGTGAGTATTTTTCTAGTTTAAACACGAGGATTTCCGTTGATCCGGTATAGTCGCTACCAGTGCTACGTACCCCTACATGTGCGTCCCTGTACCATAATCTTGGCCTTGGCTCATCGGGCTTTATTCTAGCGTCGTCAAGAGTCGACTGCAGGCTGGTTCAGCTAATGCCTTGAAGTACAAGTCCTCGATGGATGGTTTGCTTACCATCCTGAAGGAAGAGGGAGTCGAAGGCCTTTATAAAGGCATTGGAAGCAAGGTAGTTCAGAGTGTTTTAACAGCCGCCATTCTTTTCGCGGGTCAGCGTAGGATTTATGAGATAACCAAGGCGGTACGTTTCCAGATTCCGAGCTGCAGTTGTTCGTCAATCCTGACGTTCTCTCATCGTCGACGATTAGGCTATCATTCCTGTCAGCAAGACCTGACTGTGTTTTCTTGCGTTGCGTCCATTTAATGTCAAAGAGGTTTATTGTAGAGTCAGTAATGCACAATTAATCGTGTCTCTCGACCCCACATTCGGACAAATTTCGACCGAGTTTCTTGAGTGATCGGCGGCCCGGTTACCCGCTTCCATAATTGGGAGTATTTTCTGCAAACCTCGAAAGCGGTTCCGCATCATTTGTTGACAACTTTTAGCTTCGTCGGCCTGAATACCGTGTGCCCTCCTCTCCACTGCGGACTCTTCCCGGAAGAACATCCGACTCCAGCATTGCTGCTCGAATGGAAGGTAACAAGATACAGTCAAGTGACTCAACGCCAGCAGTCCTTGCATTCGATACGGACGCGTCCCACGACAACATTGAAACCCCTTCCCTTAACGAGACACCGATTCACGAAGACAGCAATATGAAGGGGGGAGCCATCCCCGATCATAATGTGGAGGGAAGTAGCGAACAAGATCCTGAAACCTCTAGCCTAACGCCACAACCAACAAACGGCCATGCAAACGAGACGGATGAATCCCCTGCAGCCCCTCCAATCCCTCCCAAGGTCGAGGAAAGGTCAGACGAAGGCCTTATGCAACCCTCGACCCCGTCAAGCAGCAGGTTGTCTCATGATGACCGACGTGACTCTCATGTGCAGTCACCGTCGCCCTCCGTTGCGAGCGGCTCTGCAAGCACGCACAAACGCTCAATGACGATGTCGAAAGGAAACAATGTCTCTGTGGTATTGATCACGACGGCTCTAGAAACGATTGCGGCATCCAAGGAAGCTCGTCGGTCTACTCCACTGCGCGACAGCACACAACGAGCACTCGAGCTCATTCGATCCAACCAAGGCGGTGACCGACCACGCGAAATCTTTGAACCTCTTAGGCTGGCTTGCGAGACTCGCAACGAGAAGCTTATGATTGCAAGTTTAGATTGTATTTCGAAACTCGTATCGTACTCTTTCTTCGAAGACGACGGCACAAGTATTCGTGCTTTGCCTTCACCCCCACCTTCACCGCAGCCCGCCGGAAGAAATTCAACCCATGGCTCTTCTCAAGCATCCATACCACTTCCCTCCCTCGTCGACATAGTTGCCCATACAATAACGTCGTGTCATACAGAAACCACACCCGACGCAGTTTCCTTGCAGATTGTGAAAGCGCTACTTTCCCTGGTCCTGTCCTCTACTATCCTGGTTCACCATTCATCCCTTCTCAAATCTGTTCGGACAGTATACAACATTTTCCTCCTCAGCACAGATCCTGTGAACCAAATGGTGGCGCAAGGGGGTCTCACACAAATGGTGCATCATGTCTTCACTCGCTGCAGAAGAGGCACTGCTGCGAAATCTTCTCCAGAGACGTCTTCAAGTCAGGGAGACCTAGCGAATCAACCTTCCCCGTCCCGAGCATCATTTTCTCACTCACAACCAGACCTGCCTGATGACGAGGCTACGATGAACGGGGATCAAAATTCTGAGAAGACAGAAAGCAAGCCAGATAAACCGTTGACATTGTACGTGGTATTGTTTTGGTCCCATTGTTCCCGCTTATCCGTTGCCACCTTCGAAAGGCAGAGTTTCGAAGCAAGCAACCCTCTGGACTCTCTGCCAGAAATTAGTCACGATGTTCACCAACTGACCCTCGACGATCTTTTCGTGAAGGATGCGTTCTTGGTTTTCCGGGCGCTATGCAAGTTGACGATGAAACCTCTGAACACCGAAAGGTTCGCAGATTTCTCAGCCCATTCTTGTCAGACAAATTAATGGATCGTGTAGTGAGCGGGACCTTAAATCCCATTCTATGCGTTCCAAACTTCTGTCTCTGCAACTCGTCTTGACTGTCCTGAACTCGCATATGCCCCTATTCGTGGATCCAGCCGCGATTATATATTCCAGTACAACACACGAGGCGACAAGTTTTGTCCAGGCCATAAACCAGTATCTCTGTTTGTGTCTTAGTAGAAATGCCGTCAGCCCTGTTCCTCAAGTATTCGAAGTGAGCGTTGAAATTTTCTGGCGTGTTCTTGCTGGAATGCGAACGAGATTGAAGGTGCTTTCACAATCATTACAAGGACGTCTTGTTATTAATCATCCTCTTGTTTTAGAAAGAAATTGAGGTTCTTCTTCATGAAATTTTTATTCCAATCCTAGAAATGAGGACTTCAACACTGAAGCAAAAGGCTGTCATCCTTGGCATGATGTCGAGACTCTGTCAAGATCCGCAAGCCCTTGTGGAGTTGTATCTTAATTATGACTGTGATAGTGACGCGGCGGACAATATCTATGAGCAGTGAGTTCTATGGATATTGAGGGACCGCCGCAGACTTGATTTATTGTTCGTCTCTTAGCCTCATGAACATTATCTCCAAGTTCGGGACGGCATCGTCATCAGCCAGCCACCAGCGAGGACCGGAACCACCAAGCCCTGCCTTAAGTCCAACGCCGAAGAACCAACCGAATGCGCCAGTTGCTTGGAACGTTACTGGATTGTCGGTTCCGGGCACCATGGACACATCAACGATGGGCCTCTCCGAGAGTCAATTGCGTCGACAAGGACTTGAGTGCCTGGTGTCCGTTTTGAGATCTCTCGTGACCTGGGGAACTTCGGCGAATTCTGGTAAAGGTGCAGATGAAGCTGTCGTCCCTCCCCTTTCCGCTCGCTCGCAGATGGAAGACGCCAAACAGGACCCCACCACGCCAGAGACTAAACTCGAGCGCCTTTCTGTCAGCGGTGGGAGTGTGGAGACCTTCAGGCAGGCGACACCGGATATTGTCGACGATCCCACTCGGTTCGAGAACGCCAAACAGAAAAAGACCACATTGTTAGAGGGTATCAAGAAATTCAACTACAAGCCTAAACGCGTAAGTCAAACAGTGTTGTGCCCGACTACCAAGTGTTGAAGACTGCACCAGGGAATCCAATTCTTGATCGAGACAGGGTTCATTCCAAGCAACGCACCCCTCGACATTGCCGCTTTCCTTCAAAATACTGATGGGCTTAGCAAGGCCATGATTGGAGAATACCTGGGTGAAGGGTACATCTTTGGTTTTATTCCTTGTCGCGGAAAGCTGATGACAAGACAGTGATGATGAAAATGTTGCCATCATGCACGCGTTCGTGGATCAACTGGAATTCCGAGATTTGCCATTCGTTGATGCTCTGAGGCTGTTCCTCCAATCTTTCCGACTCCCAGGGGAGGCACAGAAGATTGATCGTTTTATGTTGAAATTCGCCGAACGCTACATGGCTGGAAATTCCAAGACGCCCTTCGCCAGTGCTGGTGTGTAATGTGTTCTTGTTTGTTGCGGTGTCCTCACACAACGGTTCTAGAGTGCGGCTACGTACTTGCTTATTCAGTAATTCTGCTAAACACAGACGCCCACAATCCACAAGTAAAGAAACGTATGACCAAGCCCGATTTCGTGAAGAACAATCGCGGTATCAACAACGGAGAAGATCTCCCAGAGGACTTGCTATCCACTATCTATGATGAGATCGTAAGCAATGAGATTCGGATGAAGGACGAGGTCGAAACTGGTATTGCAAACCTCTCAGCAGGGCCAGGGCTTGCCAGTGCACTAGCCAGTGTTGGAAGAGATCTGCAGAAAGAGGCTTATGTTATGCAGTCGAACGGCATGGCTAACAAGACAGAAGTATGTTTAGCCTTTCATTTCAAGCAGTTCGACTAATTGTCTCCGAGGCTCTTTTCAGGACAATGATGCGAACGCAACGGAAGGGTTCCAAAGGTGGAGACCAATTTTTCAGCGCATCGCACTTCGTCCATGTCCGGCCAATGTTCGAGGTGGCATGGATCCCGTTCCTGGCAGGCTTATCTGGCCCACTTCAAGAAACAGACGATTTGGAGGTGGTTGAACTCTGCTTGGAGGGCTTCAAGAATGCCATCCGCATAGTCTGCTTTTTTGACCTGGAGCTCCAGCGAAACGCATTCGTCACCACTTTGGCCAAGTTTACTTTCCTCAATAATTTGGGTGAAATGAAAATCAAGAACATGGAAGCTATTAAAGCCCTTCTGGATGTTGCTGTAACGGAAGGCAATAATCTCAAAGGTTCCTGGCACGAAGTCCTGACCTGTGTCAGCCAACTCGAGCATATGCAGCTTATCAGCGGCGGCGTGGACATGAACGACGCGGGAAAGAAGGGGTAGGTTTACTTCATCTTCGTTCCTTCCAGATCATTCACCCGCCTGCCTAGACGTTCAAGGAAAGTTCCCACCGAAGAATTGGCCAACGAAAGCCGATCAACTCACATTACTGTGGCCGCCGACATGGTTTTCTCTCTCAGTCATTTCCTATCTGGTGTAAGCCTCATTTAATTATTATTTTTTGATCGATCTGATGGGTGAGTTCTTTATCACAGACAGCGATTGTGGACTTTGTCCAAGCCCTGTGTGACGTGTCTTGGGAAGAAATTCAGTCTTCTGGCCTGTCACAGCACCCGCGATTATTCAGTCTGCAAAAGCTGGTTGACATATCCTATTACAACATGACCCGAATCCGTTTGGAATGGTCCAACTTGTGGGACATCCTTGGAGAGCACTTTAACCTGGTAAATACCCATGCATTGCATGTTCCTCCCCTCTGATCCCTCTACAGGTTTGCTGCCATAACAACCTGCATGTTGCAAGTTTTGCCTTAGATTCTCTCCGTCAACTCGCAATGCGTTTCCTAGAGAAAGAGGAATTACCTCACTTCAAATTTCAGAAGGACTTCTTGAAACCTTTCGAGTATACCATGATACATAATCAGAATCCAGAGCTCCGGGACCTGGTTTGTCCTTCCTTGCTGTTTACACTCACATTCTTGCTGATTCTTGAGCCCAGGTTTTACAATGTTTGCAACAAATGATTCAAGCTCGCGCACAGAATATGCGATCCGGTTGGCGGACAATGTTTGGTGTTTTCTCGGCTGCATCGAGAGTCTTAACAGGTTCGTGAATAACATAAAGATGATGACACCTTCTAACCAATCAGCAGAACGTATTGCCAATTCGGCTTTCGAGATCGTGACAAGGCTGAACAAAGACCACTTCTCAGCAATTGTTCAATATGGTGCCTTCGCAGACCTTACCGTTTGTATAACCGAATTCTGCAAGGTCAGCAAGTATCAAAAAATCAGCTTATTGGCAATTGCTATGCTCCGTGGAGTCATACCTGTCATGCTCCAATGCCCTGAATGCGCCCTGGCGGCAGAAAATCTCAGTCCAGAACACACTATGGATGATAGCATGATCAGATTTTGGTTCCCGGTTTTATTTGGATTTTATGATATAATCATGAATGGTGAAGATCTGGAAGTTCGGCGACTGTATGTCTCTTGCTTCATCGCTGTCACGTATCTCAAATGTTTTCCAGGGCTCTTGACTCCCTCTTTTCGACCCTCAAAACTTATGGCGCCACCTATCCTGTTGAATTCTGGGACACCGTCTGTCAAGAACTTCTTTTCCCCATATTTGCTGTCTTGAAATCAAGCCAAGATCTGACCCGTTTCAGCACTCAAGAAGATATGAGTGTTTGGCTCTCGACAACGATGATACAGGCCCTACGTGATTTGATTGATCTTTATACGTTCTACTTCGATATTTTAGAGCGCTTTCTGGATGGTCTCCTAGACTTGCTCTGCGTATGCATCTGTCAAGGTATGCGGCAACGTTCGCGCCAAGGATGACATACTCAACTCCAGCTAGAAAACGATACCCTGGCGCGCATTGGTACATCTTGTCTGCAGCAACTCCTTGAAAACAACGTCAACAAGCTGAGCCCCTCTCGATGGGAGAGGGTAACAACAACCTTCGTCCGATTATTCCGGACCACCACACCCTATCAGCTGTTCGATGAAAGCCTGCGAGTTGAAATCGACAGCTCGTCGGAGACGGCAGACACGAGCACAGGTATGCGTATGTTATGCTACCATGCCATCTCTCATGTTCATCTCTCTTGCAGAAGCCAATGGCACGGCTATCCTTCCTGCACCTTTGTCTCCCAACAGCGAACAACCCAAACCCGACGCAAGAACATCCCTCAATGATCGCCGTAGGATATTCAAGCAGATCATCGTCAAATGTGTGCTGCAGCTCCTGCTTATCGAAACCACCAACGATCTTCTTCGGAACGACGATATCTACAATACAATACCTCCATCGCAATTATTGCGCATGATGAGTGTCCTTGATCAAAGCTATCAATTTGCTCGATCTTTCAACGAGGATAAAGATCTCCGCACGGGGCTCTGGAAAGTAGGTAAGAAACGACGGTGCTACAAAACAACAGGGTTCCGGTCTTGACGACCCTTTCAGGGTTCATGAAGCACCTTCCCAACTTGTTGAAGCAGGAGTCAAGTAGCGCCGCCACTTTGGTCCATGTATTGCTACGCATGTACCACGACATGCGTCCTGAACATCAGGCAGCGCGTCCTCAGATCGCAGAGCGACTCGTCCCGTAAGCCGCTTGCACATTCTTTGTCTTGCAGTGCTTATCAAGATACCAATAGACTCGGTGTTGGAGTCCTGCGAGACTTCAACAAGCTGAAAGCTGATACTCAGAGCAAAAACATTCTTGCTTGGACTCCCGTCGTTGCTGAAATCCTAGAAGGCTATTGTCAGTTTGACCGACAAGACGTAAGTCGATATAACTGTCGATGATGATACCATTCTCACCAGCAGGTTCAGTTCGCACAATACCTGTCAGTCATCTATCCACTAGCCACGGATCTCCTTTCACGAGAGATCACGATGGAAATTCGGCAACCCCTCAAAACATACTTCGAGCGGGTTGGTTATGTCAAACGTATCGTGGACTTTGAACCTTGAGTCTTGAAGGACTTTTCACCTCTCGCTACGCTATTTATTGTATGAATGCCTGGGTGGTACTTATAGAAGACGGAAATATATTATATCGAAACCTGCTTAATAGCCAGTGTAGCCCTGATACGACTGCCCCCAGCCCGGCGCTTGACCATTTATTCCTGGGAATTTGTCACGACGTGTAAGAGAGGGGTAATCGACACCTACCTCCATTCGAGCCCAGGGGAGGGTTTTGAGGTTCAATAGCAAAGGTACCTGATTTCATTTGGGCAAAGACATTGGCAGGAGAGGTATTGCTAATGGGGTTGGATGGGAGAGGCAGTGGTGATGCCACCGGGTGCCCATTGCCGAACGGAGACTGGTTCATTGGGGGATTGAATCCCGTAGGCTCTATGTTGCCCGTCAGCTACATGCAGCCCTTCCCAGCAAAGTGGTGAAAGACCTACGGCTTTGTATCGAACCAAACGCACTATTAGCTCCCTGGAAAGACGGGACTGAACTGAAGTTGCCAAACACGCCTGTGGGCTGCGACATCAATGGCTGGGGATTAAACCCTGTTGGTTGCGATTGTAAGGACGGAGGTGTAAGATTATTTTGGAAAGGAGATGGATTAGTGGCGGGTTTGGCGGGAATGAACCCACTGAAACCTGTTTGCGTTGGTATCAGAGGCTGCAGTAGACCCTGATTGGCTGGTACAGGGGCAAAAGGTCCTCGTGGACCACTGTAAGGTTGAGGCGGTGGTGATAGTTGAGTTTGGGCAACAAAATTGCCCATAGGCACAGGTGAAGAACCAACCCCCATACCGACGTTGTAACCAGCAGGAATGGGAGGTATATTGACAGTTTGCAGAGGATTTAAAGGTTGAGACAGAGTTGAAGCCTTTCGCAATTCACTTAACCGAGCAAGCTGTTCAAATATGTCAGCTTCAGTAGTCTTGGCGAGATTAGGGGCCGTCGGTGTCTGTGCTACGGGGGCTGTTGGCGGGGTTGGCTGAGGAGCAGCGGCGGTAACTGTAGGAGTGGGTACCGGAACTGCAGGTGCAGGTGGTTGCGCTGGAGGGACAGATGGTGCTCGAGGTGTCGCGGCTGGGGACGCGGCCTTCACCGGCTTCGTAGAACTGGGCCGATTAGTCCAGGCATCATCATCGAAACCATTGGCCAGCGGAGCGGAATCAGGTCGAGGAGGTACCGGTACCGAGGGGCTTAGAGTAGTAGCTGGACTTTGAATTTGCGGCGAACCAGTACGTTGCATTTGGCCAGAAACTGAAGAAATGGCCTTGATATCAACGTTAGACGGAGGAGGGAGACTCTTGCTGGGTTGCGGACGACCACGTCTTGGCCTCAACACTCCACCTGGTCCTGCGAATAGATTCGGAGCTGGGCTTCTTGAAGAACCTCCAGATTGCTCCTGAGCTTGCAACTGTCTGGCCAATTCCTCATCACGGCGGAGCTGCTCCTGAATATGAGCACTGGGCTTGTGCAGGTTGTCTGTCGGTTTCCTCTTTTCTATTGCCTTCTTGACGCGAATTATGTCACCTTCTCGCAAGCCTAAAGACCTCATTGTTCCTTCAGTTATATCGCCCAGAATGGCTTCGTCGATCTTGTCTCTTTCGAAGGACGCCGCATACCGTGTGCAGTCATCCAGATCACAGCCAGCAGACAGGAAGAAATCGAACCAATCTATCTGTGAGGCCTTTTTCGGGGGCGACGGAACTTTGTGGGTATGAGGTTTGGCAAGAGCGAGAGGTATATCGTCGTCAGAAACACGAGGTGCATTAGAAGGACGCTTCTGTTTGTCGAGTAACTTCTCCACGTATCGCATGTCGTCAAGAGACATCTTTTCAGAAGGCACCTCGACAATGACTCCGTTGACCTTATGCAATCTAAGCTTCCCGCTGTTGAAGCCCAGGAACGCTGCTTCAACTCGGAACTGGCCAGAGCGATCGTGCCATATACGCGTCTGGTCGGGTGGAGGACCTGAAAAACAACTGGTGAGATGGTGAGGCAACGAAATCGCATTAACTCACGATTGAGCTCTGTGGACGCTTTTGAAGAACCGCTTGGGCTCGACTTCGTAGGTTCAGAGCGGGAGGGGGGTCGTCTGCTCTGTAAGGTTAGATAGGAGCTATTTTGTGAGGCAATTGGACATACACAGCCGGGGGTGGCGAGACTCGTGAAGCGGCAGCCTCTTTCCTCCTTTGGCGTTCTGCTTCTGCTGCAAGCGCAGCCTCCTTGGCCTTCCGCTGTGCTTCTGACTTGCGAGTGGCTGCCGCTTCTTTCTCCTGGCGCTCTTGTTCTTCGTGCTCCTTCTGGAGTCGCTCAGCTTCATGTTGTCGCTCAAGCTCTCGTGCTTTTCTGGCTTCTGCTTCATAGTCAACAACCTCAGCACGAGCTGCAGCACCCTTGGTGGTAGGAGTAACCTACCGGGTAATGAATCAGATATTTATCACACGCAGCCGGATGCGACTTACCTCGAGGTATGACGCGGGGACAACTCCTTCTGCACCTTTAGAGTTCCTACACTTCCACCATTCGTCACTATCCTTCTCTAATACAGTCAAGCGTTCGCCTTCAGTCACGGAAAGTTCATCCTCGCCGTCGGCGGTAAAATCATAAAGGGCAGTGGCTATTGGACCTGTTAAGGCGGCAGAACCAGCATAAGGCTCGTCAGCGGAGTCTGATTGTTCATCATCGTCTTCCACTTCATGGGAGGGAGGTATAATAACGGGAGAGGCTGGTGAGAAATGGACAGATGCCTTCTTCCCTTCACGAGGAGTTGCATCTGGTGGTGGTGGAACAACCCTTGCAGGACCTTCCTCAACTGAGGATGATGACAGAGTTTTTGATGTCTGCAATTTGGATATGATAGCGTCCGCGTTCTCCTTTGAGCCGGCGTGGAATTGAAGTGTTATAGGGGTGGAGCTGCCGATGTCGATACGAACATGCTTGGACTTCTCGGAGGAAACACTAGAAACATCCTTTGTTTGCCACTTCTGAACGGGAGTCTTCACAATTGGAAACGAATATAGAATTGGTCAAAACATATTAGTATGGCGGGAACCCTCACCTTGTCGGCTTCACTCGCGAAGAAAACAGCACCATTGCCAACGCCCAGGGTCCCCTTCTTCTTCTTTCCTTTCTTATCAATCTCGGAGACCGACCATGTCTGAATATCATCGGCAGTGACTTTAGAGGATGCTACCCGGTCGGCCGGGTCGACGTAAGTGCTGGTAGGGCGTGGAGGCTGCAAGGACGTCAGTCAAGAGGATATTGTCGGGATCAATGTATCTCACAGAATCTGGCACGATGATCCTTGTAGGTGGGGGTGCTTGTGGTGCTTCCTCGTCAACAACCTCGACATAGTTCCCTGGAACATAGCCCGCCTTTCCCGCTTCCTTATTCTGAACCAAAATCCAATCGTCTTCGGTATCGAATACGAGCAATATGTCATTTTCGTTCACGGAAAGTTCTCCCGGGGCAGCAGCGTCGTATTCGTATATAACTTTGACAACAGACGAATGTTGGGCCTTGGAAAGCGGTGTGAGCTGCACATCGCAAGGTATTAGAGGGACGGGGTGGACCAACCTGTTCCACATATGCTGCTGGAACTAGTCCCACAGGACTGTCTGCTTCTTGGGAGGTGGCCTTGATCTTGACCTTCCACCAGCTATGCAACAATAAGTACAGAATGAGGCCAGATGGTGACGGAAGAACCCACTCTTCGTCAACCTTCTCGACCAGGAGGAGAAGCTGGTCCTCCTTGATGGCAATCTCATCGTCTGACTGTGGGGTATAATCGTAGGAAGCCTTGAGAACGGCCAGATATCTGTCGGGTTCTTCAGCAACCATGGAGGATATTGTCACAGGAGATCAAGCTGGCCCATCACAGTGGGCAGAGCCGTTTATGGCTGTGTGATCAGATCAGCAATGGCACGCCGGCGCGAGTCGCGACACTGGTGATCCCATTATCTATAACCCTTGGGTAAGTAGGGGGGGCAATGCGTCGTACGGGGTCATACGCCATACACAGCACTGCATGACTGGTACCCCGTTGCCGAATGCAGGATTCGGAGGGTGATGGCCCAATAAATTCAGCAGGACAAGAGCAAAGCGATCACTGATCTGACTACTCTTTGCTGCTGACCACTATGAGCAAACTCAATCCTGGTGCCTTCTCATTCGTCCCAGGTCAGCGATTCATCCCACCGACACAACCGCCGCCGCCGCCTCTCGAGCGGCCAGAACAGACTGAGGCTCCGAAGCCGCCTCCCACCATATCTCTTAACATCGGAGGCTCTTCCAAACCCGCTCCTCCAGCTCCTCCTTCCCAACCACCAGCAACTCAATCGCATAAAGTCCCCCAGGATCCTCCTAAGCCTGCTTCTACTGTAAAGGTGGTCAAAGCGGACACGTCTGCTCCTTCAAAATCTTTTTCGACCGAGAAGGCGAAAACCGATACCAATTCGGTTGCCCAGGAAGTGAAGGCAGTCGCTGATCAAGCAATTCTTGCAGATCTCTACGGAAATAGTAAGTGCTGGAGTACATTTTCCTGATTCGCGTCGTTGATCTTGCTTCAATAGTCAAGGAGCATCTGAATATTGTATTTATCGGTCATGTCGATGCTGGCAAGAGTACTATGGGAGGCAACCTCTTGTTCATCACTGGCACGGTCGATAAGCGAACGATGGAGAAATATGAACGTGAAGCCAAGGAAGCCGGCCGAGAGACCTGGTATCTGAGCTGGGCGCTGGACTCTACACCGCAAGAAAGATCGAAGGGCAAGACCGTGGAAGTTGGACGCGCGTACTTTGAGACTGATCAGCGCCGCTATACAATCTTGGATGCTCCCGGTCATAAAACCTTTGTTCCATCCATGATATCAGGTGCTGCTCAAGCCGATATTGCCATCTTGGTCATCTCTGCCCGCAAGGGGGAGTTCGAGACTGGGTTCGAACGTGGTGGCCAAACGCGTGAACATATCATGCTTGTGAAGACGGCAGGTGTCTCCAAGGTCGTCATCGCCATCAATAAAATGGACGATCCAACCGTCAATTGGGACAAGGTTCGCTACGACGAGATCAAGGACAAGCTCACTCCCTTCGTCAAGGCCGCAGGTTTCAACCCTAAGACAGATGTCACTTTCCTTCCCGTTTCTGGTTATACCGGACTCAATCTCAAGGACCGGGTACCAAAGTCAGTGTGTCCATGGTATGAGTGAGTGATTCCGTCGCCTTGGCCTTCATCCTGGTCAATTGGTATGACAGCGGACCATCGTTCCTGGAACATCTTGATTATACGCCAATGGTGGACCGAAAAATCAACGCGCCTCTCATGATGCCCATATCAGAAAAATACAAAGACATGGGCACTATTATTGTTGGTAAAGTTGAATCTGGACACATGCGGAAGGGGGATAGCTTGGTCTTGATGCCCAACAAAGTTCCCGTGGAAGTCGCCGCCATCTACACCGAACTGGAAGAGGAAGTCGACCGCGGTTTATGTGGCGACAACGTCAGGATTCGAATTCGTGGAATCGACGATGAGGACATTAGCCCTGGGTTCGTGCTTACTAGCCCATCGAAACCCATTCACGCAGTGCGTCAATTCGAAGCCCAACTGGCGATTTTGGAACATAAGAACATTATTTGTGCCGGGTACACTGCCGTTATGCACGTTCATACTCTTGCGGAAGAAGTGACGCTTCCGGTCAGTGAATCACGCATCAAATTTCTTTCCCAAACTCATTTTCGTGTCATTCAGGCCCTTCTCCATTATTTCGACAAAGCAACTGGTCGCAAGTCGAAGAAGCCTCCTCAATTTGCTAAGAAAGGTGAACTCTATGTACTTCATTTCCGTCCACGATTAACAACAGAAAAATAGGCCAGAAAATCGTTGCCCTGATTGAGACGAGTCAACCTGTTTGCGTTGAGAAGTTCGCTGATTATCCGCAACTTGGCCGATTCACCCTGAGAGACGAAGGTAAATCCGACGATCTTTCGTAGGAGTTGCACACTTACTCTCCGTTAGGACGAACGGTCGCAATTGGCAAGGTATACCCTACTGATCGACCTTGATTGACCAAGCTGACAAAGGACTGCAGATCACGAAGCTCATTGAGACCAATACCATCGAAGAGGTCACCGAGGGCGTTTCCAATGTATCCGTCAACAACTAAAATGGCGTCTGATGTTAAGTGCTCTCTGAGTCCGGACCTGGGCTTTACAAGTATTCAGTCGTTGAGGAGGGGGGAGAATCAAGGGAGAATCCTTACCCTACACGCTTGGTCCTTACTCTGCATCCCTTCTCCTTTTCGCTGTCTTCACAATCGAATTCGACACTGTTCATGATGAAGCTTCGCGCGATAAGGATTGGGGGATTACCTAAGTATGTACAATTGTACACCTATTTCACGGGCGACCAAGCTCCCATATGAAATTAATCGTTGATTCGATCGACTGTCATCAACTGATAATAATAATAATATTATTACACCGCGTGGACCCTCTAAGGATCTGATAAGTAAGATATTAGAGGTTATTTGCACTTCGAATATTCCTAGAATCGCCCAAATCTCATTGGCTGAAGGAAGCCCCAAGCCAATCAGATTCACGGATTTGTGGAGCCCTCAGAACTGCAATTGAATAACCTCTATTGCAGTCTGCCTAGGTTGGACTCTTACGTGACCTCACGTAATCCAGTGATCATTCTTCGCCATTCCATCGTCTTACACTCTACCAATCGATGCCGCTTCCTATGATGCTTAAACATCCTTGAAACTCTTTCAAATGTCGGAAGCATCTTCAGAGCTTGCAGCTGCAATAGCGGACGGTGTAGCACTTCTTGAGACGTCGCCCTCGCATCATTCTTCCGCCAACAACATCGAAGCAGTACTCAAAAAACGCCTTGCTGCGTATTACACACGCCGAGGCAATCATGATGCTTTCAATAAAGTTGAAGACCTCATGAAACTTGGCGACATCGAGCTTTTGACTGCAAAAGAGGCCCTTTCCGTGCTTCAGAGGGTTCAGAAGCCACTCGATGCAGAAGGCAGTGATGACGCAGATTTGAACCAGCCTCCGCCCATCGGAACTCGTGATCTCGCAAAACTACGAACGCTGCTATCGCTGGTGTTCAAGTGGGGTATACAGCCGTTGTACGGTCGTGTCATTTTGTCGTGGCCAACAGCAGGGGGATCAAAAATAGTGGACCTGGGTTCTCATTCGGAAGATTACCAAGCGCTCTCCAATCTCACTACTTCTCTATTCACCCTCATCTTCCCTCAAGGAGTTGAAGGACGGATCTCTCAGACATTAATCACATCCACAATCCTGGCACGACATGTTGCGGACTTGCTCACTCCCGCTATCGTTCTTGGATGGCTTCCAGAAGTACACGCGTCAGGGTCAACCCCCGTTATCCACGAGCTGAGACCAATGGTTATGAGAATGATGAGGCTGTGAGCGTATGTCATTTGAAGATGACCCCAAATTCACGTCCAGCACAGACTCTCTCCTGCACAGACGATAGCATCCTTAGGCGTTATACTATCCTCGACTTCCCCTTCGCCCCCACTGCATGCTCGCAAAGCTTGCACTTCCCTTCTCACCAAACAACTTCTCCGGCCTGATGGCGTTCAAGGGCTCTGTGCGACCATATTCTCCGTACAAGAAACTACTGGAGATGAAGCGAGGCCAGAAAAGCTCATTCACGTTGCTCGAACGCTAAATTCTGTACCCGCCAGCATGAAACCCGAGGTAAGTCAAGACTAGCCGCCTCCTGGAAAGAGCACTGATTCAACCGCTCCAATTTTCCCTAGGAATACTATTGGGCTATATTTCCTCGTGTCATTGGATTGCTTACAAGCGGTGCCCCTACTCCCTACATTCGAGCAGCTGCCTTTACAGTCTATAGGGCTGTTGTCCCAGAGAAGGCAGGGCCACATTATACCATTGCATCATCGACAGTTCTTGCTCTCCTCCATGGTCCCTTCCTTCAATCTGTCGGGATACCCCTAAAAGAAGCGGACATGCCTTCTTTAAATCCAAAAAGAGCTCTAGCTTCGATGATGGTGCTACTCACGAACACAGAGCCGTCTCCTGTATTTGTATCTAGAATGCTGTCGCCTGTCGTTCCTGCTCTTTATCTCCTATTTTTCGATCTGCAGCAGTGCAAGACTGCAGATCCACAATTGAAAGAATCTGTCATGGGATTGTTGAAGTCCTGGGGTAAAATTACCGACCCAATTGAGGGCTCTCCAATTCTTTGGTCAATCATTGAGGGAGGAAAGGAGAATGAATGGAAATTCGATCTCGAGGGCAATTTTTGGAAGTCCTCTATGTGAGTCATACCTTATTTTCAGAGCCGCTCCATTGAAACACTATTGAAGGACAGAGAAACCGGCTTCTGCTCTTTCCATGCCTGGAGATCCTGGAACAGCAGAGGTTGTTCAACTCGCAGATATCGACCAAAATTTATTTGACCTTTACCCTGACCCGCTTCATTTCGTTGAATTTCTGAAAATGATTGAACGCGGCGATCTGGCCAGCCTGATCTTCGTCCGACTTCTCGAAAGCTACCGTGACATGAAAGGACGTGTCAATGAAGATCCTTCGAGGTGTGCCACTTCCTTTCTGATGGCGTACTTTATTGACGAGGTCGAAAGGGTGTTGCATAAGCTTCAAATCATTATCCAGATGCAGAAACATTTGTCTGAAGGAACTACGTCAAACATCCTTCGCAAGCCAGGCCACTTACTCACCTTCATTTCACATGTGCTTCAATCTTCCTGCGTATTGTTGACAGACACTGGGAATACTTCTTTTCTTGATGACGATCTTCTGGAGGGCGATAGCGATGATGAAGCACCCGACTCAGAAGTCATAGGTCCCGATGACGAGCTAATAGAAACCACAATCACTCTGTTGCTATCTATTCTCGAAGGTCAGTCAACAATTGTACTTCAGTTCATCTCTTGACATGTTCTATACAGCGGATGATACGCTGTCTGCCCGCACCCACCCGATCTTGAACGACATCTTTTCAACCCTGGAACCCTTGGCCCTCAAAGGCTCATCGGCCATAAGACCCTTAGCAAGAGTGGCAAGGCTCGTTATAACCGCGAGGCTCGCCAATACATCCACCTCCCCAGCCACTGGCGACCTTTCGGAAGAGGACGATCGGGAAATGTATCAAAGAGCGCTCAAGTTGCTGCAGGATCCCATCCTTCCTGTTCGCGCACATGGCCTCTTGTTACTACGGGAGATCTTGAGTTCGCCAAGGGGCAAGGGCAATCAAATCAGCAAGGCCTTAGCTCCTTCTATTCTGTCTATTTTCTTGGAGTGTGTCCAAGATGAAGACTCCTACATATTTTTAAATGCAGTGCGGGGTCTCGCTGTGCTTGTTGACAAGCATGGAAAAGACATCTTGCGACGACTAGTCCATGATTATACGAAAGGGCTTGGTGGACTAGGGTCCAACAATCTCACCCAGCAAGGCATTGACACTCGGACGCGAATTGGAGAGGCGTTGAGCTCAGTCATCAGGCACTGCGGAAGTGCTTTGGGGATATACGGTAGGTGTAATGTTCAATTGACTGCTCCGTGTATTCACGACATTGGCGTTTCTAGTGGATATGCTTGTTCCTCCTTTATTTACGGTTGTTCGAACATCCACCGCACCGACAGCTCTAAGGACATCCGCACTGTCACTCCTTGGAGATTGTGTGGACACATATGCCCTGGCGATGCTCCCTTATGTAGAGGACCTTTGTCAAGCACTGATCGATCTGCTTCAGGTCGAGGGCGTCTCTAGCCGATTTGCCCGCACGGTGGACGAGAAGGGATCAGACGAGACTCAACTGCCTTCAAGCATGGATTTAGACCCAACCTCCAAGAACCCGAAATTCCCGCCGTTGCGGCGCGCAGCTCTTCACTTCTTGTCTCTCCTCATTCGGTCAACGACGAAAAACGCCCATGACGAAGGCGATGCGGTTACAAGCCTCGTGTTTTCCCCTTCCACTCTTAAGAGGGTGAATAGCACCCTTGGTTACATCTCGTCTACAGATGAGGACAATATTGTAAGGGTGATGGCACGAGAAACAAAGGAAAATCTCGAACAACTCCAGCGAGCAGTGCTTGGAATCTGAGGGTGGAATAGGGAGGAAAAAGTCCTTGCGCTGTTAGATGGAGATGTCTACCCCGTATCTGTCCTAGACGCAGTTATCTTCAGCAGACTAAGTCAATGAGGAGTACTTGGATCTTGGTATGTGTCAAAAGTCAACTGGGCTCCAGGACAGAAGGGTTTCAGGATGAGGGCCCTTCCATCTGTAGAAAGTCCACGATACCGGGCACACAGTAAGCTGATCACGGAAAAGACTGGCGGCTTTTACGAGTTTGATGAAACGGTATTACCAACGACCCTGCTGATTTCATCCACACGAGATTTGAAACTCTTCCATTTTGGACTCCCAACCACAAGAAGAGGAAAATGCTCGTTGCTAGAGCCGTCGCCGGAACAGTCCAGCTTGAGGAAGGGGTTGGAAACGGAGGAATAGTAGGCCATATGAAGGGCTTTGAAAATCTTCAACCTTGAAAGTCAATTTGTTGCTCCAATTCAGGAAAACTGACAATGAACTTACAGTCGTGATGTCTGTGTCTTTGACCACCGAATCGGACAAGGGCAGCGCGATGATGATTTTCACTTTCAATGGCGTTATATAGCCATATACAGCGACCTCTTCCATAGCGAATAAGAGACCGAGGTAGCAATCACAAGATTTTCCCGCAGCTGCCACTGCCCGCGGGATATCAGTCTTGAGGAACTAGTAATGCCTTCAAAATAGAACGAACCGCGTTCGTCTACAACGTCGAGGCTCGTATGAGCGATGTAGTGGTACTTGATGGTGTTGTCATCTTGCTTGTTGAATGTCCTTATCAGTATGGGATGGTTCTGAGGAGAGACAAACGCGACGGCATTGAGCTTGAGATTGGGAGGCATCCTGCGATGCAGGTGGAGAGAGGGGTGATGTTTGGCCTTGTGTGCTCAGGGTGGATGCTTGTCGGGCCGCTTCCTGCTAAATCATCTTTTCATTCTCAATCCATGTCTCAACAATTCTCAACAAACTCAATCCATGTCTCAACAAACTGTACCAGACGGAGCTGCTGCTGCCGTCCTTCAACCTTCAGATCCCGTCCCTCTTAATGCTGTGTCCGTTAAGGGTCCAGACCTCGACAAACACCTCAGCCTGCAAGATTTTCTCAGCAGCTATGAACGAATTGGGTTTCAAGCAAATAGCCTGGGGAAGGCCATACACATCGTAAACCGAATGGTACGGAAGGTACCTTCGATTTCTCTACTCTCAATTAAACTGAATCCAGAGGAAATGGCGTCTCTCTGACGAGCCTGTCTCCACAAACGAGGCAGAGGAGTTCCTTGATCCTCGAGTTCGCGCCGATACGCGTTGCAGCATCTTTCTTGGCTACACTTCCAATCTAATATCATCTGGGCTACGAGAAGTCATCTTGCACCTTGCAAAGCATAGACACGTGGCGGCCATTGTCACGACAGCTGGAGGGATTGAAGAGGATTTTATCAAATGCCTGGGCAAGACATATCTGGCAGACTTCAATCTTGATGGAGCTGAACTACGGAAAAAGGGCATGAACCGAATCGGAAATTTGGTTGTCCCAAACGACAACTACTGCAAGTTCGAGGACTGGTTAACTCCTATCCTGGATACTATGCTGGCGGAACAGAAATCTTCTGGCCAAGTCTGGACGCCCAGCTCTTTCATTCGACGATTGGGCAAAGAAATAGATAATGAAGAGTCTGTCTACTACTGGGCATATAAAGTGAATTAATATTTTCATGCTCAACGTTTCATCGAACTTATCTCTTATATGCAGAACGATATCCCTGTATTCTGTCCGGCACTCACAGACGGGTCCATTGGAGACATGATATATTTTCATTCTTTCAGAAACCCTGGTCTTATCCTCGACATTGTCCAAGACATCCGGAGTCTCAATGAGATGTCAAGGAAGTCCCGCAAAGCCGGGATGATTGTTCTCGGAGGTGGTGTTTGCAAGCACCAAATCGCAAACGCAATGCTGATCGTGAGCTGTATCCCCGTGGATTTCCCCATCTTGTTCTCATACAATCTCCCAGAGGAATGGCGCCGATTACTCTGTCTTCATAGTAAGATGGAAATATATTGCAAGTGCATCTGTCTGAGACCTCTTTCGCAGAACACTGGCCAGGAATTTGACGGCTCTGATTCGGGCGCGAGGCCCGATGAAGCCGTATCATGGGGTAAAATACGCGCTGGTGCAGAAGCGGTCAAGGTACGCAGTACACGTTCTCGCTTTTCTTTCTTTCTTCAATTTATGCTTTGTTAGGTTTTCGCCGATGCCACCCTGGTGTTCCCCATGCTGGTAGCGGCTACCTTCGCCCAAGATGCCCAATCGCAATAACTTCCGGCTACTGCGAGATGTTTCAGCGAGATCCATAGTGTTAGTTATCATAAGCATGTAAGGCTGGGTCATTTATAATCATAAGTCTATATACATGAAGTCGACAGAAGTCCATCATAGGTCCTGATAGAATTTATCCAGAACCTGAGCCATGATGTCGACGGCCTTCTCCAAGGCATCGAACTCGGGGGAGTTTCAATACAATGAATTCACTGCCGAAGGGGGAGAACGCACCTCTGCATTACTGAAACTGATACGGAAATGCCCCATGGTGCCATCAGCCTTGTATGATGGGTTGGCAGAAAATATGCTGCCTATTAAAGGGATGTTAACACCCTTTCAAAGCTACCGTTCAAAATTGCATACCTGCTCCAATGAGGAGGCCACCCTCTGCCATCGCTATCCAGAGTTTCCTCTCGAGTGTCTCGAGGCCAAGCTCTTCTACCTTGGGATATCCTTCGAAATCAAAATGCAACTACCATTCCAATAAGCAATCCCAGTCGGGCAAGCCATAAAATGGAAATGATCTACCCAGACGAACATGCCGGAGGAAGGGGGCATGAAGGAAAACAATGGCTTCTTCACGAATTTCTCTCCGTGATGGGATAGTTTCGAGTAAGCGACGTACGTCTCGCTTCCAGTAAATTGATTACAGACAGGAGACTCAAATTCCAAATGGAACTTGCTAGCGAGACAATCGATGAAGAAGTCCCTTCGCAGCTTGTACTGTGAGCCCAAGCCTAACGATGCATGGGTCAACGAGCAAGTATACAGAATATTTTTCTACGTACCCTTTAGCCACCGCAAGTAACCGCTGTATTGCCAATCGATCAACAGGCTTGCAACAATTGACTGCATTTTGTAAGGCTTATATGTTTGGAAGGGATACGCTCGGACTTACTTGTCCAAATCCGCAGGGAGCCTGCGTCGAGGTCTCGGCTTGGCGCAACAATCTCTCAGCGAAGAGTGGATTGCAGGTATACCATCCCAAACGGCATCCAGGGGCGATGGTCTGTGTATACAAGTCAATGCACCTAGCATCGGTGTGCGAGGATCATTTACCGACCTTTGAGAAGGTATCAAGCCTTATTACACGCCCTTGATGATCGAATCTGGAAGCAAAGTTGAAGATTAAGTCAAGCTTAAGCTGTCTTGTCAAGGCAAACTAACCTCAAGAAGCTTGGGGCAAGGCTGTTAATATACTCTTCGTCACCAAGTTCCTTACCCGTGCCGTATGACGTCCGACGAGAAGGGGACACATAGAGACCTTCTTGCAGGAAGTAATACGGATCATCTTCGACGATGATGATGTCTAGAGGGTCCAAGAAAATTCAAATTTGATAGGAAGGAGGAAAGACGCATGTTTACCATACTCTACGCAGATGTCATAAATTTCTCTCTTCCTGGCGGATAGCATGGTCTCGAGGCCGCACATATCTCAGCACAAAGAGCGTCTCAAGCAGATGGTCGCGCTCACCGCTCCTGTTGGATTCTGTCCGACTGGGACAATATACATCACATGGGGTCTGTCGAAAATATCATTGAAATCCTTGCCTTCTGAAGCAGTGTTTGCTCTTACCTGGGCATTCCTCGAGCCTTCTCGTCCCACGAAGAGAGGACCTCACGAAGAGCGATGCTGCTCATACCTTGACCATCCATTGCCACCGGGACAGGATTTACCCCGTACGGCTTCATGCTTGCAATCGCTGACGGGTACGTCCATTCGTCAGTTAAAACCCCCTCCCCATCGTTACAGAGTGTGTTGACCGCTTTGAGCCAACCGTCTGTGTTTCCAGCATGAAGCATCGTCTTGAAGTTGGCATACGCCGGTTTATAGACTTTGGTGGTAAGTTCAGTGACGACCTTTAGTAAATGCGGTTGCCCTTCAGCCGTGCTGTACTGGAGATACATTGCAAGATTGATGTCGCTCGGGTGTTCAGGGTACTTAGGAATGACAATCGGGGTAGTTGCGACCTTGGAGGCAGAAAAGATACTCCAAAGCCAGGAAAAGGTCCCCTTCACCCGAGGGGGAGTTGTTGCCGGGAAAGCGTTAGGAACCAGACCATCTGCCTTGACAGCGTCGAAAGGAAAGTATTCTGGGCTAGGCAATCCTAGAGAGTTATCAATAAATAAAATATAGTCTGCAGCAGGTTAACGAGAGATTCGAACCCCCAGCAAGACTAATGATACCAGGCCGTCCCCAGTATTTCTGCAGCTCTTTCAGTGGAGAGGCAACCCTGTTTCGCGATAAAGTCGAGAGATGGTGGGAAAGGTCGATTGCGTCCCCAAAAGCCATGAATTTTTCAGAGCTCATACTGCAGTTCGTTCAAGAAGGGCAAGACAGATAATAGATAGCAGACAGCCTGTTGAGCCCCGAGGTGCATCAAGCATTACTCAGACGTTGGTCCCAGAACAGCTGCTGGGAATTTGGCAACGATAACCGGCACGCCGGCTGACAGATACCGGACTAAGCCCAGAGATATCAAGAATAGGCCATGATGAGTTCCTGCATACCACAAGGGAAGGGAGGGAGAGGGTTGTTGTTCTTGAGAGAGCGGAGAGCGAGAATGAAATAGACTTCCGAGTCCAAGTGTCGTCATTCATCCTAATAAGCGCTTGTGAACGCAATCTAGACATTCTTCATTTCGAACATCAATGGCGCAATCGTCGCTTGGAACTAACAGTGGACGCAGATGCTCACAGGCGTCTCCACCCACTATCTACATAGCTAAAAGGCTGGAAAGCGCCGTCGGACGATGTCAAGAGAATAGAAAATGTCGAGGTCAAAGGTTCAATGCGTAGCGATGGTGTACAAAAGAGGAAAGCGCTTGAAGCTATCTAATCTGTCCTCCGGTGTGCAACAGTGGCCAGGGGTTCCGTGCCACTGTAGCAGAGCGCGCGCGGCAGGAAAAAATAACCTTCAAGCCGATGGGTCGAACGTCCCCTGCCACACGTGCAGCCATGCTTCGGTTGCTCGTTACGTCGCTTGTTGTTAGGATGTGGAACAACGTCGTAAGAGGCAGATCTAGAGTAGCCCATCTATAAATATACGCCAGGAAGTCAAGAGACCATTGCGAAGCTTAGAGAGAAAAATAACCATACCCCAAAGGAGGCTGCTTTTCATCCTAACAAGAAGCGCGATGGACGCGAGCGTCCGAAGGTCGCCTAGACGCTGGAAGGTGCGTAGAGTCCGATCTGGAGAAGGATCAGGCCCTGAAGATGAAATGAAAGAGAGTAACGTACAGAGGAAGACTCCCGTCTTGTAAGGGAGGGTGAGGTATGGGTCCTGGAAAAGGATGAACTGACCCTTAGCGCCTTATATGTGTTATCTCACCCAGCAATCGATGCCTTGTCGCCCGGTGGGGTTATTTGGATTTCTACATCGGTCAATCGATAATGCAATACCCTGTAGTCCACATTGTAGCCAGTATCCAGGTTCTCGCGCAATTGCATCGATATGCTTGATTTTGTCGATAAGACTGTCACGAACCCCCATCTCATCAGGTGGATCTTGAAAAGAATTGATATGTCGAGGGGTGTCTGCATTTAGGTTTCGTTGCGCTCATTGGTTCAAGAAAGCTTCATCGCGGAGACAGCCACGGTCAGGAAAGATGAATGCGTTTTGAGTATGTCAGTTACGTAACTGATCTCTAGGGCAGGACATTGATGTGAGCCTATTCCCGTCAAGGGTCGTGACCCTTGTCATCGACATCACTCCGTCAGATTTCTCTTTTTACCAAACTCACATTTCGTTCTCCCAAGTCGGAGGAGGTAGAGTTGTCAGAGGATAGTTGACAGCGGGTAGTGGGAGAAGAGAGGTGCATCGTCTTCCCCATTCATATGTTTCCATCCTCTAACACGCCCAGAGATAAGTTCAGGACAAGTTAAATATGGCATACCAATTTTCGAGGAAGGGCTGTTTCAAGTGCGGGAATCGTGCGTTGGCTGTACTCTCCTTTCTCGCCTCAGAATAACACCCGTTCAGTCGGGCATATTGCTGAGAACTGCTCCTCTGAGCAGCGTCTTTGCTACAACTGTCGCCAACCGGGTCATGAATCCTCCGCTTGTCCATCTCCGAGGACCGTCGCTGCGAAACAGTGCTACTCCTGCGGCGGAGTTGGACACATTCAAGGTGAGGCTGCGCTCCCCGTTGAGCCTGTTCGCCACTGATAGCGCTTTAGCGGAATGCCCAAGTCTTCGCATTCAACAGCAGGCTGGTAACCAGAAGTGCTACGTATGCCTTACGCATCTTCGAAGGACCCCATTTTGACCTCCAGATATTCAGAATTGCGGGCGTTTTGGCCATTTCGCTAGAAACTGCCAAAATGGTGTTGGAGGAGGCTTCGCTCCTCGTGCTCCCGCCATGGGACGCGCGCTGAATACCTCAACTTTGCCCCCTGTTAAGTGTTATCGCTGCGGTGGTCCTAACCATTTGGCAAGGTAAGAGTCTCTTCTGACCTTCGCTGTACCGCTGACGCACTTTGGAAAGGGATTGTCTTGCCGCTCCAGGGACCACTGCGCATGATAACGCACCAACCGGGCCAGCTGCCAACATCAATAAGAACAAGACCTGCTACAAGTGCCAGCAGGAGGGACATGTAAGTGATCAGTTTACCGCTCAAGAACTGGTCGTAACGACTTTCCTAGATTGCCCGCGACTGCCCAGAGGTGACTGAATTTGTTGGATAAATGCCAACTGTCTGATCGAGTTGTTACTATGTGCTGTATACGCGTTTGACCATTTGAATGATGCCCGTGTTTCGTCGCGTGAATACATGTCTCTTGAATTGTTGAGAACAGCCGGTTTCGTCGAGCGATGCAAAAGTGCAGTAAGTAAAGAACGGCCAAGTTGACTGTCCGGAGACTGTCGGCTAAATTTGCCCATCGTGATGTCATGTTGCTTTCTTACTACAGGCTACGACCGCTGTCGTACTCTGCGGGCTCTGCCCTTCGGCGACGGACCTTATTTTCCCTACCATCTCTGCCCCCTCTCTCTCCGTTCGACTCGAGGCCTCAAACATACCATGAGCAGCGCCTTTTCCCGTACGGATCCTCACAGCACTTCCACCGTCTCCAACGGCTGACCCTGCTCAAGTTATAAGGAGAAGGAACTCTATGCCGTCGTGGCGGACGTTGCATCCTACCCGAAATTCATCCCGTTCTGCACAGGCTCCAGGACTGATCGGTCTGCCCTGGAGCAGGCGATGCGCGAGAAGACTGTTGTGGACGCGGAGCTGACCGTCGGCTTCCTGAACTTTACGGAAAGCTATACGAGCGTTGTCACGTCCATCCCGTTCAAATCGGTCCAGGTGCGTTCACTGATGAGTCCGTTTGCGTTGATCAAGCAACTAACTATCTTGCGCTCTATGTGTCAGGCTGTAGCGGCGTCCTCTACACCTCTGTTCAAGACACTGTCGACGACGTGGAGCTTCCAGTCACATAGACCGGCCGGCTCAGCTAGTGCTCTCATTAGCTCTACGCTTGTGTCCTTCGACCTGACATATGAGTTCGCCAACCCCCTCCATGCCGGCGTTTCCAGCGCGTTCTTTGGGCGAGTGTCGAAGATGATGATCCAGGCTTTTGAAGACAGGTGTAAAGCTCTCTACGGTCCCAGCAGCTGACCCCTTTTCAATCAGGGTGGAGTAGAAACTAGACCATAGACATAGAACCTAGACAATACGCTCGGAGGAATAAAGACGAGAAATAAGTTACTACCCTTCCCTTCTCTGTCAAGAGAAACCCAGAATTTGCCACTTTCACCTCCCTGGATATAATCCCTCGAGTACAATCACACAACTACAAGTTACATCACCTTGAAACCAGTTATCACAGCTTAGCTGACGCAGAAGCTTGCTTAACGAAGAAACCCAGACGAGGGAAGTGGCACCGAATGAGTCCCTTGTTGCCTTGAACTTCCAAAACCAACTCTTCCCGGTTGAGGGCCACCAGTTTCCCGACGGTGGGATAGTTTCGACCTATGTACAATTCCTTGAGACTCGACGAGCAGTACTGGATTATGATCAACTTACCAGTGTCTTCTGGAGCAACTTGGACGGTATCTCCGAGCTTGACGCCGAGGCGAGAGGCCTCCAACGCGTCGAAACCAACGATTTCGTAGGATTCGTGACTGCCTGCGACGATCTTGCTCGCTGCGTCAGCTCCGTGGAGCTTGGTGGGGGCCTTCTGGGAAGCTCGCTGTTTCTTGAGGAAATCGTTCACGCGGTCGAGCCACTGTAATCAGGATCGGGATCAATAAATTATTCGTGTAATAGTACGTCCTTACCTTTACGGTATGAGAATTTTTGTTCGAATCGAAGAGGACCTCTGTTCCCTTGAACGACCTTGCCCAAGCGAACACGAAGTGGATGGAAATATCGGCCAAGCTTGGCGACTCTGTATCGAATAGCCAGTCGCGGGAGTCGCTCAGTTGTTCCTCGATGAGGAGCTGAAGAGGAAGTGAACAAACAGTTCTTGACACAACGACTGACACTCACCATATTACTCGAAAGAAAGGTTTCGGAGAGTGGACGGGCAGCAGCTATGGCTTTTGGGTTGAGAGGAGAGCCACGCAACTATTGGACTGGCATAAGAATTCTTTTAGAACAAGAAAGGAAGCGAGAAACTTACTGCACTTCTATCCTTCAGGAAAGGTTCAGGAATTTTATCCCACGGAAGTAGGCTCGATGCAGGTGCAAAAAGCACGCTGTCTGCGTAGAACTTTGAGATGGCCTTCACTAAACCGGTGTCTGTACTTCCCCCATTCTTCCTCGCAGGGAATAGCGAGTGGTAGCCTTTTGAGGTAGGGAAGCGCCGTTCGAGAACCGAAGTGATGAGGCTGCAGGAAAGCGTCCAGTTTCATGGAAGTAGGCAGTAAGGAGGTCCTGTTGCACACCTGGTATCGCAATACACGTCATTTCCGATGGCGAGAATGGGTATGCGGCGGTAGGTTATGCCCAATGCATCGGTAATCTCTGGTCGGGGAAGCATAGGCGATACCTTACAGAGAGGTCAAACAATATTTAATGGTAGTGATAATTCCACGTACATTGACTTTCTCGTGAGGGATTCCTTTCACGGTGAGGGCGTTGTCGATTTTGTGGGAGAAGGGGGAAGCATCGTAACTGTGCTCCCTCACTTCAGCACGACTGGAGAAGCTAATTAGTTGTCATGAACTTACCGGTACAAGATAACAGGCGGAGTAGACATCTTTTTCTGGTCGAGAGCAAGTAGATGAGATTTATGTGGGGGTTGGGGAGTCCGGCGACGGTAACTGCTATAGCCTTGATCCCGACCATGTGCTACTAGTACTTGCCGAACTCAACGCAGATCTCATATTGCGGTGACGTCGACGGGGCCAATAAAAATGTTTTGTGCACCCACCTTGCACCCACCTTGAAAGCCGCAAAAAGGTTCGAGTGACAAGTAGTTTGGGAAAGTGCAGAACAATAATTCTGCTCAGCGCTCCCCTTCGATCTGAGAGTACGAGGTCTGGGTGGTTGCTCAGGACCTGAATCTGGGGGCAGGGACGGTGGGGCGCCAATACAAATGCCAAGGGCGAACGAAGCTTGGCCGGCGGCTGCAGAATTAGGGCCCTTTAGTTTAGTTTAGTTTAGGAGGGAAGTCACAGCGAATGGAGCGAGGAGGCGCACTATATTCCTGTAGGCTATTATTTCGTTGTCGCTATTGCTACGGTGCTGCGGCGGTGGGCCTCCGAGTCGCAGGAAAGGCGCGACCTCACGTGATGTCATCATCGCCTGCACCCTACTTCGTTTCCAGCGATCATAAATTGCTCCAAACCTCTGTTGGCCGTCACACCCACCTCTGTCCAGCACACCGTCATCATGGACGACAACAAACCGTCCCTCCCTTCCCAGAACACAAGGAACGAGCCTTATGGCGACCCCTTCGCTGACCGCACTCGTCAGACCCACTTTGACGACCCGGAGCCACTCTCACAACCAGTTCCATCCATGCCTCGCCCCTACGACAGTCACATAGATCTGGGAGCTGGAGGAGGCCACGACGCGTATGAAGACGAAGACTACATCGAGAAGCAACCTTTGAACGTCGGCCAAAACTTCACTGGTGGTTTTTATCCTCCTCCGTAGGTCGATGTATCCTCATGGCCGGCCCTATGTTTGATCTCTTTCAGACCGCTGGACCCATCCGCCTATGGTGATCCATACGCATCCGGAAGGCCCGAGTCCGTGCTCTCAACATCCACCAACGGCATTGAAAGCGCGTGGAGAAGGAGACAAACCATTAAGCGCGGTGTGACTCGCAAGGTCAAGCTCACCAACGGAAACTTCATTGCGGAATACGCAGTCCCCACTCCCGTCTTCTCTGCTATCGAGCAACGATACACGACCACTAACACGACTGAATTCTCGTAAGTCCCGTCTTTGTCCGTTACCCTATTTAGGAGTGAAGTCATAACACCGCGCGACTCCGCAGGCATATGCGGTATACTGCCGCCACATGCGACCCCGACGAATTCACGGAGGCCAATGGGTGGTCATTACGCCAGAAGTTATACAACCGCGACACGGAAATTCTTATTGCTGTCACGTCGTATAATGAAGACAAGACCCTTTATGCGCGCACGCTTCATGGCGTTATGCTTAACATTCGTGATATCTGCCGTACGAAGCAGTCCAAATATTGGCGACGCCACGCGGAAGAAGGCAGTGAAGGCTGGAAGAAGATCACAGTCGCCCTTATTGTCGATGGACTAGAACCAATGGACAAGAGTGTACTTGACATTTTGGCCACCACTGGTGTATACCAAGACGGTGTGATGAAGAAGCAAGTCGATGGAAAGGACACCGTGGGGCATATCTTTGAGGTACATTTTGTTCAGTTGATCGACGGAGAAGCATCTCAATTTTACCATTTCAGTACACCACTCAACTCTCAGTGGACGCCACACCTCAACTCGTTCTTCCACAAGCCAATGACCCCAACAATCTGGTGCCAGTCCAAATTATTTTGGTTTTGAAGGCAAAGAACCAAAAGAAGATCAACTCCCATCGATGGCTCTTCAACGCGATTGGGAAAATACTCAACGTGAGTGAATCACAAGTATCTGTGGTCGGCCTTGGCTGACAATCCGTACAGCCTGAGATCTGTCTCCTCATCGATGCTGGTACCAAACCCGGTCACAAATCCATCTACCATCTCTGGGAGGCTTTCTACAATGACCCCAACCTTGGCGGATGCTGCGGCAAGCATTCATCATTCCTCCATCTCCACTAAGGACTGACAGTTATATCCAGGTGAAATCCATGCCATGATCAAGGGGGGCAAGAAACTCCTGAACCCTCTTATTGCTGCTCAGAACTTCGAGTACAAGATGTCGAACATTCTCGGTAAGTTTAATTGTGATGTGTCCTTCATGTCACTGATCTAGTTTACTTTAGACAAGCCTCTCGAAAGTAGCTTTGGCTACGTGTCCGTTCTTCCTGGTGCATTCTCAGCTTATCGATTCCGCGCTATCTCGGGTCGGCCGCTGGAACAGTACTTCCATGGTGATCATTCATTGGCCGACCGTCTCGGCCAGAAGGGCATTTATGGCATGAACATTTTCACGAAGAACATGTTTTTGGGTACGTGCATCCAAATTATGGTACCGCCCAACACTAATTTTTTCACCGCAGCGGAGGACCGCATCTTGTGTTTCGAACTTGTTGCGAAGGCCAATGATCGCTGGACTTTGACCTATGTTAAACCCAGTAAGGCCGAAACAGATGTGCCGGAGACAGCGGTCGAACTCATCGGCCAACGCCGCCGCTGGTTGAACGGCTCATTCGCCGCCTCTGTTGTGCGTATAATTTCGACCATACCTTTACGTCTTGATCTCACCGTTTGCTGTAGTACTCGCTTGTACACTTCTTCGCTTTCTACCGGTCTGGCCATGGTGTTATCCGCATGTTCTTCCTTCACATCCAGGCTCTGGTTAGTTTTGTTCCTTTTATGGAATGTAGGGCGAGTCCTCACCGTTTATAGTATAACTTCTTCCAACTTGTATTCTCCTGGTTTGCCCTCGCCAACATATGGCTCACATTCAGCATCATCATCGACCTCCTTCCCGACAAAGGCATCTATCTCTTCGGCACGGCTACTGTCGTACGCACATCCCGTCCCTTTCTTTTCTGATCTATCTGCTCACAGTGCTCCGGTTGCTATTGCTAGACTCACTGGGTCAACTTGTCTTTCAGATGGATCTATCTCTCCTTCCTTGCCCTGCAGTTCATTCTTGCATTGGGTAATCGACCGAAGGGAGAGAGAATACCATACGCTGCGACGTTCTGGTCCGTTATCTCCCGCTCTCTCTTATGCAACGATTCTGATAAATTGTCAGGGTCTATGCCTTCCTTGCGGTTTATCTTCTGGTGTGCTCTATCTGGCTCACGGTCAAGTCATTCGCAGTATGTTTTGTATTTTTTTGCGGTTGTATCACCGTTGATTGTCGGCATTGTAGGACATTCCGAACCAACTGCAAGGAAAGTCGTCAGGTGAAGTCATTGCATCCTTCTTCGAGCCTCCTATTGGTGCTTTGATTGCTGCTATGATATCAACGTTTGGTGAGCTCTTCCTTGTTACTGAAGTCAGCTCAATGTTAACATTTCTTTCAATTTTGCAGGCATCTATTTCACGGCGTCGTTCTTATACGTAAGTGCCATGCTTGACCTTTGTCCCTCTTTCCGACTCGTGTATCGTTGCAGCGCGACCCATGGCACATGTTCTCGAGCTTCCTCCAATATCTGTGCATCGCACCCAGCTTCACCAACATCCTCAACGTTTACGCCTTCTGTAATCTTCACGACGTGTCGTGGGGAACGAAAGGGAGCGATAAAGTAGAAGCCCTTCCATCCGTATCTTCTTCGAAAGGAAAAGATGCGGAAGCAGCCGTCGTCGAGGACAAGACGGCGGTCCAGGCAGACGTCGACGCTGCCTTCAAGGAGACCGTCTCGCGGGCTCTTACCCGGATTGACAAGAAGGAGGTGCCGGAAAAGCCGAATATGGACGACCAGAACAAGACCTTCCGTACGCGGCTGGTCGCTGTCTGGATGCTCACGAACGCCACGCTGGCGATTGCGATTGAGAACGTTAACGGTGTGCCAAATCCCGATCTAGCTGTAGACCAACAAGATCTGCGGAAAAAGCAGAGCACGTACTTCGCAATCATCCTCTACTCGACCTTCGGCATCTCGTTGGTTCGGTTCATTGGAGTGCGCCCTTCCCTCTCCTACTCACCTTACTTCTTTGCGCTGATAGTATTCCTCGACAGTGCCTTTACTACTTCTTCAGGAGGAATCTCTTCAGGTGGTTCCGCAAAAACTAGTCAAGATCTTCACGACGCGATGCATACATATATCCACCAGTATTGGACTGGACATTTTTTTGGCATTCTTGGACTTTGCTACTGTTACGAGGATATGCTTGTTTACCTTCCCATACCAGTCCCCGAACGATTGGACTGGGCTTTTCTGGCCAGGTAGCTAGGAATGATGCTTTCACGATTAAATAATGCAGTAATATCTTCCTTGACGGTAATTCTTACAACGCTGAGGCATGGTCCTCCATGTTACGAGTACATCCCTGCGTATTCCCGACGGTCGTCGTTGTCGTCGTCGTTCCTCGACCGGTTGGATAGTCCAATCGGTCCAAGTTGAATGGTGGTGAACTCGAAGCCATTGATGTTCAGGGTACCAGCGCGCCGCTCGTTAGGCTCGGGTGCGGGTCTTGCCTGGCTTCGAGGTTCGCTCTCCTCGCTGGAAGCCAGCTCTTCCTCCTGAGAAGGATGTTCTCGTTTCTCAATGAGAAGTCGTCGACAGAGAGGGCACGAGTCGTGCTGCGTAGGCGAACAGTCAGCAATACGTCAGAGTCTACAGCATGAAGACTCACCCCACCAATGATCCACTTTGAGATGCTTAACGCACATACAATCAGCATCAGTCTGGAGGGAGGGAAGCCGCTCACTCTCGTTTGCAGAACATATGGTTGCACTGCCATGGCTGAGAGAGCTTGGTAACTCCAAGTTCCTCGATCGGACGGGCGGGGGAGTCCATAGCCAGGGCGAGCTCTTCCTCTGCGATTATGGCGAGGTAAGGGGTGAAGCAGATGGGACAGGTAGAGTCTAAAGAACCGGTAGGTCAACGGATTGAACAGTGAGAGCGGGTTTGAGGGTTTGAAGAATGCACCTTTCTCTCCTAGTTCGACGAGCCTTTCCTCGTCGATCTGGGGCAGTTTGTCCAGAAGGGACTGTATTTGCCTGGAAGACATTAGCTTGTCATACAAAGAAAGGATACAGCATACCCCGAGGACAATTGGCCTGCTAGTATATGCTGTTGTTCACCAAGCATTTCAAGAACGAGAGGTTCTAACTCATTGATCATGTTCCTGATATGTTCAGGATCAGGATGCTCGCGCTCGGGATGTTGATGGCCATCGTCCATGGTGGAAGTGAGAGGACAAGGATAGATAACGCGTCCAAGATATGGCATACGCGTTCGTATAGTCGTGGGAAACTATCCCCGTGATCGTTATTTCAAGATACATACAGAGTCCAGACTCAGAGATTTACAGCAGAACAAAGAAAGCAAGGGAACGAAGGTGGTGGTGTCGGATGGGAGCCTATCTCATCGAGAGATGCAGGCGAGGATGGCCAGCCAGGGGGTATGGGTATCGTAGATTAGAATGGATTCTCGTCGTCGACCTCCATCTTGTTCGAGTCGGACGATGGAGGCTTCTTCTCCGCTGAGTCATCGTCGTCACTTGATTGTGAATCCTCGGTCTGCTTCTGCGTGGCGAACAGCTGGACAGGTTTGGCTGTCCTGTGACAAGGTGTGAGCGGCATGATCTAGCAGGAGAGCAAACGAACGACGCACTTGTTAAAGTGCTTCTTCTTTGCCGCGTTCAGCTTTTGTGTCACCGGTGTCATCATGTTATCCGTCGGTGAGATGTATGTGGGATTGCTGAAGCGATATGAGTAAAAAGAAAGAGGACATAAGGGTCGATTGTGACTGACTTGCCCTTGGCGAGCTTCTTCGCTAGGAGGGCTTTGGCGCCCATGCCCGGAGCCTGGTTTGCTACATTGCCGAGGGGTGCTTGGGGAACGACGACCTGAGCAGCCTGTGCTGGGTTGTGAAGGGGTTGGATGGAGGTGGAGATGGGGGAATCGGTGGGAGTGGAAGTGGCGGACATGGTTGGAGTGAAGAAAGGGTAATTACCATAATAAAGGAGATGAACCGCGTTCAGAATCATCACGTGACGGCGATTCTTGGAGACGTGTAGACGTACAAGGCGCAGGCGATTACTCTCGGGATTTAATATTTCTTTGTGATTTCGTGGTGATTATGGTCACCAGGTCAACTCGCCCCTTTCGCGTGCTGGTTGCTCATATGAACTCCCGGCAACGTGGGTTCTGCTGCCGCTCATAGAGAGGCCTCCTCAATCGGGCAGTCTCGCCAAGTTCGTCATATAAGAACGCCGGTCCATCCCTCGCCATAAATACAACCGCCCCCTCCTCCTCCCCACTACCCCGGCCCCGACCATGCCAGCTGCAGACAGCCTCAAGAAGAGGAAGATCGTCGTCCTCGGCTCGCGCTCCGTCGGTGAGCGATTCCACCCCGCCTGACGTCACAGACGTCCGTTCATGCATCCTCATCACCCCAGGAAAGTCCTCCCTCGTCCGCCAGTTCATCGAGAACCACTTCGACGAGTCTTACCACCCGACCATCGAGAGCACCCTCCACAAGACCCTCAAGTACCACGGCGTCGAGTTTGATTGCGAAATCATCGACACGGCCGGACAGGTGCGCGGTCTTCCCCGACGAGCGCTAGTATGCCCCCTAATCAAGATGCGCAGGACGAATACTCCATCCTCGGCTCAAAGCACACCATTGGTATCCATGGCTATGTCCTCGTCTACTCTGTCACCTCCCGAAATTCTTTCAACATGATCCAAATCATCCACGACAAGATCCTCGACTTTTGCGGGACAGAGGATATTCCTTGCGTTATTGTCGGCTCCAAGACAGACCTCCAATCCAGGTTCGTTCGTTAATTATACGCCAGGCGTTTCTCAGTCGCTTGACGTCGGCAATCCCTCTTCATTTTCTCAGCCGCCAGATCCAGCCGTTAGAAGGTGAAAAGCTCGCACAGAAAAACAACGCAGCGTGGGTCGAAACAAGCGCCAAAAATAATATCAATGTTTGTGAGTACCCCATCCCCTCTTCTAAATTTATCAGCAAATCGTAATGCTCGAAATGCCCTTCAGCACATGTCTTCGACCTTTGCCTCGCCGAGATAGAGAAACGCTCGAACCGAAATTTCAAAGTAGACACTCCTGCCCCCGCTACTAAAAGTGGATGTTTTATTATGTAGCACTAGACGGCTTCTTCCTTCTCTTTTTTTCTCTGGGTTGGCAGTCGCGTTGCTTTGTTGTACCGCCTCGTAGATGTCCTGGTTCTCTGCTTTAATATCTCTTCGGCTATCGGTTTTTGTATAATCCCTATTGCCATAGCGCTCGAAAAGTACGATGGGTGTCGGATATGATGGATAATGATAATACATATTACCCGCTGGGCTCTCCCTAAGCAGTGCCATCACCTAGGAAGCGCACTTTGACGTCTCTGCCCTTGAGGCCGACAGCCTGCACGGTTTGAGCATCTCCAGGTACAAGATCAATTGCCTGGTCGCTCCACTTGACTTCATCTCCCTCGACGTCGAGCACGATGCCCTTGATGGGCTTCTTGGTAGAAAGAGTGACGCTTTCACCATCGGCGCCGACCTCAACCTTAAGACCGAGATTCTCGATGGGAGGGTAATGAATGAATTTGAACGGTTCAGGCCTGGCAAATGAAGTCAGCAAATATTCCTTCCTCCAGTCCATCATATGCTTACCAGTTGGAGTAGCGTGCCAGTACACTTTCGTTATCGAGCAACCTAGCAGAAACGACGATCGTCTTTGGCACCTCGCTCAACTTAGTCCTGTCCGGCTGCCCAGCGAGCTTCCCACTATGCAGCTCGGTGCTAGCATTGGCCGCTAGTGTAACCTCTTTCTCCCATTTATCAATCCAGTCCGAATCGAGATCGAACGACGTCACTTCCAGGGTGACCGTCTTGTCCGAGAGGGTGCTGTTCGTACCCCAGATTTCCAAGACAGTCGTGATCGTAAAATTGGCTGCAGAGCGGTCGTCTGCGAACGTCTTCTTCTCCTTGCGAGTCATCCCAACCGTGAAAGGACGAAGCTCGCGTGCGATGGTAAAGAAGGCGGGCTTAGGACGTAAGAAGTAGTCGACAATGGCCCAGGAAGTAACTGGCCAACAGTCATTGATCTGATTCCGATTGAGTGAGCAGACCGCCTCTTCTTGAGGTGGGGTAATGTTTACCTGCCAGACGAGGGCACCCGCGGTGTATTCTTTCCCTCTTCCACCCCAGTTACGTCTCCAGAGGCGATAGGCAGATGCTAACGTCTCAGCTTGCATAACCTGGGTGTAGTACACATAGCTAAAGGCGTAGAGTTGATCAGGCCCTGAAACTCTGCTGGGTCCCATCTATTCAAGCAACGCACCTCTCGATTTCGAAGGAGTGCTTGAAGTTCTCCACCAAGTACAACTACCGAGTGAAAATTCATGAGCATCCATCTAGCGAGCTTCCGGAAACGAGAGACAGACCTCTATACGACGTTCGAAACCATCGGCCTTGTTGTGATTAGTATTCGACCTAGGAGTGTTCTCCAGCGGTGCCCAACGAAGAGAGTCGAAGTGGCACACCTTGATTGGGGGGATCTTTCAGCCTTATTTCCTCCCAGCCAGTAATCAACAGTGCGGATGTTGGGGTATCCTTGCCTGTAAGCGTCTGGTTATTCCGGAGCCTGAGATGACACTACACAGGGACACATACATCCCGAACTCGGAGACAAAACGTCCGGAGAGTATATCCCAGTTGTGCCATGGTTCTTGCGACCCATGCCAGACATTCCCTAAAGAAGAGAACAAAAATGAACAAGCTGTCGAGCGGACGGAGACCTTTCGCCGCCTACATTGATGGATGTCGCCATACGTCCTGTCGGTGGTACGCTTCCCAAAGCCGCTGTATGGAGAGCCTCGGTGGTAGTAGACATCGGAGTGCTCATTTACGACTGCAGGAAGCACACGTTCATAAATGTAGCGAGCCGGGAAGTTGGTGTTTCGGAAGTCGGACGTCTCGTCGGAGTAGTCGAGCTCCAGGTTGAAGGACTCCGCTACTTGATAATCTGAATTCGGTTAAGATAATAACTCGTGAGAGGTCACGAAAAGTCTGCACCTTCATTGTTTCCAGCTGGAACAGACCAAGGTAAGCGGACAGCTTCCGCAGGGATGAGGGACCTATGACTCACCGAAAATAACGACAGAGGGATGGTGCCGGAGCCGTTTTACGTTTTGGATGGCTTCTTCGCGCACTGATTCCACGAAGGAGTCGTATGCGGGGTACTACAAACGGCATATGCACACGGTAACAGGCGAGGTAGGTCATATGCTTTACCTGGCCGCATCCAAACATGAAATCTTGCCAAACCAGCACTATTCACTCAAATCAATCTCGTAAACAGCTCTAACATGCATTTACTACTCACAGCCAAGTTCTGTTCCAGAGAACGTAAGATTTCATATCAGACTTTTTTTAAGATCAAACGCGCACCATCGCAAATATTGTAGAAGTCATCATGTTCGTAGATTCCGCCCCCCCACACACGAACCATATTTTGGTTACCGTCGACTATGAGCTGTAGCCATGCTCTGTACCGCTCAGCTGTCATACTGAAGATCGAATAAATAAGCAGAAATAAATGCAGTTCAGCCCAACCACCTACGTGGTCAAGAAAGAATCAGCAGGGATCCAGTTGGAACCTGACAATCAAAAGATAAGGATAAAGATACATGGAAAATGAAAAATAGGCTGACCTCCGCAAAATATTCTGACATTATTGATCTCGAACAGGAAGGTCAAACCATCTTGACCAAGGAGTTTATCTTGTACGATCACGGCACGACGGAAGGCGGTCTTGTGAGTCTTTCTGTCAAGCACTGTTCCATTCTGAGCAGAGTTAACGGCAAGTTTCAAGCAAGGATTTTTCAAGCTTACTGGATCAAAGAGGACCACCTCGACGGTATACAGCGGCTGAGCGCCGTAACCAACAGGGTACCAGAGTTGAAGCTCGCCAGCCTTCCACTGGAAGGGGGCTTTGGCCGTGCCGGAGCTGATGGGTATCTTCTCGGAGGCTATTTCTACTGATCCGTCAGGCTTTTTGAGGGTGAAGGAAGCAAAGCCGGGGTATTCGTCGGAGAACGCGATGTTTGCTGTTAAATTCACATCAAGAGTCTCGGAGACCAGGCTCCTTATGTCGAGGTCCGTGATACGAGTTTTGTATGTCTCCAGTTTAATGGGCTTCCATGGGCCAATGGTCATCAAGATAGGGCCTGAACAGTTAATTCTATTGAATCAGAACCTGGTGAGCACATAAACGGATGTGTCTTACCCCAATCCCAACCATAGCTGAAGTAAAGGGAGAACCACATTGGTCAACTGGATGGCCAAGTATTTCGGTCACCAGGACTCACTTGTATTGTGCCTTCCGAACGTGAAGGCGGCTGGAATCCCCATTCCAGAGAACATATTTTTCATGGGCGTTCTCAATGTCTCTTCCTTTTAAGAACGCGCTTGCGAAATACAACAAGAGTTCATTGTCGCCTACGTGAAGGTCCGATTTCACAGGCACCCGGTGTGCGATGAATTGATTGTCCGTCCTAAATGAAGAGTTAGAGACACCTTTCATTAGCTTATATAGGTTCAACGTGACGGGGGCGCGTACTGGAGGATAATCTTGCCATTCTGGTATATCAATAATATTCTCAGCAAGAGTCCTGGTGGTTCTGAGAATGTATACTTACCAGCCTGACAGTGGCGAAGGTGTCGAGGCCATCGAAAACAAGGTCAACGTTCGGGCCCGCAAGTTCCTCCTTCGTCACGCTGATCGTCGTTTTGAACGCCCATTCCGCCTCTCCAACCCCTGTTTATCGATTAACATTCGGCTAGACCATGAAGGTGAAGACCTTGGGCCTACATTGAACATCCCACTCGTGGAGGCCAACGAACTAGGGGTCAGATATCAGCCTATGAAAGCGAACTTTGTAGGTATATGGTGGAATGCTGACTGGATCAGGAATCTTCTTCAATTTCAATAGTTCGACATGAACTGTGGTCGGGAACGAGGAAACCTTGAGCCATTCCCCATCCTTTGTACCGTCACCCCCTCCTAGTTGGGTGAAGCACCAATCCGTCAGAGTTTTGGAGGTAGCAGTGTTCATTCACCACGTCACTTTGGGTTCGGCACTGAGAGAGCAGAAGGAAGAAGAGGGTGAATGTTCGGGATCATTTCGAAGGTAAAGATATATAAAGCTCCAAGAGAGACTTCGCAGGGGAATGGGCAAACGATGGATAGAACAAGTCGAGGCAATGGATCAGGTGCATTCGAAGTCGCAAATTTGTCGATTAGATAGTGCGATGGCCTGCCGATATTTCTCCGCGATCGCGGTCTACACGGCGGACAATTGTTCTGACCAGTCATTTGTCCAGTGATGTGCCGGTCACACGCCGGTCACCAGCCAGTTATCGGCAAGTGCTCGGCAAACTATCTGCCGATAGGTTTTGACTTTCCGCCCTATGCACGTGATCCGCCAATTCTTATGTAATGCTCGAGTAACCAACTCCGCTCGGCATGTTTGCGGCTGGCCAGCCCGTAGTCGTGGCCTCCAAATATGCCACTCACGTCGTTCCTTCTTTCCTTCCCATCATCTCGCTGTCCCTCATCTTGCTGTCCCTCATTTCTCTTCCCCTCCCTACCTCAACTACCCAACCCCCCACCAGCTCGTTTCGAGTCTAGGAGTCACAAATCCCCTCCCCCTCGGTTCTAGTCCCTGCTGTTGGTAATTCCGTCTCTCGGCCTGCTCTTGCTCCTGCCCAAACATTGCCGCTCCACCACTGAAGTCTTCTCGCGTTGTCAATGTGGCGGGGGTTCTGAAAACTTCGATCCTGCGGCTATCGACCTTCAAGATTTTGATTATATCGATACCCTTAAGCTCAAGGAACTAAATGAACTTTGCTCTCGTCATGATCTTAGTGCGAAACGAGGCCGTTATGGTGCGACTACGGGAGCTGTCTGCGTTTGTGTTTGGGTACTTCAGTTGTATAATATTCGTGATTCGTGATTGGAGTTTGTAATACACGTTTACATATTCCTGTAACGAACACCTTCGAGATTTTCTTCAACTTCAAGGCGACACGCGAAAGGGAGCGGCTTGGCCTGTGGCCTGTGGCTGACTTGACCGTGGACGGCTTGAGTTCGGCTTGTGCCTCCGTCGGATTATATAATGCAAGTACATCACGTGCATGGGCGGAAAGTCGCCAACTTCTGCCGATGACATGCCGGTCACAATCCAGCCAATTTTCAATTCAATTTTGCCCTGAACAGGGAGTCCATATGACCGGCGAGTGACCAGCAAACTACTGGCTGAAGACTGGACAGTGACTGGACATGTGACTGGACAGACTGGACATTTAATTGTCCGCCGTGTCTCCAACTTTACACAGCACTAGTCTACTGCAAGGCACATTAATTAAGGAGACGATTACAGGCACATTCCATAGGCGTCATAGCATGTAGCGGTACCTTATACGTCCTTCTTCTCCCTCTAATTTGTCGGCATTATGGTTTAGCCAGGAGAGGTAGACCCGGAATGCCATCGTGAGCGTGATGCTGAGTGAGCTCATGAGGACGCAGATAGTGTATGACATGTTGTACGTGGGACCCCAGGATTTTGGCCAAACGTAACTAAAACGAGTTAAGAGCATTGGCCAGAGCGAGAGGACGCGGTTGCAATACTTACGAGCCTATGACGTTCCCAAGCTGAGAAACACAGTTAATGAGGGCTAGAGCCACGGCACGCTTCGCGGGAGTGTCAGATACAGAGCCACTGGCCCAGGCCAAGAAGCAAATGAAGCCCGCGTAGGTTTGCGCCATAAGGAACCTAGATAATTTTAGTCAAGCCTCTGTGAAATGCTGAGAGGATATAAACCTACAACGAGACATATCTAACGCCAGTGTTCATGGTCGACATCGCCATCACAAACCCAACGATTCCAATGGATAGAGAAAAGGTAATGTGTTTGCTTCGTTCTCCCACCATGTCCGAATCCCTAAAGATAATTTGATCAGTCACTCAACACAAGAAGCTAAAATCGGAATACCTTGAGAGGGCGAGAGCAGCAGCGGTCGCAAATAACCAAGGAGGTGCACATAGAAGAAGTGAAACAGTCGTTCCATATCCCATCGTGGCCGAAAGTGTCGGAAAGTACGCGTGGAACGATAGTGATACGCACATGAATAGGAGAGCTATAGCTAACCACCACACTTTCAAATCTGTTACAGCAAGATAAAGGCCAGGCCATCGGCCTAGAGAGCCCTTCATGCTCTGCTCTGGGATGTCTTCGCGGTGACCAACGTCTTCAGCCATACGCCGGATAGCTAAAGATTTCTCGGCTGGAGTAAGCCAACCGGACGACGTTTCTGGGAAATCCGGGAGGATGGTCATAGACCAGATAGCGACAAGAATCGTGACTGTTCCTTCGACGAAAAAAAGCCACCTTTCATTCACTTAGCCGGAAGGAAACTAGTTGATTGAGAGAAGCAGGGCCTACCTCCAGCCTGTAAAACCGAGCACGCCATCCATGCCATCCAATATCCCAGACGCAATCAGGGAGCCAAACGCATTGCTCAAGAGATTGCCAGAGGTCAGAAGCGCCGTCCGTTGAGAGAGCTCGTGGCGAGTATACCATTTCGAGATTAGGAACTTGTGGACATTAGTTCTAGTGCGACTAGGGTAATGAAAATAATCTGCGTACAAGCGCACCAGGGAAGAAGGCAGCCTCCACAAACCCCAAAAAGAAGCGTATCCACAGGGCACCAAAATATCTAGAAGAAAGACGTGCTTAAGGGGCGCCATGCTGTGGCAAGGTCTGGAACAAACTGACGTTGTCGTAAAGCCTGAAAAACAAGAGGTAGATGAGCAAAAGGACTACTGAAGAACGGCAAAAAAGTAGCCCACCTGTGCAAACAGAAAGTCCGCCCCAGATGACCATACACGCGGGAAGATACACGGAAGGCTTTCCAAAGTAGTTCAAGAACATATTCCTAGTCATGAAGGAAAGATATAAGCATACACCAAGACTATGGCCAGCCTTTGGCAGACTTACGAAGGTATTTGCATCATGATGTACCCAATGTACAGCACCGACAGCACCGTTGCAAACTGATTGCCCTCCAGGTGTAAATCCTCCTCAAATCCTCGCAGGCGCGCAGCACTATGGAAATCAAGATTAAAACGTGAGCTAGCAGCACGTTTGAGAGCATTTACGAGGCATTATTCCGGTCGATATCTGGCGTTCAACGTTCAGAAATCGAACTTCAAGAGTCCAAAAGGCTGGAAACTCACAGTTGAGGATGTAAATGAGAACGAGAATGGACATTCGACGGTCCAGCTTCCGTATCAACGAACGCTCGAGTTCCTCCCTGTTCTCCACGAAGCCCTCTGTTCGACGTCAATTCCATCGTTCAGCACGATTGACAGGCCACGAGGCGCCTACACACCTTCGACGTTGGGCGGGGTGAGCAGGGGCTCAGCTTCGGTTTCTAGTGATTCCAGATGAGTAGCATCTCGGGCCATGATAATCAGATAGTGGAGCTTTAGAGCTAGTGCTGGGGATGGCGGCTATTAGGGAGCACACCAGGCTGTAGACAAGCTCATAGGTTTCGTGCAGGGGTGGTTCGAGGGCGTGAGGTGATGTCGACGGTGAGAGAGTTCAGAGAAGAAGGACATGAGCATGACTAAGGTCGAAGGCACTCCAAGTAAATCCTCTCCTTCCCATTCGCTCTCCGAGTCATCACTTCATATTTTCGTGATACGTGGGCCTACTGGATATATAAAACGACACGTTCGCGTGCACATCTCTATTCGCGTCTCCTTTTGGCTGACAAGATCGATATGGCTGCTACCGCTCTCCTCATCTCACCCACCACTCCTTCAGACTACCATCGCATAATCTCACCAAACCTCTCCGTCCCATCCGATTCAAAAATCTCCATCCCCGTAGGCCTCCTCGCTTGCCAACGTACGTTTGCACTCGAGTATCCAACTCCACGCTCAAGAAAAAGACTGAAGGATAATCGACAGGCGATCCCCTCTTACGCGCTCTCGAAACCACCGTCGTCAGCGCGTCCGTAGCCCAACCCCCACCGGCTGCTGCTGATGCATCCGCAAAGAAGACGAAGAAAGCCGTACTGGCACCCGATCTTCCCAAGGAGCCTCTACTGCATGTCCTCCTGCATGACACCGTAATCTTTCCAGAAGGCGGAGGACAGCCCACTGACACCGGGTTGATTACCACCAGCGCTGATGGTACCACCTGGGAAGTCGTGCAGGCAAAGCGACACGGCGGACACGCAGTGCACTATGTGAAGATTCCAGCCGGAGTCGAAGTTGACGCTGCCTTGCTTGCGTTCCAATCTGGTGCGAAGGCTACAGTGTCCCTCGGCCAAGAAGGATACGACAGGCGATACGACCATATGTCCATGCACACCTCGCAGCACCTTCTCTCTGCGCTCCTCGAGACACGTCTGAATCTGCCGACGCTGTCGTGGTCGCTGACAAGCTATCCAAGTCCTTGCTACGTCGAGGTACCCCGTGGAATGACCGCCGAAGAAATTTCGTCTATCCAGACCGAGGCGAATAGACTGGTTTTCGAAGGCCGAAGAGTGCGTGTTGAGGTCGAGGAGCTGGATGCAGAGCAAGAACGGGGTAAAGGGGTGCCCAAGTTAGAAAGTGGACGAGCAGTCGGTAAAGCGCTTCCTGAAGACTACACAGGCGGTGTCAGACGCGTAGTAATCATCGATGGCGTCGACCGTAATCCGTAAGTCTTCGATCCCTACGACATAAACGTATATGAATCGCTGACACCTTACGAACGAAGGTGCTGTGGAACTCACCTACCAAGCATCCACAATTTGCAACTGTTCCTCCTACCCCACACCGAAGCACTCTCTCGATCCTCGGCCACATCTGCACGCCTCTGCTTCCTCTCCGGACCTCGGCTCATCGCTCATCTCACGAGCACGCACACCCTCCTCACCAATACCGCCTCGATCCTGAGCTGTGGCCCTCCCCTTGTTCCTGACCGCGTGAACCAGGTGGCTGAAGAACGGAAGCGTGCAGAGAAGCGCGTCTCGGACGTCGAGCAGGAGCTCGCAGAGCATATCGCGAAGGACCTGGTCGCTCAGATCACGAAGCAAGAGGTTGGCGAGCTTTTCAAGCATCATGTGCATCGGACAGACGACACAAGCAATGCTCTCGGGTTCCTCTCTTCTATAGCATTCGCAGTCACCAATGCGTTACAGGCAGAAGCGAAGAGTTCGTACCTGATCGCGTTCTCCTCCACGCCTTCCTCGCAGACAACATCTTCTATTTCGACAGTTTTGGTGCTGGGGTCTGACGATGCTAAAGTCAAGGCAGCGGGAGAAGGTCTTAAGGCCAAGGCAGGCGTGAAGGGCGGCGGAAAGGGATCTAGATGGAGCGGTAAGTTTGTCGGGGTATGGAAGGAGACCAGAGACAATGTTGCAGTAGAAGAAGTCTTAAAGGATCTCTAGCAGTCTTTAGAATAGAGTAGAAGGAATAAGAATAAATGAATTATACAAATGTTTTACAGGACATGTGAATAAACCCAACGAAAGGAATATGAATGAATGCAGCAGACTTGAAGGGTGGTAATGCTGTGTTGCGCGTGGTATAGCCCTCACATTATACATAGAGGGCTCCGTGTCGTGATATAAGTCTATTTGGGATCCTGAGAGACGAGGTCGCCAGGATTTAAGCCCTCGCCCTCTTCGCCGTTGGCATCTTCGTCTTCGTGCACCGAGACACTAACCTCCCGCTCCAGCGCTGAATAGCAAGAGAAGGACGAGCGTTAGTTGCACCAGGCGAAGTGCAGAACGGCCTTGAGGTGACGTACCTCCCCCAACCAACACTCTGTCCTCCCCGCCCATGCTCATACTCAAATCACCCTCGGACATCGACGACGACATAGACTCGGACTCGCCGTCCGTGAGGCCCCACTCAGACGTCCGATCCACCTCGCTCTCTTCATACTCGTAGTCTGGATCGTCCTCGTCCTCGTCCTCCATATCCATGGTCAGCCCCGAGTGGAGCTCAGCATCTTCATCGCCCATAACTACGGCGTCGTCCTCCTGGGGCTCCTCCCAGAGCTCGTCAAAGTCGATGTCCATGCCCTCGACGGAGAAGTCCTCCACATCTGCGTCGGTGAAGCCGTCGTCTTCCTCAATCTCGTCGGGATTGGGGATGTATTCGCCGCCGTCGGAGGACTCGTCATCGGATTCAGAAGGCGGGCGGATGTTGAGGAAGGTGTGTCTGCATGTTGGGCAGCTGCCGTGCTAATAAGGACGTATGGTCAGGTAACGCAGTTGAGCATTTGAAAAATGTTGGAGGCTTACATGACTTCGTATCCATTCAGTCAAGCTACATTGGTGAGCACAGTCATCGACGACGAAATGAACGAAGTACTCACTCTCTCCGGCAGAAGATATGCCCACATCCAATCAGCTTTGTTACACCTCCAAGCCCTGGCTCATGCTGATCCTCGCCTTCTCTTTGCTCTGAACCTTCCTTATCCTCCTCAAACACAGTCTCGAAGGGAACCAAGCAAATCGGACATGGCTCCTCGAGGTCGACGCTATCCTTCCCCAGGACCGGCAACGACTCGAGTATCGCCCTGATCCGCTCATGCGGGGGCACCAGCGCATCCTGCACAAGCTCAAACGCAGCAGCAGCAGCAAAAGCATCCTGCACACGCGGCTGCTCGCGGTCCATGGTGAGAACAAACAAGAAACAGATAACCAAGAACACAACAGGCTCTGCACACACCAGCCGGTCAAGGCGAGGATCGCCGGAGGCTCGTGAAGTGAACAAACGAAGGGGTTAGAAGATGCAAATAGCCGATCAATCAACAACGCGCAAGTCGCGTTGTTCGTTTCTCATCACGTGATCATGTACGCGTGACGCCATCAGCGTTGACGTCATCAGCTGTTTAGCCTCCGCGCCAAGACGAACGGCTGCCTAGCCACGCTATGCTTACCCAATACCTGCTGTCACCCGGCGGCCCGATTACCCCGCGGAGATAAAAATAGCATTCACTGGATCAGTGATCCCCCGCGCTTCCTTCCCCACTATTGGCTGCGGGGACCCGTGGTGCGTTGGGGCCACCAGCTCGCCTCTCACATGACTTCGTGTGCAGCCAAATTCTAAATGATGCCTACGCTTCCACCTGCTTCCACCCCCACTTTCCCCCATTCCAACTGTTTTTCCGACGAGTCGCTAGGCTGGGGTTGACCCATTCGTTATGATGGGGGGTTCCAGGAAGTTTTTTTTCTCTCTTTCGGTGGGTATATGAATGACGGGGGGGCAATGGAGAGATTTCCCGGACGGCGCGCCAGAGGCCCTCTTCTTTCTCAATCGGTCAGCCCGTTTGCTGCTTCTTTCTTTACCCCGCACGAACTCGACCCGCCGATAGAAGTCCCCTACTCCTTGACCGCTATCCACGATGAGCGCGAACGAAGAGAAAGACTACGAGAAGCAGCTCCCGAGCCCCACCAAGTCTGAGGACGAAAATGACTTCCCTGACGCCGAGTTTGGCGGCACAGAGCGTCGCAAGCTCATCGAGAAGAAGCTCATCAGGAAGATCGACCTGCGCATGAGCATTATGATCATCATCTACATCCTTAACTATGTGCGTCCCTCACTTCTGCCTCGAATGGCTCTGAGTTGACGGTCGTGTGATGTCGGTAGATCGACCGGAATAATGCTGCGTAGGACCTCTTCGATTCCATAGCTGGCTTTCGTCTGACCGGACTTGTAGGGCTGCTCGTTTGCGTGGCTTCGAGGCGGATCTCAACTTGAAAGGTCAGTCGCTTTGCCCATTCTGTATTCCCTTTACTCAACGTCTTTCTCTCCACAGATAACGAATTTCCAACGCTTCTCTCCATCCTTTATGTCGGTTACATTATTATGCAAATCCCCTCGTGCGTCCTCTTCCAACACGGCTGTGTTGGCGTGTCAACTCACTCGATGGTGCAGGAACATGTTCCTCAACTATATCGGCAAACCCTCACTCTACTTACCTGCCTGCATGGCCATCTGGGGTGCTATTTCCTGCCTCACCGGTACGGAACCATCTGTCAGTCCCTCTTGGACAACCACTTACACCCCGACTCTTTATAGGAATAACCCACAAGTGCGACTCCATTCCAAAACCACATTTGACGCACGCGCTAACTAACACCCTCGAACGTGCAGTTTCGTAGGAGCGCTCCTAACGCGATTTTTCCTCGGCTTCGTTGAAGCCGCCTTCTACCCGGGAGCTCTTGTACGTCCAGCGATAATGACTCACGCACGGTTGACCTAATAAACTCTTATGTTATCTCTTGCAGTTCCTCCTATCAAAGTGGTACAAGCGCAATGAGCTCGGATTGCGGACCGCTATCCTGTTCTGCGGAAATATTATCAGCAACGCGTTCGGCGCGCTGATGGCTTCGGGCATCCTAAGCGGGATGCAGGGCAAGCTGGGGCACGCCGCTTGGAGGTAAGCACCACATTCCGTTCCGTTCTACGCCCACGTGTGTGGGGTACTCCTCGCTCGTCCCGCTTTCCGAGGCATAATAACGACCCTTGAACACACACAGGTGGCTCTTCTTCATCGAAGGTGCTCTGACAGTCGCAGTCGCCATCCTTGCGGTGTTTATCCTGCCGGATTTCCCGACGACCACGAGATGGTTGACCCCGGAGGAACGTGCGCTGGCAATGAAGCGTATGGAGGAAGATGCTGGAGTAGGTGATGAAGGAGAGACGGAGGGGCACGGAAATGGGCTCTGGCTGGCAGCGAGCGACGGGTGGGTGTGGTTCTTCGCGTTGATGCTGACGTCGCAAGTGGTCGCGCTGTCGTTCAACGCGTATTTCCCGACACTGAGCGCGACTTTGGGGTACAATCGGACGGTCACTTTGCTCCTATGTGCCCCTCCGTTCGTGTTCTCTGCCATTGTTACGTTCATCGTGTCGAGGTACGCGTCAAAGCAGACCAGGTTGTTTAGCGGACTAACGGCAAGGCAGGCACTCTGACAAGACGGGCGAGCGGTTCTACCATGCAGTTATTTCGTTCGGGGTGGGGATATTGGGATTTGTGATTGCGATTGCTACGATGAACACTGCTGCTCGGTACATCTCGCTGTAGGTGACATTTGGGGTGCATCGTACTCTGCAGGATGGTAGCTGACGTAGGCTCCTCGGAGCACAGGTTCCTGATGGCGCAGTCGTACGCGGGGTTCGTCGTGTTGTTCGCGTGGATGAGCAACTCGTTCCCGCGTCCGCCGTCGAAGCGTGCAGTAGCGCTTGCACTGATCAACGCGTTCTCGCAGTTGGGGAACATCTCGGGCTCGTGAGTGGTCTTGTGATGTTGGACCGGCTCTGTACTGACGCAGGGGTGGCAGGTACGTGTGGCCTGACCGGTGGGGACCGACGTACCGCAAGTCGTACGGTATCTGCATTGCAACAAGTGGGTGTGCGATAGTGATGTGCTGGATATTCCGGATGCACCTGCAGTCGCTGAACAAGAAGCTGGAGGCGGAGGAGGCAGAGAAGGGGATAAAGACGCCTGGATTCCGATACTTGGTGTAGAAGCAGAGATCCGGTAGTTGTGACAGCGGGCGTGCGTAAAAGGGAAACCAATAGGACGAGTGTTATAAAGTGATCGAATGGTTAGTTGTGTGACAGCGTCTCCCTCTCTCTTGATGAACACCCTGGGCTATGTTGCGCGTCAGTTGGATGTCCTTGCCGCTGCAAAGACCCCTCCGACGACAGACGACGCGCCCGGCCAGGACTCGATCCCCCGTGCCCGCTCCTTCCTCAGGTCCGCACCGCGCATCCAGCCCCAGCGCTCCCACTCGACTCCCTCCCTCCACTCACCCGTCCCGCCAGTCCCGCCAGCTACCGCCGTAGACCCGTCCATGCCCGTCGGTCCAGCACCAGCCGCGCCCTCGCCGTCCCGATCAAAGCAGCACATCGAGGTCGTCATCGACCAGATCTTCTTCATCCGCGTCTTCCTCGTCGTCTGGGACCACCTCAAGTCCGCCTGGTCCTCCCTCGTCGACAACCTCTCCCTCCTCACATGGCAGAACGCAGCTGCCATCGACGCAATATCCAAGGGCAAGGCAAAGGAGACAGATGCAGACCTCGTCCTCGAGTCCACCATCCAGCTCCACGCTCTCCGCTCAGCTGCTAGTCCGCTCGGCCCAGCTGCTGCAGCAGAACCATCCCTAGCACCCCCATCGCCCGCAGCCACCGCCTCCCGATCTGCTACTCCCGTCCTCGCAACACGCAAGTCGCCCTTTCACCTACCAAAGACTCTCGTGCTCGACCTCGACGAAACCCTCATCCACTCAACGTCCCGGCCCATCCCTCCACAGGGCGGCTCGGGCATCCTCAGCTGGGGCGCCTTCGGCCAGCGGAAACAAGGCGCAGGCCACATGGTCGAGGTCGTGCTCGGCGGCAGGAGCACCCTCTACCACGTCTACAAGCGCCCCTTCGTCGACTTTTTCCTGCGCACCGTGCGTCCTCCTTTCCTATCGATATCCCAAATCAAAAACGTGTGTCTAACAAGCGAAAATCATGTGTAGGTCTCCGGCTGGTACACCCTCGTTATCTTCACCGCCTCGATGCAAGAGTACGCGGATCCCGTCATCGATTGGCTAGACGCAGGTCGCGGCATCTTGGGCCATCGTCTCTTCCGCGACGTGCGTCATACCGGTCCTTCTCTTCCGGCTTCCTACTTATGTTTATTTCTCCAGTCATGTACGCAACTACCGAACGGCTCGTACACAAAGGACCTCTCGGTAGTAGAGGCTGATCTCTCCCGCGTTTGCCTCGTCGACAACTCTCCGATTAGCTACAGCGTCAACGAAGGTCTGTGGCGTCCATTCCTTCCATACCATCCTTCACTCACACTTACATTCCATTCCATTCCATCCCTCGATCCTCCCCAGCAAACGGCATACCCATCGAAGGCTGGACGCACGACCCCTCAGACGAAGCCCTCCTCGACCTCCTCCCTGTCCTCGACTCCCTCCGCTTCACCTCGGACGTCCGGCGCGTCCTCGGTCTGCGCACAGCCGGAGTCCACTATCCCAACTCATGACGAACTATAATAATAACAACAAGTCCCTGTTCTTTATTCGTAATTCGTTCTTGTTATCCAGCATAGATTCCATGGCCCCGTCATTGTCTACATCGCGCAGCACAGCAGTAGCTAGCTCTGGGCTGCCATCAACTGGTCCCAACCCCCAAATGGCTTCTTTCGCCCCACCGCCACCCGCAGGACGGAGGAGCCCAACCACCTTGTCGCATAGCACCACCAGCATTTTGTCACCAATGATACCTCGCAAAGGACTACATACATCAATACAAACGTGCACACAACCTCTTAATTTAATATCAGATGTAACTTTTTTTCTCCGCCGTTCCATGTCAGTTCGTTCGTCTTGGATCTGATGCTTGGAGGCAATCTGTGTTCTGCGGCACTCGGTCCGCGAGATGTGCATGGTGTGGGACAGGAAGCTTGAGCTTGAGCACTCTAATCTTAGCTGGATGATGAATCATCCACGGAAAAATACAACAGTTTGTGATGTGTGAGATTGATTATCGTTGAGGTAGGGATTGTACACTGGTCATTTATGTAGAGAAGTGGAAAGACAAGAAAGTGGAAGAGGCGAGATCGCTTCCCGGGAAGAGCAAGCAAACGCCTCAGCGCAACCACTGGAAAAGTGTATGTATATAGATAATGAAGGGAATCGTGGAATGGGATGTAGGCAAGAGAACCCCGAGTATGCGTGAGTGTAGTAAGAACAGAGACGAAGATAGAGCGAAGGGTGAAGGGACATGACAAAGGCATGAGGGGCTCGCTACATCGCCATTGCCGCTTGCAACTCCTTGAGCTGCGCCTCTTCGTCGTCTTCCACCGCAGCTGGTGTTCGTGTCTCTGCAAGCACAGAAAAGTAAGGGAGAATACATGTTGAGCAAAAGCGAGGAGATGGACAAAGGACGAATTGAATGACTCACTGTCGTCGACCTTCGTCGCTCCTGGTGGCAGATGCACTGGGACATGATCCGCAAGATTCAGGCGCTCGTTCAGGGCCTCTTCTTGTAGTTCCTCGAGCTCCGCTTTCAGCTCGTCCTGGAGGGGAAGATCAAAGGTCAGGTGTCCAGGTCGCAGAGGCCTTGAAAAGGACGCACATCGTCTAGCTCTGGAGCACCATATACCGGGTTCGCGAGTGCTTCCGCCACCTCGTTCGCCAGCTCGCGTTGCTCGTTCACGGCATTCATCGTTGAGTCCACCTTGTCCAGCGTCCTACACATCGCAATCCCAAATCCAAACGCAAGCCACAAGCACAAGGCGAACACAAGTCAACACTCCCGTTCTACCCAAACCCAAGAAAAAGTAGAACGCACAGATTACCATGGATGACCTTGAGCGCGTCCGAGGCCTTCTTCATAGCCGCCATCGTCTCCGCATTGAGGTTGGCCGACTCGAGCGTGTTCACCTGCATCTCGAGCTGCAGCCGGCTCCCTGATAGCCTGTCCAGCTCCAGCTCCGACATCTTCTTCCGCTTCAGGGCAGCCGTAGCCACTGTTTGTCATCCCAATGCCGGTGGTATCGGGGCGAAGGAAGGGGGGAACGAATAGAGGAAAGAAGCAGTAGCCAGTGGGGGTGGTGGGATTTGGAATTATGAGATGAGAATTGGGAATGGCGCGCAGCAGGACAGGGGGAGATCGGAGCATCGTGAGGCAGCGTCCAGCAGAGCAGCGTCGAATTATAGCAGGGATATTCAAGTATATTCAAGTGAAGCAATCGTCAAAGCAAACAGAACCCAAAGTCAGCTATTATCTCAAAAACGCCAAGACCCAGCCATCGGCTTCTACCCCGCCTGCCTCTGGCTGTGGCTTCAGGTAGAGAGCAGGTACGCACCAGCCTTATTCGTCACAGCGTTGGCCTTCGCCTTCTTCGTCTCCTCCTCGATCTTCTTCTGCAGGTACTCCTCCTTCTTCTCGATCATCTGCAGCTGCTGCCGCAGCCCGACGATGGCGTCGCGCGCCGTCTGCTTGGGGTCCTTCCGACCCGCTCCAAAGTAGCTCATGAAGCTCGCCATCATGTGTCGCCAGAGGTGGGATGTAGTGTGGGAGGTGAGAGGGTTCGGGTGGAGATATAGGAGAGGTAGAGGTAGAGGTATGCAATGAAGGAGGTGATGTAAGAACTGGTCAGGAAAGGACCATTGAGCTTGGCAGGCTGTTCGCCGATTGACCCCGATAAGGAAATAGCAGGGCGTGACTCTACCGACCCTCAGCTACAAAAGTCGATTCGGCGATTCTAACTCTCACAGGCAGGATATGGAGTGCGCTGCGTAATAAGCAAATTATGTATGCGATTGCAAGGGGTATATAATGCCGTTTGTCCAAGGTGCGTGCACAATTATTGCAGGTAGATCGCTTTCTAGGCAATTGTTGTAAAGTATTGGTTGCGTGTGCGTCTACAATATTTGCCACAGGTGAGGCTAGCTCATAAAATATTGAAGCGAGCATGCCAGTCTCTAATCTTCTTTGTGGTCGGGTCTGGTGTTCGTGATTTAGTTAGGAATCATAGAAAAAGTTGACATGCACCCACTCAGCCTCTTCGTCGCTTCGCACGTCGGAAGCACCGTCTCCCTTCATAACCACCCTCCAAGCCACCCTGCAAATCATGCCAAACCAGATCATTTGGAGTGCCTGAGATCGAGGGGTCGTTAGTATGTTGAACGAGAACCGACGGCGGAAATGTTCACCTGAAGGAAAAGTAGCATAATGTTGAAGACAAGGAAGTTTTTACGCGTGGTATAGTATCGTTCTTCAGGACTCCATTTGAATTCGATGTGATTCGGGGCCTCGAAGATCGTGGATATAATAACGATAAGGAATAGGACATGTCGCGTAACAAACCACGAAATCATGAAAAACCCAAACGTCAAGTCGCACAGTAACTGGCTTATGTCCAGGTAGCGGATCATCTTTGCCAGCTGCGTCAGACAAAACGTGTCAGTTATGAAAATAAATTAAGAAAGGCTTTGTGGGCTTACTGGCAAGAATATATCACAAAAGTCCATTAAAACCATGATGATGCACCCGACGCGGGTGAAGTACGTGAAATAACTAGCAAGCATAAGCACCACCGTAATGATGTGATGGGTCATCATCTGGACATGATCTTTTCGTCGCGCCTCAGCATTGAGGATGAGTATTTGGTGCAGATAAAAGGCATTTTGAGTGAGATAGTAGAACTTGACAGGGGCAGCCAGGGGTACATGGGGATAGTCCAGCCATAGATCGGTGGGATCCAGGACGCGAGTGGGCAGGTTCATGTGAACATACTGTGGACAGTTATGAGGAGGAAATGACAGGAGGGTAAAAAAAAAGAAGGCCTACAAGACCGAATGCCCATTGCAAGGAGTAATACACGACCGACCAACCCTGTTCGGCGAACCTCATCACGCTACGATTGAGCTGGCGCATTTCTTTTGTGGTTGGAGGGGGCAAAGCTATCCCGTTAGTATGGCCATTAGCGTGGCCGTTAACGTGAGCGTTTCCGTTCGCGACGTGGCCGTTTGCAGATCCGTTGCTTTTGCAGGCCTTGCTTGCACGCTGCCGCTTCAGTCTGAGGTCCCGGGAGAGCTTCCAGCGCGCTACCGGTTCAAAGAAGCCCAGCCGAAGTGCGTCGCGCAAAATGGCCATGACAGCAATGCAGGTTATGACGACGCATATGTCCATTTGTCCGGCATGGTAGTAGTCGGAGTCGGGGAAGGAATCCGGATTGTCGGGCGTCGCGATAGGGTATTGGAGGGTATAAAAGGGTTTAAGGTAGGTCAAGAGCGTCTCCATCGTGGCCATTGTGAACGGTGTTGGGGCTGGGGTATATCCGAGTGGGTAAAAAGATATCAGACCACACTTGAGGGGCTCGACTGCCAATGCTGGTACAGAACGAGAGACAGCAAAAAGCAAATAGGATGGACTGAGGGGTCGCGAAAACCCGACGAATGGGGGGAGGGGATGCGGTCCAGCGAAGCAGGGGACGCACGAGGTGGGGAGGAAGGAGAAGAGCGACTGAGCCGACGTACCTGTGTGCCCCCAAATATTTCCGTGACGGTCCTCGTGGGAATCCTCCATCACCCCTCGCTCACCATCTTCCTCGACCAGCCATGGCCTCATCCTCAAATCAGCCGAACACAACCCTCTACGTCAACAATCTCAATGACAAGGTCAACAAGGACGAGCTCAAGACACAGCTCTATGCCCTCTTCACTACCTATGGCAAGGTGATCGACATTGTCGCCTCCAAGAACACCAAAATGCGCGGCCAGGCCTTTCTCGTGTTCAGCGACCTCGCAGGCGCGACTACTGCCATGCGTGCGTGCGATGGGGTTATGTTCTACGATAAACCTCTCGTGAGCTCTCCAAATTCGCGCTGTACAAGGGACAATTGCTAACAACCTGACATACAGCACATTGACTACGCCAAGTCGAAATCATATGCGACCCTCCAGCTTGAAGACCCAAATTTCGTGCCTCCAAATGCAGCAAATGCTTCATCTCTCGTATCACAGAATGGGAAGAGGCCAAGAGATGGAGATGCACCCGATTCAGACCGGCAGTCGAAGAGGGAAAAGGCTGACGAGTCTGACGAGGAGATGGAAATCGATGATGAAGAGGAAGCCCCACAAAAGACCGAGCCGTGTATGTCTCTCTGTTTGGATCCTTATCAAGTTTGCTTGACATGTTGTCCCTTGAATATTAGCTGCACCAACTACCGTACCCTCCCAGGTCCAACAACCTACAGCGAGACTGTTATGTACCAATCTCCCACAAGAGGTGACAGATGACGTCCTAGGTGTTCTTTTCCAACAGTGCGTGATCCCTTATCTCATATGTCCAATCCTTATTTGTCTGCTGTAGATACAAAGGTTTCCAAAGGACACATGTAACATGGTCACCCGC